AGCCAAACCTGCCGACCAGAATGCCGCAAAACCAGCAACAGGCGGCTGTGAGCTATTTGTGCCTGATGCAGAGGATCGCTTCTGACAATATGTCCTTAGTATTCGGCGCAGCACCCTCATCCACTGCCGCTACAGCAGGAGGTTCGTTCTTCATCTCTCTCCACAGGCAACGGAAAATCTGACGCTGTCGTCCAGCCTCGACGGGGTCACTCTTCGGCGGGGGCGCAGATAAGCCTGCCACTGGAACCGGCACACCTGCAGCCACTACGGGGGGTGGACTATTCGGCGCTGCGCCAGCTGCCTCCGGCACGGCACCCGCTGCCGGATCGTCAACGACTACCGCACCGAGTGAGCTCCTTCATCTACAAGACTTGAAAATGTGAGAAAATGTGACTAAATCCTGCAAACTAGGTGGCGGAGGGTTGTTCGGTCTTCCCAAGAAGCCCGAGGAGGCTCCAAAGCCCGCCGGTTCTGCCGGTGAGTACTACTTGCTAAGTAACGATAGCAAACGTTGACAACCATCCTCCTAGCGCCCGCGACTGGGTTGTTCGGAGCTGCATTTGCATCTGGCGCCGCCAAGCCTGCTGAAGAGAAGAAGGACGGTGCTCCTGCCGCACCCTGTACGTCTATGCTAAGTATCTTGAGAAGCGTCGTGGATCTTATGAATCTATAGCACTATTCGGCAGTCTGGGCAAACCGGCTGCCGCAGGCTCTGCGACGGGGACGGCAGCACCCGCGGCAGGGACCAGCACTGGCACTGGAACAACGGCAGCTCCGGCAGTAACGTCGACCGCGATATCAGTGCCGCCGCCATCCATGCTCCGTGGCAAGAGCATCGAGGAGATCGTGAACCGGTGGTCGAGCGATCTCGAAACCCACGTCCGCCAATTCACGAAGCATGCCTCCGAGATCGCGGTGTGGGACCGTGCGCTGATCGAGAATGGCAACAACGTATGTAGCTCGTGGACATCTTCTGTTGAATATAGATTCTGACTCTTGTCCCACAGATTGCCGCGTTGTTCAGTCACGTTTTGGCCGCAGAGCGTGAACAGAATGACATTGACCAGGCTCTCGATCACATCGAACAGCAGCAGAAGGAGATCTCGGCGACCGTTGACCAGTACGAGAAGCAGGTGGGCGAGGTGCTCGGCAGCCAAGGCGGTATGCTGCGCGGGCTCGATACGGGTCCTGCCGACGCAGAGCGCGACAAAAAGTACGTTTGGCGACATGATTACGAAGTTCACGATTCTGACGTAGTCACAGCTACATCCTCGCTGCTGAACTCCACAACCAACTGGACGACCTCTCCTCATCCCTCGGCCAACTCATCGACGCAACAAACGCTGTCACGCTCGGCCCAACAGACGGCAAAGCCGCTGCCGCTGAAGACACCATGTCACAGATCGCGCAAGTCTTGAGCAGCCATCTGGAGAACTTGCAGTGGATCGACAACGCGTCGCGCGAGCTTGAAGGCAAGGTGCAGACCGTTGAGAAGGAGGTCAGGTCGGCAGGCGTTGGCTATGGCGCTACTTCACCGCCGCCGGGACAGAGGAGGAATGCGTACGGTGTGAATCGTTAGGTGGACCGACGTCTTGTATGTGTACTTGCTTTCTGCGCATATCGCTTCTGTTGAATACAGGACGTTGGCCGCCATCTCGTCATTCCCTTTGTACATGCGCATGCCAACGATAATGATACCGGACGCTTGCTAGGGCGTCAATGCAGCCCATCTTGTACCAACGGATACTGCTTTCTGAAGGAGAAGCTTCGGCTTAGGACCGCGTGCTTCGCGACACTGATTGATTGTGAGAAGGCTCTTATCTGGCGTCCGAGAAGAACGTCGACCTCCTGATCGCCCTCGGCTTCGATCCTGGTACATGATATATAGAGAGATGCGTTGCGGAACGCTCGACTTCTGCTCTTGTCACGCGGGCCGCCATGCTTCAGTTTCTGTGTTTACTGACCTGTGCGACCGTTGGTCTCACGCAGAGGTTGGTGACGTTCCAGGTTGCGCAACCGCCACCTCTCCCACATGATGCGAAGCAATGCACCATCCGGCTCTTCGAGTAGGTGGCTCTAAGCTGTACTCATACTCAAATTGACTTTCTGTTACTTCGACAGGCATACATTCGCAAACTCGTATGGAGCGTACGTTCATGAACCTCACAATCATGCCGGACGAGCACGCGCAACTCACACCCTGTAGCCCAGCGGTGGTCGACTACACGTACGGGGCCAAACAAATCATCCCTCATGCGCTCACTCACTATGATCAGTCCGCCAACAGACTGCGGCGACATTGGCTCGTGGGCTGGCATCAGTCTCAACTTCACTGTGACCTCCAACGGTGAGTCCGCTAGCATCGGGAAGCGAGGTGAAGGAGTGAGACAACAACAGGAACTCAGTATGACCGCCTCGGGATCTTCACTTTCCAGAATGTTGAAAGTAAGCCATGACCCGTGCACAGTCCTGGGCATCCAGGTCCATATCTGACTAATCCTTGACTTCCAGTCTGGCGCACCTCGACACCGGAGCCCAGTCGCACTCCCGAGGGCATCGTCTGGCAGTATCTCAAGGATGTGACCCGCTATACGCCTTTATTCGCCGAGCCTGGAACCTTCGTACTTGAACTTGACAACATCGTACAGACCGGACTGGATGGGGAGTACGCATGTCAGTCACTTCTATATGATATTCACGGATAGTAGACTGACGTCGGCTCCTATAGCGACTCTAGACGCGACCTTCTACGCATCATCACCCAAGCATCCACCGGCGCCGAAGGCGGATGTCATCATCCCCATCACTACGATGGCCAACGATACTGGAGATGATGCCTCGGTACCACCTGCATTCTCGGTAAGACTCGCGGATTGCGATCCTCCTGCCAATCTGATCAAGAAACTAGCTGAATGTCAGCCTTCCACGAAACGCTGTAGCCGCATATGCAGAACTGCAGGCATCTGGGAACGGTGTCGAGGAAGAATGGGTACGTTCTTGATCTCTCATTGACAGGCTCGAAAGAAACGATGCTGACATCCTTACGCGCAGTACTACAACATACCTAACGACTATCTTCCGCTTCTTCCTCCGGCAGCCACCTTGAGCGAGATGGCTTTTGGGAACGGTCCCTTCCGTGAAGTACGCTTCCTCGTGGACGGCAAGGTCGCGGGTGTTGCGTTTCCGTACCCAAGTATCTTCTCCGGTGGCATCTCCCCAACCTCTTGGAAGCCCATCATCTCCTACGGCGCGATGGACCTGCCCACTTATCACATCGATCTCACACCCTTCGTGCCAATTCTCACAGATGGCGATGCACACGTAGTCAGCTTGGACGTTGCGTCTGCCGAATCCAACCATACCATCAACGCGAACTGGTATGTTTCAGGCCTACTTCAGGTTGTTCTCGACTCTTCCGACGAGCCGACAACGGGCAAGATCATAAAGTACGAGGCGGAAGACTACGCCGACTCTTCACAGACGCTCGACACGACAAAGAACAACACGCTCGAGTTTACTGTGAAGGCCACGCGCAACGTGCATATTGAGAGCGAGATCGTTGCAGGTAGCGGAGAGAAGACCAGAGTGGTCTTCACACAAGCGTTGACCTACTCGAATACGCAGTCGTATCTCAACAACGGCTCAGTACAGGTCAGTTCCGGGCTCATTGTCGTCATCAGCCGTTGCTCATCAGCAAGCAGCTCTCTAATCAGCATAGCTCCGGAATCGTCAGCTCAACACACAACGGGAAGGTTGTCCTCAAGGACGACTTCGCCTATCCGTTGTTGGTGAATACGACCTTCACGAACGCGAACTTCAGTGATTGTCGGTGCCGAGGCCTTTATCTATTATACCATCTCACTAAACCAATACATAGGGCAAACGTGGACCAATCACTCGTATAACCGCGAGTTGCTGCCCGCTCCGTTCCTTCTCGGCTCAACCATTGCCGAGCATCAGGTCGCAGGTAAGGCCTTCCATTACCCGACAGCAGAATCTCGTCTCACAGTGTATAGGTGGCAACTTCTCAGTGCGGTCAACCGGCAACGTAGGCTCGAATGGCACGAGCGAGAACACCTTCTCGTACGTGGATACCAAGGGCAACACCTTCAAGCAGAGCGTGACTGCCTTCGAGAACACCATCACTTCGAATACCGAGAGTGGCAATCTCGCGCCGAGCCCTCTACCACGAGCAGACTGATTCACTCGTATTCATGCATGATGTATTTGCCAGCATTGGCTATAGATTGACTTCCATTATCCTGCTTCAGATGTGACAGGCTTATATACACCGTCTATCGACGTGATGAACGTCGCCCCTCCCAACTGCCCTCCCGAACTCGGCGTGCCCTCGTCAATGTCCGCGTTGAGCAGGCATTCCAGCCGTGTTGAAACGGGCACATCTACGGTTCCAGCCCGGCCTGAGACCTGATGAAGGTCCTCGCGCCGGAGCACAACTCCCCATAAGTAAGAAACCCCATATCTCGCGGCCTCCGTTTAGAACAAGCCGACGACACGTCCGCTCTCGGGGTCGAGTCCGACTTCCCAGAAGCCCGGGCGTGTTCCGAGGCCAGGCATGGTCTGCATGTCGCCGAGGAGCGGGTAGAGGAAGCCTGCACCGGCCGACAGGCGAACGGAGCGGATGGGGACAGTGAAGCCCGTGGGCACACCCTTGAGCTTCGGGTCGTGCGAGAATGAGTACTGAGTCTTCGCCATGCAGACTATAAGAGAGTGCATATCAGTATGAAGCACGGAGGGTACAAACACGATTAAGATGGTACGCACTGGGAAGTCCGCCGTAGCCCTGGCGGGTGTACGTCTCGATCTGCTTCTGGGCAGCCTCGCTGAGCTCGATACCGTCGGCGCCGTAGATCTCCTTGCAGATGATCTCGATCTTCTTCTCGATCGGCTGCTCAAGGTCGTACAGGAACTTGAACTGCGACTCGCCCTCGCAGACGGCGACAAGGGCCTCCGCAAGAGCCTTGGCACCAGCACCACCCTCGGCCCAGTGGTTGCTGACGACCGCGGCGTCCGCACCACCGTTGAGAGCAAGCTCACGAACGAGTTCGAGCTCGGCCTGCGTGTCGGAGCTGTATCATGTCATGAATCAGTACATGTCCAAAACGAGGGCAAAGACTGGATGCGTACGCGAACTGGTTGATGGCTACAACAACCTTGAGCCCGAACTTCTTCGAGTTCTCGATGTGCTTGACAAGGTTCTTCGTGCCCTCCCTGAGCGTCTCTAGGTCCTCCTTCGTGTACGTGTCCGCAAGCGGCTTGCCCGGCGTGACATCCGGTCCTCCACCGTGCATCTTCAAAGCGCGGGTCGTGGCCACAATAACAACCGCATCGGGCGTAAGCCCGCTAACGCGGCACTTGATGTTGCAGAACTTCTCCATGCCCATGTCCGCGCCGAAACCGCCCTCAGTCAGGACGTACCCGACGCGCTCCTTCGCATCCGCATCACCCGGCTCTGTGCCAGCGAGCTTGAGCGCGACGCGATCGGCGAGGACGGAAGAGTTGCCATGTGCGATGTTCGCGAAAGGACCGGCGTGTACGAAGACGGGTGTCCCCTCGAGCGTTTGCATCAGGTTCGGCTTGATGGCATCCTTCATGAGAACAGCGAGAGCGCCGCCAACACCGATGTCATCGGCGGTAACCGGCTCGCCACGAGTGCTTGTAGCAACGACCATAGCACCGAGACGCTCACGCATGTCGTTCAAGCTCGTGGTAAGAGCGAGTACGGCCATCGCCTCGCTGGCTACGGCGATGTCGAACTCTGCGGGGCGCTCGTGACCCTTCTCCGTAGGCGCCTGGCCGATGGTGATCTTGCGGAGGAAGCGGTCGTTGGTGTCGAGAACGCGGTTCCAGGTGATGGTGTCCTTGTCCACGTCAAGCCTCGCGAAACGGTTGATCTCCTCAGGCGTGAGCGAGTCAGGGTCCGTCTTGTCGATGCCGAGCTTTTGCAGGCGCTTGAACATGAGCGGAGCGAACTCGCGCTTTCCCTTGACCTTCGGTACGAGGCGCGTGTACAGCTGCTTGTCCGTCTGTGTGGCCTCATGGAAGATACGCGCGTCGAGAGCAGCGGCGAGAAGATTGTTCGCGGCGGTCACGGCGTGAATGTCGCCGGTGAGATGCAAGTTGAACTCGTCCATGGGGATGACTTGGCTGTATCCGCCACCCGCAGCTCCGCCCTTGATGCCGAATGTCGGGCCCTGACTAGGCTGGCGCACGCACGCGAAGGCGGGGCGGCCGAGATGAGCACCGAGAGCCTGCGCGAGACCGATGGTCGTCGTACTCTTGCCCTCACCAAGCGGCGTGGGCGTAATACCCGCGATGACAACGTACTTGCCGTCCTGACGGTGATCGAGACGCTTGAGAACATTGAGGTCTATCTTCGCCTTGTACTGTCCGTAGAGCTCGAGTTCCGAGGGGAGAACGCCGATCTCATGCGCGAGCGTCGCGATAGGCTTGGGCGTCTGTGCCAGCGAGATCTCGATGTCGCTGGGGACCTTGGCCTTGATGTCGAGCGCCAAAGGCTTCACTTTGCGCGAGCGAGACTCGGCCCAAAGACGTTCGGCAGACTTGAGCGTGTTCTCCATGAGCTGTGCAACGGTCATAGGACCGACACCTCCGGGAACGGGCGTGATGTGTGAGGCAACATTGGAAGCCGAGGCGAAGTCAACATCGCCGACGAGGCGCTGGCCAGACTTCTTCGTATCATCTACATGAGTGTCAGATATATTCATTGATGGGGTTTCGGGAATATAATCACCGGGAATGTAGTTTGTGCCGACATCAATGACCACGGCGCCCGGCTTGAGCCATTCGCCCTTGACGAATTCGGCCTTGCCAATGGCAGAAACGACGATATCCGCAAGCTTGACCTATACCAGACGTAGTGGTCAGCTGAGCTGGACTGACGAGTGAGAAAAGAAGCCGTACGATCTCAGGGAGGTTCTTGGTCCGGCTGTGGCACTGCGTGACCGTCGCGTCCTTGTTGCGAAGCAGAGCCGCAACTGGGCTGCCGACAATGTCGCTACGGCCAATGACCACGGCATTCGCGCCAGAGATGGGTACACCGGTAGATTCAAGGAGCTTGATGACGCCAGCTGGGGTGCAGGGTTTGAAAATCGGGTTCGACGAGCGGGAAGAGAGATGTCCGATGTTGTAAGCGTGGAAACTGTCAAAGCGTCAGAATGTCTAAGATACGGGTACAGATACGCTCTCGAGGGCGATAGACATGCTCCTCTCGAACCAATCTTGATTGACTTACCCGTCAACGTCCTTCTCGGGGCTAACGGCCTCGGTGACAGTTCGCTCACCCTCGGCGCCAACATGCGGTCCGAGAGGCAGTTGTACCAGGATACCGCTCACTTCATCGTCATCGTTAAGATCCTTGACAATGCGCACAATATCCTCGACCGATGCGTCCTCAGAGAGCGTGACGTGCTTGTGCGCGATGCCAACCTCCTCGGCAGCCTTGATCTTCATGCGCACATAGACGCTGCTGTCGGGCCGTGCACCGGCCTGTACGATGACCAGCTTGGGCTGGAAACGCGGGTACTGGGCCTTGGTCGCCTTGATCTTCTCCGCTACCTGCTCGCGGATCGACCTGGCACAATACATGAGTTCTGAGTCACATCGCGAATAAACTATTGAATTTACGCACTTTGCGATGGCGGTTCCATCGATGAGCTTGGCCGAGCCAGAGTACGAGGCGGATGCCATGGTACGCAGTAACAAGAAGCGAGCGCTAGACAGACTCGCGACTCGCGCGAGGCCAAAGCGGGAGGAGACGCGGGAGGCGCCGAGCATGGCTGCTTATCTTTTGCACAAAATAATCCGATTCACCGAGCCAGCACACCGACGGCGTGCAGCTGATTCCGTCAAGCCCTGGTGCCACAAGTCGCGGCGTTCTCCGTGGTCGCCGATATTCGCTCTGAGGTCCGTCCGAACCTTTTCGCTGGCGATGGTGACCGTCGAGTGAAGAGTTTTCGATGAGGGTGGGCGGATGCAGCTCGGTAATACGTGGCGTGCTGGATTTTTGCCAAACCGGCTCGGAGTTTCGTTCAAATGCTCAATAAAAAGGTTTTCACCTCTTGTGTGACCGCGGCGGTCCATCGCCACACATCGCCTGACGACCAGCGGTAAGATATTATACATTGTATATTGTGTTGAGTGCTTGTAAGCAATGATAAACAGAATATTCTGCGCAAAGCTATTGCTAAAACATGAGATCCTTGAATGGAGCATAGGCCGCGCGACGTGCCAGAAGGCTGGCGGTACAGATACAAGTACAGTACAATATGGTTCTGTATACTACTTACTGTGCGAGAAGACTAGAAAAAGTTCTATTCATGCAGGATATCCATGGAGTCCAGAATCAGCCGAGTACCGGGACCTCCTCACACGCTAAGTTGCCGTAGCGCTCACCGAACCCTTCCTCCCTCTCGCTGCTAACGCCCGCTGTGCCTCGTCATCAATAACAATCTCCGGCACAAGCGTGTCCTCTCTCTCATGTCCCTCCTCTTCCGTTTCTCCATCCTCAGCATCCAGAGGTTCCCTGGGCTCATCTCCAAGTCCTTCTGGGAGCCTCACAAATGCCAGAATAAGGAGACTGCCCACGACGAACGCGAATGTGGCGGCGAAGAATGCGGCAGGGTAGGTCCCGACCGTACGGATATAGATGAATCCGTATAGAGCTGGACCAATGATCGCACTGCCCACGCTCTGCAGCACACTGAGTGCGCCGAAGAGTTTGCCGGCTTCGGCCGTAGGTCCGACGCGCGCGCGGTAGAGCTCCATGGCGAGTGATTGCATGGTGGGATGGAAGCCCGCTGCGAATGAGGAGAGTATTGTGCCAAAGACGAAGGCCCAGGCTGGTGGGTTCAACATAAGGATGGCGCCGGAGATAATAGCTGCGAGAAGCGACAGGCGCGCGACGAGGAGCTCAACAGCCGGCGCGTGCTTCTCATGCTTCTTCCCCTTCGCAGCGCTCGGGCTACGCACGCGTTCAGCCGAACGAGACGGTGTAGCAAGCAGAGGCTCAGAGTCGGTAGTCTGCAATGCGATGGGTTGCTTCTTTGCACGGCGGTTGAGAATGGTGAGGACGGCGGGTAATATGAGGGCGAGGAATAATGCGCGAGCCACGCCCACGGCAGAGATCCAGTAGCCAAGCTTTTCCGCTCCCCAGCCATAGTTGCCCAAGGCAAACTGCTGGGTGACGACGTACGAGCCCATAAGCATAGTCTCGAGTGCGAATGCCGCGGCGAGGATCGTGAGCGAGTAGTCCATGCGGCTGCCCTTCCCTTGGCCCTTGGTGCGGACCATCGTACGGTCGTTCTCGCCGGGCAGGAAAACGGCGAGCGGTGTGAGAAAACCAAAGATACGGCCGAGCCACGCGAGGAATCCTCTGCGCTCCTTGGCCGCGGCCGAATCTGCGGCATGACGCCGGGCGAACACGCGCATCTGGGTTGGAGTGAGAGATTCAGGGATGACGAGCCAGACCATAAGGACATAGAAGATGTGGAGGCCCGCGGCGGCGTAGAATGCGTAGATGGGCGCGCTGTACCGCGAGATCAGAGCGCCGAGGGTGGGTCCGACGGCCATGCCGATGAAGAGAAGACCCATGAACTCTGAGAAGACGCGGCTGCGGGCTGCGGGGTTGGAGACGTCTGCCAGGTAAGCATGGATGGCGGCGCTCGATGCCATGCGCCCTCCCAGGAATCCATCGAGCACGGGCCCTGTCAGCAGGGCCCAGAAGCCGCCCGGGACGCGGGAGGGAAAGGCGAAGACGGCGATGAAGATGATGTCTTGGTAGATGAGCGAGATGCTGTTGGCACGCTTGACAAAGAGGCGGCCTCTGCGGTCGGATAAGGAGCCCCACCAGGCAGTCGTGAGGCAGCCGAGCACGCCGGAAATAGTCGTCATCGCTAGACGCCCGTAGCATTAGAGACAAGATTCCTGCACAATAATGCAGCGGAAAGCTCACTGGTCATGAGTACTGCGACGGTAGCCTGTACACGCGGGTCCTTGGCACAGTCCGTGCCAGGCGAGAGCGTATCAATCTCGCTCTCGGAATCTCTCGGGATGCCATGCTGAGCTCTGCAGACGAGCTCTGTGAAGATCTCGAGCTTCGGGGCCATTGTCATGGTGAAGGCAACCATGCTGAATGGTATAATCGACAAGAACCTGGCCAGACCGTCTCTCAGCTATGCGCCCGATAGCGATAAGCAGGCCCGTGCTCACCACCAGGCGGCAGGCCGCCTCCACCATGGGAGTGTCGTCCGGGCGGCATGCTCGGCCTCGATCGCATTGCGTTCCACTTCGTCCTCATCCTCCACGTCTTCGCCCGCAACGTCGACCAGCGTCTCTTCGAGGTCGTGTGTCGCTCCCGGATGTGGGTGCACAAACTCGTGCAGCAGCTCGGCGCCCTCGCTCGTGAGCATGTCGTGCTCCGGCATCCGCGGCACCCGCGACGCGCTCCGGGACATTGATGGGCGCGACGGCGGCGGCCTTGACCCTGACGGCGACATGGTGTCGGACAAGGTGGATGGAGGGAGAGAGGGAAAGGGACCGGAGAAAAGGTAGCCAAGAGATATATTGCGGTGGGACTTTATAATACGCGCATGGGACGCGAACTTGCGGGTGCCTGCGTCAGTCCGCGCGCGCGATCGGTGCATAGATAGAAGATAGCGACCATGTCCACCACAGTCGATATCCCTCAAGCTCTCAAGGACAGTCTCCGCAAGTTTCGCTTTGCGAGGCGGAAAGGTGGCAATGCTGCACTCGTCGTGAAGATCAACAAGAAGGAGCTCATCATGGAGGAGGTTGAGCAGTTCGACGACATCTCCCTCGAGGATCTCGCAGAGGGTTTGCCGCTTTCATGAATGCTCTCGCTTCTTTGATTGCTCATTGGGCCCCATTCGTCCGTACATAGAGCTCCCCGAGGGTGCACCGCGCTACGTCGTCATGTCCTACGAGCTCACACACGATGACGGACGCAAGTCATTCCCATTATTACTGGTCAACTGGGGTAAGCACGGCATCTCACCCGGACGCGTCTCTCGGCGACTCACATCGCGCAGTTCCTCCAGCCTGCGAGATGAGCCTTCTGACACTGCATGCCAGCGGTCTGAATAACTTTCAGAACACGGTGCGTAACACCCGCAGGCGCTCGCTTCCGCTGACTACCAGACGCTGACCGCGCATACATTCAGGCGGACGTGGGTAAAGTGCTGGAAGTGCGCGATGGCGCTGAAGGCCTCACTACGGAGGCGATGGATGCGATGCTCAAGAAGGCATGAGATCAATGTCATGAATGATACGATGTATGGAACCCATCAACGGACAGTAACATGTACAATGTATCAAACTGGAAATGCACCCAAGGATACTAATAACGGACCCGTTACTGGTGCCCCGCCTGCTGCGAACCTCGTGTCCGCGACTCCTCGGTGACAACCCCCTGCTGCAGTGCTTGTGACTGCGCAGGTACTTGTAGTTGTTATCAACAACACGTCGTTGCGGGCGGCCGCAGTGGGTCGTCTCCTCCATCGGCGCCCTTCTCTGCCGCCCGCCTGGTCGTGTCTACTCCTTGATCCTGCTACTGTGGGTTCTTGGTGGCTACAACCTCTCTGATAAGATGCTTCGTAGAGGACATGAGGCGGCTCTATGACGGATGATGTGAAGTCACTGGAAGTATGGAGGTGCCGCCGGGAGACATGTAGACGCCGAGGATTCAGTCAGACACGGATGTAAATTTGGACCAATACACGTCCACGAACGCTGTATACAGCATGTAGCGCAACGGAGGCGGGTCAGGATCACGAAACAACACAGTTGGGATTAGATTGTATACAGAGACAGCACATTTGTACACATAGCTGGGGTATATCAGGGCCACGCACTCAATGTCCAATACAATGCCACTGTTCAACGTTCAACGTTCAATGCGGATTTACACCTCAATCGCCCGAGGACTTCCTCGCCACCACGCCCATGCACCGACTCCGAGCCCAAGTACAAAGTTGCCAATTCCGAGGGCAGCGTTGCCCGCACCGATGATCACGAATAGCCACCATACGATGCCGACCAGTCGGTCAAGTGTGCGGCCAGCATACCGCTGCACAAATGCTTTGATCCGCGGTGCGGATGCTGGCCTATAGCCTTCGGACAATCGAAGTGCTGGGGACGCAGATGACGATGCAGGCGCTGGCGGAGGTACTGCCAGGAGCGCGACGACGGGTTTGTGGTCCGATGTTGTGTACCCCGGGATAGAGGTGTAGAGTAAGTTCTGTATCGCGCTTTCCTCTGGTCTTGCAGGATCGTCGTGATATGTCGTATACAACACTCGGTCTGTCCAGCTCGGTGTGCGTTTTGTACTGGGTCTTGACTCAGCGATCTGAGTTCGGGAGTCAGAGACGTTGTGCTTACTTGTAGCCGGCGACATCGCCGATGATGCACTTGTATGTCGGCGCGAAATCCCAGAACTCCCCCTCTCGCAGACCGCGGAAGATGTTGCCAGCCTTGTGTTCCCGCCGTAGCTGGTCGTGTGCCGCCACCAGTTCACGACCAGACTTGGTCACCAATTGTTGGAGAAGATTGGGTGTCTGTAGCTCCGGGGGTGCTTCAACGCGGAAGTTTAGATCGCCAAGAAGGAACAGATGCGATGTATCATATACTGTCGACGGGCCGGAGAAGGTGAGTGTCGAGACGAGATGCTGCCAGTCCCATAGCCGGCGATGAAGCTTGTTCGCAAAGGCAGTGAGATGCATATTGACAAAGCTATTGCGTATGTTGGAAGTTTGTATGCGCAAGAACATGATGCATGTACGGACGTGTAAACCTCGCCCGGCCCGTCTATGCCTTCCGCCGGTTGTACAGTAAACCGTACAGCAACCCCTCCTTTATTGCCCATGTAACCTGGTCCACATCCGCTCCAAGTGGTCTGCACATCTTTGATCCTTCTTGCGACCCCACTGTCCTTCGCGAATACGAGCAACGCGATCCCCACATTGACTTCCTTTGCCACGAGCGAATACTGCTCTTTGCCGTTCGCGGCAATCTCGAGCTGTTTCTCAAGATGTGCAACCCTGTCCTTCATCACGGGTCCAGAAAATCCAGCTAAGCCTTGGTAGAGTGGTAGCAGCTCTTGGAAGCCAACAGCAACGATGTCGGCATTGGGCGTGCGGGAGAGGAAGGACGAGACGGTGAGAGAAGGTGCGAGCCAGTCAACAAGGTCCTGAGGTAGACCGTGGAGGCCTTGTAGGGCGGTATTGTAAGTGAGAAGTTGGACGAGAGTACGTCCGTCGTTTGGAGAGGGGGAGGTCATGACGGCGAGAGCAAGGTCAGTATGCCGGCAATTCGTGCGGGGAAACTGCTCAGTAGAACCGCGGGAGCTATAGACGTCACTTGTGGCCATGGGATCATCGATCAACACGCCTCTCACAAGTTTACTTGACTGCCACCACCACCATTCCGCCCAGAGAGGAATTTTTAGGCACTGACTGTACGGACGCCACGGAATATACACGAATGCCGAGTTTCGTATACACGCCGATATGATTCGCGCTCAGATAAAGCCCCAAGAAATACTATTGTGAAAGTGCCTGTGTCGGCATTATACCTCTGCTCACTGTGGTTGTGTATGTGCCTTCAAGCTTCAAGCTTCAAGCTTCAAGAGGAAGTCCCCATTGATAAGTCAGGTTTCCGGCTTGTTCGCTCTGACATAATGCGATATCAGATTGATGCCACAGAATAAGTTCCGTTGACTAGTAAACGTAGTCTCACACAATATTCAGGACGCATAGTCGTGATATCTTGTGATAGTAGCATTTTGATAGTATACTACTAGCCAAGTACTCAACTCTCAACCGCGTTCCTGAAGTATTGCATCGAGATTCCGCGTCAACACGGCACGCAATTTAACCTTGCGTGCCGAAACGATCGCGCATTGAACTTGTTCCCGACGGCAGACGCTGACATTCACATGCATAAGTCGTACGCCTTCGTCGCAACCCGGGTCGATGTGCACCTCTAGACAAGAAGAGTAGTTATCCAGAAGCATCTGGTCTTGACCTGTGACCGGACTCGGCAGTCTGCGGTGGCTAGACGTGGCGCGGAAGAAGCGGAGAAGTGCTCCCGGACGTCACCAACAGTGCTATTAGCGCGCGCACGCTGGTTGGGGAACAGACTCTGCATCTTTCCCGCACACCCTCATGTCGTCCGTGAAGAAGGCGCCGGCACTCGAGCATGGCCCAGCGAATGCCTTTGAAAAGATACTGATGTCGCACCCGGTCTACGAGGCTCAGCTCTCGTTCTGGCGTACGGTCATCTCTATATTCTTCCGTGAGATCAGGCCCCGCGGGGCGTTCAACATTCCTAAGGAGGGTCCCGTCATCTTCGTCGGCGCGCCACACCACAACCAGGCATGTTACCACGCTGTCATTCCCCTTCCGGACTATGCTTGACGTTTGGTAGTTTCTCGATCCTCTTCTGCTGTCGATCAATGTGCACAAAGAGACTAGAAGGAAGGTCAACTTCCTCACCGCGGCAAAGTCTTTGACGAGGCCAGAGATTCGCTACTTCGCCCAGATGATGGGCTCCAGTGCGTGTGCAATACCCTACGCCCACTACAATCATACTAATGCGGTGTCTAGTTCCCGTCGCCCGCGCTGCCGATTATGCCAAAGCCGGCAAAGGACGCGTATCCTTGTCCCCAGAAGACGCGACGCTGATCATTGGCCATGGCACCGCTTTCACCGAGGAGTTTGGCCCGCGTTCGCAAATTATGCTCCCTAAATCCGTCGGCTCTTGCCTGGCCGAAGTGGCCGAGGTCCTCTCCGACACCGAGCTCAGGCTGAAGAAGGAGTTCGGCGGCGAGAGTGGCAAGACTACCGGTCGAGTGCGCGAGAAGCTGAGGGAGGTCGAGGCCGAGGGTACGACCGGCTTGGACTACAAGACGCTCCCATACGTCGACCAGGCGGACATGTACAAGACGGTGTACCAAGAGCTGAAGGAGGGCAACTGCCTCGGTATCTTCCCGGAGGGCGGTAGTCATGATCGCACCGACCTGCTCCCTCTCAAGGCTGGTGTCTCCATTATGGCCCTCGGCGCAATGGCCAACGACCCTAATTGCAAAGTCCGCATCGTGCCCGTCGGGTTGTCATATTTCCATCCACACAAGTTCCGCTCGCGTGCTGTTGTTGAGTTCGGCACCGCCATGGACGTCCCGCCCGAGCTCGTCGATATGTTCAAGCAGGGCGGATCTTCCAAGCGCGATGCTGTCGCGAAGCTACTCGACATCATCTACGACTCGCTCAAAGCTGTTACCGTGCGCGCTCCCGACTACGAGACACTCATGGTCTGCCAGGCCGCGCGTCGGCTGTACCGTTCGCCTGGCCAGAACCTTACGCTGGGCCAGGTCGTCGAGCTCAACAAACGTTTCATTGCGGGCTACACACACTTCCGGGACGAACCGCGCGTACAGGCGCTGAAGGAGAAGGTGCTCAAGTACAATCGCCTCGTACACGACCTGGGCCTACGTGACCACCAAGTTCCAGGTGCTCGTAAGAGCAGCTGGAAGACGCTCGGCCTTCTCCTCTACCGTGTCGGTCTGCTTAGCGTCTGGAGTGTGCTTGCTCTGCCAGGTGTCATCATCAATGGTCCCATCTTCCTGACGGCTAGCATCCTTTCACGAAAGAAGGCCAAGGAGGCGTTGGCTGCGAGCGTGGTCAAGGTTGAGGGCCGCGACGTGATAGCGACATGGAAGGTTCTCATCTCGCTCGGCCTCACACCCGTCCTATACGTCCTATACGCCATCATTGCTACAATCGTTGCAGCCAAAGCCGGTGCCCCACTTCGCTGGCGCATATGGACACCCATCCTTGTCATGACCGCCCTGCCGATGATCGGATTTGGTGCTCTCAAGTTCGGCGAGGCAGGCATGGACGTCCTCAAATCTCTACGTCCACTCGTTGTTGCATTGGTGCCTGGACAGCAGCGTTCTCTAGACCGCGCAAAACAAATGCGAGTCGAGCTGTCCAACGAGCTCATCGAAGTCATCAACGAGTTCGCGCCCAAAATGTACAGGGACTTCGACCGCTGGCGCATCCTTGTCCCACAGGCGCAGGTTCCGCCGTCTTCGGAGGCAGCGCCTGCTTCAGTTGGGACTGTTGATGGACAGGCGGAACTGCTCACGCATCCAATGACTTGGCTCGATGAGCACCTTTTCGGATGGACGACGAGCGCCAGGCGCGGAACAAGTGCATGGGCAGGGAGAGGTAGCGGCGAGGCGAGTCGCGCTCCGAGCCCGGGTCCAGGACACGATAGTGATGATGATCATGAGCACGGAGACTACGAACATGTACTAGGCATCGTGCGGGCGCTCGCGGGTGGAGAGCGTAGCGGTAACCGGAGCCGGGTCGGGAGTTATGCGGACTTGCAGAAGATGAAAAGCAACGGGGTTAACGGAATGAGCCCTGTTGAGGATAAGGGCAAGTCGACTGCTTTGGGCGGCGGCGAAGATCGTGAAACGCACAGGCGACAACGGAGACCAACGCTCACTGATGGAGTGCCCGTTGTACGGATTGGGAGTTTGGAACGGGGCGCGGGGTTCGACGAGTGCACGCGGCAGATTAACGGCGAGATCGAGGAACAGCGGAACTCTCCCAAGCACGAGAAGTCACCGCAGTGACGGATTGTCGTGCTCTCTATTTGGATACGGTTCGGGCGTTTTGGGAGACTTGACCATCATAGACATTGTATGATATCGCGGACGCGACTGTCTGTCTGTCTGTTCTGTCATCACTATACGGTGCATCGTCTTACCTCTTGGAGTGTCTCCTGATGATATCATACCTTGTAGCAGTGTACTAGCATTATACGAGAATCTTGTTCGATCGACCTGCCGATATGTTCACGTGTCCCCTCTCCGGAACCGGAGCAGAGCGGGCAAGTGTATAATTGTACGTCGGGTTCCCCGAAGGTTTCCAAACTTCGCGCTTCTCAGGGCGCCTCGCGAGGTAGCATTGACAGGTACTCCGCGTAGGCCGACTTCATCTCCTCCAGTATAGTCTATGCCCCACGTCTCCTTCATGGCTCGACAACGTGCCAGAGATAGACGGAGCGCACGATCATCTCGGAGTGCGCGAAGGCATATCAGCCTCGTGCAATACTGCGGTACATAACCAGCATAGTGATCGGCGCCAGCACCATTTCTGTCTTCTGTAGTGAGGTGTATGACAATCTGTAGAAGTGGATCTCACAATTACCGACAGTGCCCGGTATGAAAGGAGGTCGTCTATCCATGGCCTTCCTTAATTTGCGTCCCTACAGCGATCGGTTGTAAGATCACTGCAGCTGTACTGGCTTCGCATGATCTACGGATAGATCGACGGATGTACGGTCTCCTTGGTATTCGCGAGACCAACGCTCAAGCCTATGATAGACCTGACGCAAGAAGAAGTAGGGCCACCTGCGCACTGCAACATCTCTTCTCCCGAGCCTTACACTCCGCTGGGAGCGAAAGAAGACCAAGAAGACGTGAACGACCATGAGTTATCCAACAGTTATCGGGCTGTAGGTATTCCTTTCGAAGGATGTCTTCACCCGGCGCGGACCGGTCATGTCTCATTGCTAAGAACACTGTATATGAAAACTATATCCATTGAGCAGTGCAAGATTAGATTGATCAACTACGGTCAGCAAAATACGACATGTGAGTCCGAACCCCAGCATCTACTAGCATAACCTACACACGTGAGCACGCGACCCCCAAACCCCAGACCCTACTATGGTGACCCAGGCGCGCCCACACCTGGCCTCGGTGCTGGCAATGGTAGTGCACGTCCACCCCGGGGCCCTTTAGGCAACGGCTCTGGCGGGGGTTCGGAGTCTTCAGGTGGTGCGGGACGTGGGATGAGCTTGTCCACAGGAGGCAATTTCTCGCCGGCAATGACTTTCCTAGCCTGATCGGCGTCCAGCGTCTCATGCTCGACGAGCGCCTCAGCAAGTCTATCGAGTTCAACGCGACGCTCATTGAGTAGCTTGGTCGCACGCGCTTCGCTCTCCTCGAGGAACCTCCTGACCTCACTGTCAACCTCCTCGGCCTTAGCTGGCGAGATGAGTTTGTTGTCCCCGAGGTAGACACGGCCGATCTTGTCGCTATAACCCCAATGCCTGACCATGCTGTTGGCCACGCGTGTCGCGTTCTGCAAGTCCGAGCTCGCGCCGGTCGTGACCTTCTCCTTGCCGTATACGATCTCCTCCGCGATACGTCCACCATACGACACGTCCATGCTGGCGAGCCACTCAGTGTATGAGCGAGAGTACTTGTCCTCCTTCTCGCGCATAGCAGTGTGACCCAGAGACATCCCGCGCGGCATGCAAGTGACCTTGTGCAGAGGCGTCGCGCCCTCGGTGTAGAGAGCAACGAGCGCGTGCCCAGCCTCATGGAACGCCGTCATACGTTTCTCCTCAGCGGACAGAACCATGCTCTTGCGCTCGGCGCCCATGATGATATGGTCGCGCGCCCATTCCAAGTGCCGTGGAAGGACCTCTTTCGCCTTCTCCTTCGCCGCCTGCAGAGCAGCCATGTTGACCAAGTTCTGGATATCCGCTCCGGAGAAGCCAGTGGTTCCGCGAGCGAGCGACATGTCATCAACACCAGGGCCACAGATGATCTGCTTCAGATACGCCCGCAGGATCTGTGCGCGCCCACGAATATCCGGCAGTGGGACTTGAACGTGACGATCGAAGCGACCAGGACGGACTAATGCGTCGTCCAAGCTATCCGGAACGTTCGTGGCAGCAATGACCACGATACCCTCACTCTGCTTGAAACCATCCATCTCGACGAGAAGTTGATTAAGTGTCTGGCGCATGTAGGGTCGGTCAGCAGCATGTCGCTTCCCGCCGACGGCGTCGAGCTCGTCGATGAAGATGATAGCGCCTCCCTGTTTCTTGCGAGCGGCCTCGAAGAGTTCGCGAACGCGCTTGGCACCGACGCCCACGAACATTTCGTCGAATTCGGAACCGGACGCGAAGAGGAATGGGACACCAGCCTCACCCGCAACCGCGCGAGCAAGGAGAGTTTTTCCGGTACCGGGGGGACCAATCATGAGCACACCCTTGGGGAGCTTTCCGCCGAGGGTACTGAACTCCGTGGGGTTGCGCAGGAAGTCGATAACGTCGCGGAGCTCCTCCTTGGCCTCGTCCACACCGTGCACGTCCGAGAAACGAGCGGGCTTCTGGTTCTCGGCGAGCTCAAACTCTGACTGGCGAGGCGCCGCCTTGACGAGCCCAGACGTGTCCAAGAAGTATGCGACCAGTGTGATACCGAGCGTGCCGATGAGAAGGGTCATCGCAACCGAACGCGCGAGTTTGCCCTTCCATGCACCCTTGGCTGTTAAGCAGAAGTCAGTGGAGATTGGCACCTAATACATGAAGATACATACGTTCATGTACTGTGACCTCGATCCGACCGTCCGAACCAATCCTGCCAAGTGCGGAAGCCAGTGACGGGGGTACGCCGGATGAAGGACCAGAGCCAGAGCTAGACCCAGAGGCGGCCGCGACGCCAGCGAAAGCGGGAGACCGGCCAGAGAGAATAGCGTCCGCAATGTCCTGACTTCTTGACGGGGGAGGGGCGGGAGACGATTCGGGCGTGGATTCAGTGGACGAAGAGACCGATGAAGATGGGACCGTGGATTCCGAGGACGCGGTTGTCGTCGCGTCTACCGACGGCGCCGCTGGTACAGGTGTGGGAGTAGGTACACCGCCCGGAAGCTTAGCTAGAAGCTGGTCACGCCTGCGTGTTGCGGATGCGATTGACGACTGGTGGTTGAGCTTTGCGAGCGCGTACAGATATGTCTCGAACGCTTTGTCAGACGCGAGTAACGGTGAAGTCGAGTCCTTGCATGGTGACATTATTAGCATTTCCGTCGTTGTTTGTACAGAGAGTTGAACCTACGAATTCGGTCATACGCTCCCAGCGTGCGAGAACCAGCTCCCAACCCTCCTTGCGGTCAAGGTCCGCGTAAGCTTGGAAGAGTGCGAGCTGCGCTTGGACATCGTGTGGGTGTGCGTTCGCGTACTCCTCCTTCCTCGCAACTTCCGCGACAGTTTCCGGCTGCAAAGCCGACTGGGGCTTTGCGCCGAAGATATTTGTCAACGAGAAATTCCTGGACTGCTTCTGGTGCAAAGCGCCAAGGACAGGAGAACGCCGGGAAGCGATGACATGTAACGCGCGGGTAGAAGTGGGTAAGGAGCGGAATGCACCCAGCGCCACGGGCCTATGTGCAGCACCCCTGAGGGCCCCGAATAATAATGAGGGGGGCATCTAGGAAATATATCCCAGACGATCGTGGTGGCGAAAGCAGAGTACCCGGTCGGCGCTTGGGGCGGAGACGCGTCTGGCGCCGGCACCGCGCTCCCGACTCGCCACGTGCACAAACGCCGAAATCTTGATCTTGACTTTGGACCGTCATGTCGTCGGACAAGCAGAAGCGTGCGCTCGCCATTGCCGCTCTCTGGTTCTGACACTCATAAAGCATAGTATCCGTATCTCTACAATTGCTATCAAAGACATGCACAGCACTACTCAATGGGCTTGTATCGCCAACACCGCCAGATCAGCCTCTGCCTTTAACATCTCTGCACTCAGACCTTCTTAGTCTGCTCGCTCTCCTAGCGAACGATGCGAATAAACTCGTACTTGTTGTCTATCCCCCGGGAATGCAACCATCTTTCAAAGCAGCCCTTGCTCCGCTGCGCGATCTGACCACGCATACATCCACGCTCGCGTCAAATGCGGCTTCATTCGCTCCTGCCACTCACGGCAAAGCACTCACGTCGGAAGTCCGTGATCTCACACGAGAGGTTATACAAGCTATTCAAGAGCTAGCAGTCGCTCTTATTGTGTTTGTTGACGCACCTCTACGTACCACGCGCGACGGGAAAGGCAAGGGCGAGGCGCATATGGTCAAAGTTGCGGCAATCCATGCACTCATCGACTCTGCGCGTTCGAGTGTTAATGGTGTCTCGAGCTCGAATGCGCAAGCTGTGAGGAAGATGTGGAGAGAGCGTGGCTTGCTGGTTCGCGACGCGCTCGAGGAACTGGAGGATAGCGGTCTACCGGCAGGGAATGACGAAGAGGAAGAAGAAGAGGATGAGTTTGACTTTGGCGGGCCAGTGAGTGCAGAAGAGCGCGCGTTCAAAGCACAGGTATCTTGAGTCATTCATCAAAATCATGTCCAATGGTTCTAATACATCTTCAGTTGCACGCATTCGTCAAACGGCTGTTACTGACCTATGAAGAAGTCGGCGCCGCCTTGTTTTCTCTACCCGCACCGGACGCCGCATTCGATCCCCTTCTGGATGCCTCCTCCGCCATTACACGCGCTGTAGACGAGTTGGCGGCATGCGCGTATGACGGGCCGGAAGAGCTGCCTGCGCGGAAGAAGGTTATTGTCAAGGCACTTAAAGGAATAGGGAAAGCGCTTGATGGGATATGGGAGAAAAGCAAGGCCACTCGCGATGATGAGCAAGCGAAGGATAAGGAAGAGGACGAGAAGGTTATTAAAGGCAGTGGGCCATGGTTTGCCGCAGAACTCATCGAGCTTATCAAGGCCGTTGTAGCTGTTCAATGGCCCGCAGATTTGCCAAAATGAACATGGAGCTTGTCGCAGAACTTGTCTACAAGTGTAGACATGGATGGTAGAATCCGACGCGCGCTAAGGACTGGGATTATATTATCTCGAATTATATCAGTATCGGTAACTCAGTATAGTGCACAACATGTAAGTACGCTCGATCTCCAGGCGCAGTACATACATACACTCCGCCCGATTTAACATAAGAGCTCACAGTCAATTTCCCCGGGGAATGAGGCTCACAGGTGGTAGGAACGACACCTGCAAGCCAATTTATCCGGGTCTACATCACTGAAATTATAATCACGCGCGTATCACGCAGGATAAAAGGGTATCAGAAAGACGTTATACATTGGCAGGCAAAAGCGCCGCGCAAGAATGGCGGCCATGAGGTATGGCTACAGGTTTTCAGTTCGTGCAAACCTGGTTGGGGCAGGTTGACGAATGTACATGACGGCATTGGCCATCATCCAATGAGCACCGACATCCGAAATGTTTGTATCATGTTGAGAGCGAGTTGAGGGGTCCAATAAATACCATTGGCCATATTCGTTTATGATGAGGTCCGTTGAAAAGCATATTGCGTCGTCCGTGTCGTCAAGTCGACGTGATTGGTAAGATATCAGTAGCCGGCCCAGCCACGAATCCAAAGTTAGTCGCAGCGTCCAGTTAGTTGCAATTGGTCCAGACGTTTATGGGCACCGGAAGAAAACATAGTGGAGAGCTTGGGCATGCAGCACTTCAGAGGTGAACCTTGATGGGAGACTGAAAAACATTAGCACCTTCCAACACAAGTCGAGTCGCATGATTATGCCAACGAACCTCATTACGCGACGCGTCTATAGCCATCGGCGTGCCACTCTGGATGCTGGACGTGGTAGTCATCATGCCCGGAATCTCGTCCCCGTTAGTAGCAGTAAGCTGCGCGTTGTGTTGCGTTGAAGCAGTACTGGAAGGTGGCGACGCCTTGCGAGGCTCTCCAGCACTCAGGAAACCAGCCTGCTGGGATTGATTTTGCGTCGGCGTACGACTATGCTCCGCAAAACTAGCAAGTTCCCTCTCGCTATATCTCGGCCGCTTGCCCTCCGGCTCATAACCACTCGCACTCTCGCGCTCCTTGATATACGACGAGCGCTCAGGACGCTCTTCCCAGCGACGCTCATCGTCATACTTGCGCTTCTGTGAAACGATCTCTTCGCGTTGTGCCTTCTTGATCGCATGAGTAGTCAGATCCCGCTCGCTCTGCGCAGTTCGCGCAATCCTCTTCACGTGTGCGTCTACTTCGGCGCGTATACGATCAACCTGTACGTCGGCCTCTCTCCGTAAACGTGTTGCAGCGTTGTCAGCTGCAGCATCAATAGCTTTTGTCGCGCCAGAAACGAACAGTGCAAAGACTGGATGAAGTCCACTGTCAGACTACCAATGACAAAGAGGCGACTAGATTGCTCACCATCTTCCCAGACATGCGTCAAACGAGAGTAATTTTGTTGCACCTTCTCGCGTTGTTGTTTGCGAGTGGCCATGACAAGCTCGAGTGACGGCGTGATCGCTTGCACTGCGGCAGGAGACACCTTAGCCAACGTCGACGCAAGGTTATTGTACGTTTCGAGCTTCTCTTCTTCCTTGTCGTAGGCCGCTGTATCCAGTACCACCTTGTTCGTCATCCTGACTGGTGTCAGAACCCGTTGTAGAACGGATCAAGTCACTCACTCAGCAATCTTCTTGAACGACTCAATAACTCTTTCGGCGACGTCGGTGGCGTCGAACATAGAGGTAAGGGGCGGCTGTTGATGGTTAGACGGTCCTGCACTAACATTACCATTCGCAGGCTCCCGGGCCGGAGTATGGTGTTCTAGGGACATGGCAGCTGAAGATGCCGATGTCAGAAGCGGTGATACGGAGATAAGTGCTGATCCGTACCTTTCACCGGTGTGCGCGTCACGCTCGAGAAGGAGGGGTCGGTGGGAATGCCCCGGTCTCTCGGGAGGACCGGGTCTGGATAGCGCTCCCGGGACGGTTCACGGCGCTCCCGGGGCTCTCGGGTGTGTTCTCGGTAGGCGCCATATGGAGGCTAGGAGAAACATCAGAAGAGTTCTATGAACGACAAGGTTCACTACCGTACCGCTCTACTCGCATCGCGCGGGTCGACGTCCATGGGCGGGGGGCGCTCGTACCGCTCGCGACGTGGGTCGTCGACCATCATACGCTCTGTGGACCGCCCGCGTCGAGGTTCGTCGTGCAGCATCCGTTCCACTGAACGCCCGCGACGTGCGTCAGGATCAGGTTTGATCTCACGATCCCGTTCACGCGGTGGGGGTGACGGCGCCCGGTATTTATTCCGATAATCTGCTGGTCCTAATGAAGACGCTCGCGGGGGAGGCGGTGGTGTACGGCCGCGGGGGAAATATGGCTTCGCAACCTGCTGCTGAGACTTATTGAGAGGCATCTTGCGGTGTGCCCATTGCGGGTCATCAGGATGAATGTAGCTACGCAGCACTCGTGAGTTATTCGATTTACGGAGCGTATATGCACTTACCCGCATTGAGAGCCTGACTGGCATCGTGGCTCCAGCTCTCGGCCGGTATGGAAGTCGAAATACTAGCGAGTACGCCACAGATGAATATATACACGAAATGAGGTGGTAAGAACTGCTTGCCCTGCAGGGGACCGTCTTATAGAAGCCCGGTCGATGTGAGAAGTTGTTCAAAGGCATTTTCTACAGAATACAAGTGCAGGCAATGGCGAGATAGATGGTGGTGAGAGGGAAGAACGACGGTTGGTCGCGAGCCAGGCGCCGTCCTCGGCTCCCACGAAGGGACGCCCTTACCCGCATATGACTGCTTGTTCTCCTTTGGGCGAAGCGCTGGATATATGCGCATGGGTATCATCTCGACGGGTCTCTCAAAGCCTTCCACGATGCTGTGGTAGTCGTGCTAGAGCGCGAGTCGTCGTAGTTGTGGTACAAGACTGTCCTCAAAGCGCGGACTTAGCGCTTAGCGCCTTGTGTTTTTTTGAATCCGGTCCGCGTCGAACAAAAGAGCGCGGAGTCGGCCAGCAGGGCAACGACGACCGCGCCGGGAGCCATGACGGAGGCTGGGTTGTCTCCTTCCATCATCTGTGCTCCGTTTCGGCTGTGCTCCTCACTCGGAGATGGGCGTTTTCACCAGCTCTTGTTCGCCCAGGCTCTTCTGGCCAGATATATCCGCGCGCGTCTCCACGAACAGCGCGTCCGGCGAACAGCGTACACTGCGCGAACTCGTACTCGAGCATTGCCCTAGCCTTTCTTCTCCATTCAATCCTGTATGGTGGCTCTTCAAGTGCGTCATCCCGGCAGCATACTTGCGGCAACCATGCTGACACCGCGCAGTGGGCACATGCAGACCATGTACTCTGCCCTCGCGGACTTCACGCAAGTAGACAAAGTTGAATATGACCGGTACGTGCTGCACAGCTTCATCTGAGCGTGTGTCGATCCTCAGATGCGTACAGCGTTTTCCTGAGATTGAAAGATGGCGGGACGCTGTACGTGTACTCCGCTCGAACGCTGGAACCCGCGCCTCATTCATTTCGCGTAGAGGCCTTGACTTCACGCCTCCGAGGAGTGCAGGCCGCACTTTTTCAGATGACACGCCTGTAATCGTCGTGCTACATGGTCTCACAGGAGGTCTATATTCGTATCTTGCCTTCCATAGGGATCCATCCTAACATAGTTTAGGGTCGTACGAGTCGTACGTGCGTGCCGTCCTCGCCCCGGCTATTACGCCGGCATCGGAAGGCGGTCTCGGATATCGCGCCGTTGTGCTGAACTCACGGGGATGCGCGGGCGTCCCTTTGACTTCGCCGAGTTTGTACTGCGCGGGTAGGACAACAGATTTGCGATCGGCATTGCTATATTTGCAGACGTTGTACCCAAAGGCGCCACTCCTCGGCGTGGGTTTCTCATTGGGATCTTCAGTGTTGACGAAATATCTCGGGGAGGAAGGCGAGGAGAGCCGGTTGACCTCTGGTCTCGGTCTCGGTGTAGTATGTATCCTGCAAACTTATATCCGCTTCTACTTCTAATTCCGCACCAACAGCCCTGGGACTTGTTGCAGATGAACGACCGGCTCAACAACAACTGGTTCAACCGGAACGTGTACTCCAAAGCACTGGGTAAAAACTGCGGGGCGCTTCTTATGCGGCACGCCGCCGAGTTGGCACAATGGCCCGACTCGTATCTCACCCGCATCTTGCCCGAGGTCGTCGGCCGCAAGACTTTGTTGGCCGTTGACTTCGATGAACTTGTATCGCGCGTTGTTTCCGGGCCGTCACCTCCGTGGCCTTTCCCCAGTGCACTCGCGTTCTACGAGTATTGCTCGCCAAATCAGTACTTGCCAGGCGTGCGCGTGCCGTATCTCTCACTTGACTCAGATGATGATCCCATCGCGAATGGCTCCCCGATCGACAGCGTCAACCCATGGGTGACACTTGGTTTGACTGCTGCAGGTGGCCATCTTGGCTGGTTTGAGAAGGAGGAAGGAGAGATACGCCGCTGGGTTCGCAAACCTGCCCTGGAATGGTTCCGCCTAACAGCCGAGCGTGTACAAGTCTTCAAACACACAAGGCCGCGGGCAATCATCGAACGCGATGGCTGGTTAATCGATGCGGGTGACGAGGAGATGGCAGTGACTCTGATAGACGGAGAGCCCCAGGTCGTGAAAGGTTCTGAAGCTACAGACGGCTTGCTTGCAGGCCTTTGAGCGTCGGTTTCCCTTTTTGTCATTCGGCATAGATGTGGGTGGCTGTAGGTCGATGTATAGACACAGATAATAGAGCCACAAGTATACATATCTGTCTTAGTCGCTATCACTGAAATCAACACGGTCTCTGTGCTCGTCCTCATCGTCTGACCGTGCCGTGCGGTCGTACTGGCTGAGATCTACAGAGACTGCGCCGTCCTCGACCATAGAATCCTCCGCGTCAAGCCCCTTATTCTTCTCAAATAGTTGCCGACCTGTGATGTATGAGGAAAGTGATACATATGCTGCGAGGAAACGAAGTACCTGTTGGCCGATGAGCAATGCGCTTATACTCATCGCGCTCTTTAGGCGATAAGGCCTTCAACTTCTCCTCCTCTTCGCGTGCCTTTTTCGCGGCCATCTCTTGATCAAACTTGACTTTCCACTCCAGAAAAGATTCACGCGTCACAGGTGTACCTCGTGTACGTGCCTCCTCGGCCTAAACAACGACAACCAACTCAGCTCGAGTAGCGACGATGGTACAGGACGCGCACCTCTATTGCCAGCCGCTCCTTTTCAGCCTCTTCCTTCTTTATCTTCTCCGCTCTCTCTCCCACCAGAGATGAGAGTTCCTCTCGGAGAAATGTGACAATTGTGAACGTCATGGCCATGCCGAGGTTTTCTTCTCCCTGCAAAGATGTTAACCGGGTGGTTATAACAAGGTTACGGATGAGACACACACCACAGTCTTCATCCCACTCAAGAGCTTTTCTGTCTCCGCCTCATCTAAAACGTCCTCCTCGTGCTCCAAAGAAAGCCCAGGCAGTACATCAGGATACTCGTCCGGATATTCGACATTCAAGGAGAGCCTGACTGCATGAAGTTCAGCGCCGGAGGGTCGTATACAGTTCTGATGGTCGCGCACTAGGCTCTATGCCGTCTTCCAGTTCCTCCGGTTCAACGTCGATCTTGATGTGTCTTTCCGACAGTTCTTACCGTGAGCCTGAGCATGCGCGCTTGAAGAGAGAAGCGTTTGGACGGACTCGTGAGCTCATCGGGATAGATAGATTCCAGAACCTAGAAGGTACGTTTGCATAGAGTACAGAAGGCACGTCCGATCTTGAACAGACCTCGAATTCCTCTTGCAGCACTTCGGAAGACATGGCAGGCTAAGGCAAAGCCGAGAGACGCGTCCGGCCCGAAGGTACCGGTGACGCGGGGCTCTGTCTCTCACGGCGAGCCAACTCACCAGCGACCACAACGAGCACGAGCATGCTTTCGCTGCTCTCGCGCACCGCCTCCAGCGCCGTCTCAGCGGCCCGCGCTCGACCTTTCCCCGGCGCCACGTCCCGACGGGCTTTCGCGGCTGCCGCTGCACCCTCTGTGGCGAACGTCGATAAACTGACACGCACCCGCCAACCCGTGGATTGGAGAACATTGGACGCCGCTGTCATGACAAAGTCGGCTCAGCTGCGCAATGAAAAGCAGCAAAAGACCGGGCCGACTTCAGTAGCCGAAACATGGGCCGACCTGAGTGATAAAACATTGGGGCGCCTGGGTCCGCCTCCTGGCAAATATGCTGGTGAGTACCCTTCTACTTCGACGTCTCCGCGGTCACAGACTATCCTGCAGGTCGCAGCGTTGAGGTTCAGAAGGGAGACTTGGCTAGCGCACTGCGTCGGCTGAACACTATCCTCTTCGAGAATCGGGTTCACGGGGAGCGTGTCCGCAACCTTCGCCACGAAAAGAAGGGCTACAAGCGGAGACGGCTTGCAAGCGAACGTTGGCGGCGCCGGTTCGCTCATGAGGTATGTCATCTGCACAGCATAGTGTGGCTACTATAACCTAACTCCCCATCAGGTCAGGACGAAGGTTGAGCTTGTCAAGACGATCAGGCGAAGGGGTGCATGATCCCTACAGCCCTCGCTCAGGCGACTCCACACCTTGCTATCGTTCCCTCTATGTATACTCGTGATCTTAATTACCCCGTACTTGTTCTTTCAACTAGGAACCATGGTATACTCCTGCAGTGCCTGTTTCTACCACCGCCAGTGACGAACAGGACCTGTGCCAATAACTTGCCCGCAATACGTTCAGCGGCAACAGCCACACCTTCTCTTTCCGCTTTGCCTCTCTCAGAGGCCGTCTGCGCTGCATGCGCATATAGAGTCGGCATGCCCTACATCGGGGCATGCCTTGCCTCGTAACGACTGTTCATGATCCACGTTTGACGCTAATTCATCATTGTCAGTGCTTCCTACTGGCCCGATCACATGTATAGTAGGTTCCAGAAAAGGCTGCCATACTGTGCAGTGCTACATGTGTGTTTTTCCTTGTGTGGTATCTCTCCGAGGGACCCGAGCAACGAGGGATCTGCTCCGCAAAATCTCATCGATATGCCACGTCGAGGGTGCGCAGATCTTCATCGGAGTGGGTGGCTGGCCGATGATCCTCGTGTAGCCCGAGCTACCACGACGGGTAAAGTATGATAGGCCGGCGTGCCAGGCCCATCTCCTCGTCATTTTGTCTATTGGCGATATAGCGAGAGTGTCTTCTACGCGCGCGTACCAACGCGCTTGCCCCTATTCTCCTGCCGTGCTCTGGCCGTCGCTGTACGATCGCTGGGCTTCTCCCCCGCCTGTCGCGGGCCACGCACCTTTTCTTGCTTCATTGACGCAGAGCGCGAGGCAGACTCAAAAAACTGCTGCCGTTAAAAGGTGCGTTCAAGGCGGAATGGCATTGGCATCGGTCTTCCTTCTTCGACTCTCCGTCCTTTGTATTCAATAAGATCCAACTATGTGCCAAAACGTACGTTATTTGGCCTTTTAACGACGATGAATTCAATTACTCAAGCATGACACAGATAATTTCGGGCCGGTTTTATAGCGGGTGTGGGCACTTCGCCCCCATGTCGACGCATTTTCAGGATTGTATGCGTTCAAACTGCCTCTTCAGCTCTCGCCATGAGCACCCAGTCGGTGAGCGCTGTCCCGAGACGCTCAAGGCGCCGGTGACCGACGCGCGCACAGGCTGCCGCTCGCCGCAATGCATCCGGATGATGGCACAACCCATTCGTAATCCTATCCGCATTAGTCCTGCGCGGTGCAGCAACTGTATCGCTGGGGATCGCTAGGATATCCTCTTCGTTCATCGTTCAAAGACGACATGACGATACGCCGCCATCGACCCGCCGTCCGAAAATCTCGGCATAATCACGTTTCACGCCACCTTGGCGGCCTGCCACAAGATCTCGACTCTCGCGCAGTCGAGTGCCGCACACGAGGAGAGCAACTCCATTCACATCCGGTCCTTTCACAAGCCGTCACGTATCCTTATCCATAACCTGTACCCTGTAAAGGCTTCTCGGATCTCACGAAATACCCATATTTTCCCATTCTATCGTATACAGACCGGACGATACAGTAGTTTCCGTATCAGTTTGGACTGGCTCATCAATGACGTCTCATGAGATCCGTATACATGACAGAGCCGGCCATAGCAGCCTGTAAAGGTTGCAGAGTCTATTAGCTGCGTCTTAATCATGGAGGATTCGAGGGTCCTCGCATGCCGGCAAGCTGACTTCGAGGACCGACCGAGAACGCAGCATGGACACTATCGGGGAGAAATGTGTGTGCACAAAAGCCAAACCATCTGTATAGGTTGCTAAAGGGCCTCAATCGAAGTCTGCAACGCTTCCCAAACTGTATGACTCATGCTTCGGTTCGAGAGCTGTGTTTCTGTTTACGAGAGCTAATGACGACAGCATAGAGATAACTAGTAGATAGCGAGGGAGATTGGGCAGCGGAGTGATGAGTACCGTGAGTCAGCTGAGATCAAGACGAGGAGAGCCGGACTCGGATACAATTGCGCCAGAATCGGCGGTAGATCTTTGTGAACTCGCGTCTATAGGCGTTCGATTGCCTTGTAATGATTCAGGAGTAGCGTGGCCAGGACCGATCCCGGCGAGCCTTGATGGTGCCGTCCTTGAGCTATATTTTTCAGCCTTGTAGAACGTTGACCGCTGAGATATGTTACTGGGAGGTGCAATCTATTACATTGATCAACTTTCAGCGCCACGGGGATAAACCCTCAACCGACCGCAAGTAGGTCACCAAGGTGTTCTTGCAGGCCCTGAGCGTCGACATGTCGGTAGAACTCTAGAAGAATGCTAAGCGAGTCTATCGTTTTCTTTTCAGTATACAATACACAGGCCACGCCAGGTGAGAGCGCTTACCAATCACGGATTGCACCTCGAGCTCGTTCAAGGCAAAGAACGCAAGTATGGCCTGGTTCACATCTGGAGATGCGGATTTATGAGCTGGAGGCGTAGGTAGCGATGCAGACGGCTGTATCGGTGCCAAGCGCGCATCCAAGGAGGGTGAGTTCGAACCATCGTATAGTCGTTGAGCTAGAACGTAACACGTAGCGGCGATGATCTTGGGAGTGTAGAGGATGCATAGTGGGGTACGATATCTATAGGATGACAGCTCAGATATAACCCTCAAAGTTAACGTCGATGAACAAACGTGTCGTTGGCTATGCTGAAGGCGTGATCGTGTAGTGAGTCCGGAAGTTGATGCATCTCAAAGAGAGACACCAGATCGAAATGAGGGCTGTCGACAATGAAGTCGAAGCACAGCGCGTCTAGAAGAACCTCTTCTGCTGTGAGGATACCCTGACCTATCTCCTCAACCTCCTATGCATTCATCAGTCTTCGCTCGAAGATAGTCGTAGCCACCACTAACCCTACTGTCTGCAGGTATCTCCTCAAAATTCAAGGACGGTTGCTTTGACTTAGCACACACAACCCTCGCCACATCTCGCAGTTTACGCCCACACTCCTCAGTCTTTGAGGCAAGGAATATACACGCTGCAGCAACGACCTTGACTATATGAGCATATGCCTGACTCCCTTCAAAAGATGAAGGATCGCTAACCTGACGGTGAAAATCCTCCATAGAGTAGCGCATGTAGAACCGGTGAAACCACGTCGCAGCGGTAAAGAGTGCCGGTAGATGCCTGTGTGATCTTAGAAAGCGGTGTGGCCTGTCAACGGGAGAAGTACGAACATATTCAGGGTCGATCCGAGGCGGAACAAGAACTCGACGCCTCGGGATCTGTCATACAAATCATCAAGTAGAGATCTACCAAGTGATGTTGGTGTTCGTTCTAAGCTTTGTAGAGAGAACAGCCATTGCGAGCCGGAGGCATTCGACGCGACAACCATGTTGGTGGTGGAAGACTAAAGCCACGAACGCGTCGCGCGTCGCGACTCCTGTCAGATGCTCACACGCGACGCGGCTAAAGTACTGCGCAGCCTCGCGTCTAGCGCGGCTTGAAACCAGCCACCACAATCTCGCTATAGGTCGACCTCGACTTCCTCCCTCCGTCATATGCCATACACGGTCATTGTGGGAGGCTACGAAGCTCTCACATCCTTGAAGCCCTTCACCGGGTCGTATGTCGATCAAACTCAACAGATGAACGCGCTTACCTTGGTTGGGTGGCCCATCCTCTAGTGCTAGTCGAAGGATACCATCGCGGCTACTTGCTCGCATCCCACGCAGTCATACAAGTATTCTCCCGATGTACAGCCTCTCTAGTTGCCAGCCTCTCAATACTTGTGAATAACGGTACCGCCTCACAGTATCACGCGAGGACTACCCTACTACACTCACCTAGTCTAGTATTTCCATTGCGTTCTCAATCCAATTCAATGGGGCTGTGGATTCTTCGGGGCCTGGACTCCTTGCCAATGACACTCCGTGGCAGTTCGCCGGTGGCGCGCAACGCTCGCGCGCTGTATTGGGAATTTAGGCTTGTTTCGAGGATCGACACGTCACGCCGTCACCTCTTGAGTCTGATGCGCACCCACGTATCTGCAGATCTGCTTCAGTGGCGAGGCATGGCGTTGCTTCTGATCAGAATTCGTACAGAGGAGATTCCAGATCATCCTACAGAGAAGCAGCGACGTACAAACATAATTAGTGGGGACTACTACAAACGGCCAGTCTTGTACGTATAAAGGTTCTGTGACTTCTCTATCGATCTAATAGTCTCTCCAGGCGACGAGTCCGGTGTACAGCAAAAATCCCGATCACAAACGCATCATCGATATCCGGCTTGTTTGCATGCCGGGCAATATTCACTCTTGGTAAGCTCTGAGGAAGATCAGTTTCACGCGTCTCTTGGATATTGGCCGGGCGTACTGTAGTGGTGCGTCCAGCCGGGTCTGAATTATAGCGGGTTAGAAGGAGTATGATCGGTTTTCAGCGATACGTACATCTTGGTGCACTTGCACTCGGGATAGACACAGTCTGTCGGATGCGCTGCACTGAGAGCACACCATCGGGAGCCGCAGTCAACCTGAGACGCCTCAGGACAGGAAGACGTCGGTGCTTGAAGGAGAGTACCTTCTCGTCCTCCTCCTACCAGCGTACTTCAGCATACGTTCTTCTCCGGCAAAGTTGAACATGACGTACGGTAATTGTCTCATGACCACAGTTCACATACGAGTACGTGCATCTAGCGCGCAAGTCGTTCATATGCGCCACAGAATAGACGGACGAAGTGATGGCTCACCGCTGATGGCGGCACATTACAGATAATCGCAGAGGAGATTGGGGGATGGGGGGTTGTGGGGACGAGCGCAGACGTTGGTATGTTCGAAGTTGGAGGAGGGTTTTTATGCTTACCGCGAAGTCCATCCGCGGCAAGATCACCTTGTCAAGGGACGCAAGCACGAGTTGCCGATAACGAAGTCCACAACGCGATGTCATGTAAGTACAGCACGGTCCCGGAGAGGCGATCATTTCCTCATGGTTGACGGAGCGGAGGCTTTTTAGCACTCGGGGCGGATGTGTAGCCAACCCAAGCAATGAACTTCAACCTGCAGATGTCAGCGTGAGCTTCTTCCTCCCGCGGCAGAACACGATCTGAGTCCGAGGATGCCATCAGGCTCCGTCCCGGCAGGCTCGAGGCAGTTGGTAAAAGGTTAACAGCGTATACATGAGGCAATGCGAATGCCCCTGGGACGACAGTCTTCCGAGCCGATGCCGGAACGTTGGGTGGCCTTCGCATCCAGGTAACATCGCGGGCAGTTTTCTATCATACTGCAATCAACGGAATCTCACTCGTGTGCATAATCTCCGAGCGATCTCTCGGACCCTTTGGATCTTTCCCGTACGCAGATGTGGCGGTAAACCCTAGCCCAATTGTCACATGCAAGCGTCCGTAGGAAGTGGCAGCCTTCTAGACGTTCATATCATACAACTAGGACCCATTCAGTGCCGCCGGGCGGCGAAGTAGTAGCATGCCCCGATTTCCGGATCCCTGGTGCCACAGCTTCATGGCAGGCAGAGGCAGGACTGTCATGACCCTCTACCACAACTGGACCAACGCACAGCAATCGCATCCTATAGCCTATGACGTGAGATGTACTACGGGTTGTGTAATCAGGTCAATCGCTATGTCGATGAACGTCGGGCACGTCAGACAAAAGACGTGCTTTTCCCGGCACACTCCCGCTGTATCGAGAAAGCAGGTCCCAGAGAGTGCACAAGATGAACGGCAAGTCGCGGTTGACTATCAGAAAATTTCGCATGTTCCCTCACTAGGCGGTTCTGACACCATACGAGAAGGTAGTCGGTCACCGCGTATCTGCGCTTCACGCAACGGCAGAGTACCGTGGTCAATGTCGTGGCCGATCACCCACGGGCTCAGTAGATCGCGCTGCTTATCTCTTTTCATCGATGCCGTCTGTCGGACTCAAGTTGTGGATGACATCGACGAGTAACTCGTTCTCCTGAAAAGACCAAGCCGTGCGGACACACCAGCGGAGGCTGATCGGGGCATAAACGTTCGTCCGTACAAGGAGAGCAGTACACGAATTCTACCGCAACCCTCTCACCCGGCGAACATCCCGACTAGATACTGGCTGACGCCCTCGGGAGTGAGCACACCGACGTCCGAGAACACTAGAGATATGAGGTCTGGCCTGAACATTGATAGTCAGTGAGATGACTTTGAAACTACTGCATGATCTCACCGAGTGTAATCTACACCGGGATTTTTGGCGATTTGTTCGAGGCTCATGGTACGTTGAACAGTGCCAGCGGCAGCGGCTTTAGAGCCGACTGTTGCCGGAGCAGGCTTAATCGATGGTGTAACCGGGCCGCCGTGGGATGCGGACTCCGCGAGCGGACGAGACGCCGTGCTCCCGGCGTCGAGGACCGGTTGGGCAAAGGATAAAATCTCCGCACTATGTGTCGGCAGGTCATATTGCGATAGGGGGAACAGCCGATGGAACTTATAACTATTCGGCGGCGTGTGTCAGTCCAGCCGAGGGTCACGCTACAAACTCGAGGAGAAGGACGAGGTACCGCACCTCTCCGCCAGGGCGTAGAACGGCTTGTTCTCTGCTTTTGCGATGACGGCCATCTGATTGCTACCGACCGCGTTGACGAGGCCGCCGCTTTCGACGACTGCTTCGGAGCCCACGAGTACGAAATCGACTTTATCCATGACATACGCCACGGCAGAGTCGAGAACCACGATGCATGGGATGCCCGCTGCCGTGAGCTCTTCGTATGTTTTGATCCTGAAGAGGCACGCTGATGATTTGCGCACACGTGCAAACAGAGCGATACGCACCCCAGTCCGCGAGGCCGCGCCTCAGTCACGTAGACGGATATTCTCTTGCGCTTATGAGCCAACAATAATGTCTGCATGACGACTCGCGAGTAAGAATGTGTCAATATCTGCTCCGTGATTGATCATTAGCGAGGAATTCTGACATCAGAGGTTGGTACGAACGACTGAGTCGTCCTTGATGAACCCGAGGGAGAGCTCCGCAATCTTGGTTCGGAAATTAAGAGCATCTGAGGCATACTGTTGACCCTGTCGTACTAGCTCTTTCTTGAGTTCCGGGAAGCTCTAGAAGCATGAACGGTCTATGCGTGAGCTCATAGACAACATTTGTGCACAGGTTTAGGGCGACTTACCGCCGCGGCGTGAGGGAAGAGCGTTACAAACGCAATGAAGAGTTCAGAGCCTGCGTTGAGACCGATCGGGTTGGGAATTTGGGTCCTCAGTGCCTCCGCGCCATCGTTGAGGGCTTTGACGAGTTCGAACATAGTTCCGGCTGCGCAAGTCCCGTTGGATCCACTTCGTTCTGGCTGTAATCTCCGAACGAAAACTCACCTTCTGATTTAGAAACCAATTCTGTAAGTGAAAGAATCGCTGCCAAAGGTGCCGATATCTAACGGACATGCGTTGGCCGCTCGTAAACGAGAGCCCGCTAGAAACAAGCATACAGCCAACCTCCGGATCGGATAGTGCGCGTTGATAAGATGCATAGATATCAAAGGGGCGAGAATTGGATCTCGCATCCTCTGGGAACGGAGGGGGAGGCGCGTTTGGCGGGGATGTATGTGTGGCGAGAGTGGGACGTGCCGATTTCCCTTCGGGGATCGGCAGAGTAGCAGACAAGGCCGAGGTCATCAGAGCAAACAGAGACTATACTACAGCTTCTTTCAAATAAGTTCTATGGTGTTGATACAAGAGCTCTCTCAGTTGGGTGGTTAGACGAAGGTGGTGGCGAGATCAAGGTTCAGTTCGCTCCTGGGCCCTGGCTTGACTCGGCAATCGGCAAACTCCGCCGACGCGCTCTCGTGACTTTTTTCGACAGGCATGGTCTTGCTGTGGTCCCCGAGTACACAAGGCCGGTCTGTGTCCCATAGCTAGTTCGAGCATACGGCGAATCTTACGGTAGATCAAGCGAGCGCACGAGAGTTTACTCACAAGTAGTTTCATATTCTCATCTTCTTCAGCTCTGGCTGACGGGCGACCATGGACATTGATGCACTTGTATCGGATATGGCATACATGATACTCATAGAGAGCCAACAATTCTACCAGCTTGCATCTTTACTCGCTTGAACGTCATGACCACTATATAGTATCTCCTACGATGCAAACGCGTCAGCGGTCGCGACGTACGTCATCAAGCGGTCTGATCGGATACATTAGGCAATATTGGGTTTGCTGCGCATTGAGAAATGTCGTAGGGGCGAGGCTCACGAATTTCCAAATCTGACAGACAAAGCTTATCCCAGACAGCAGCGCTAAACGCTTTTCGGATATTGAGACGGTTACAGGTATCGTTTGACATGACGAATGTATAGACAAGCCGAAACGCCAAAGAACTGACACCCGATAAGGCCATTTCACGTCAAGGAAGACATACCAAATGCGGCTATAAAGGGCCCGGCCGGTCGCAACATGCGGCTAGCAACGGGAGTAGTGGCCGTGTGAGAAGGGGGGTGCGCGCTTGAGAATGTGCCTTTTTTGATTTGGTGACCTCTGCGCATCCAGCGCACCGTATGTCAGGGCTGCAGCGCGTGGGTGCACATGTCAGGTGTCGATTGAGAGAGCGACTGTCGTTGTAGCATGAGACGCAAGCAAGGCACTCCAGCTGTGGCCCCGCCAGCTGTGGCCGCGCTACAGAAGCGGTGGCCTAATTGAAAATCCCGGTCGGAAGGAACAATCGCAGCGTCGGCGGCAGCGAGATCATTTGGCAACGGCAGGTTACCGAGGCCGGAGCGGGCACATGAAACGCGTATGTCGTGTTGGGGCGGAGCGAATTAGGAAGGATTTGTTGAGCGTGGTCGGGAGGATAGGATTGCTCGCCGTGGACGAGCAAAGACGGAGGGAAGAGTTGGGCGTACAGAGAAGCAGGAGCAGGTGATGGCGAAGTTGCGGCGCCGTGGGTTCGCTGATCCCGAAAAGGTGGCGATTGCGAGCCTCGTTGTGCGTGTGAGCTAGATAGCCGAACGCTCGCTTCGGACAAACTCGCGCGGGCCGATGAGCGCACCATTATATATTTGACCGTCACCTCATCCAGGCCGCGACCCTCCCCGTCTCTCCTCGGCCCCCAGACGGCCGTTGTTCTCCTCTCGCCCACTCCATTGTCCCGGATTATTCTTCTCCGCCCCTCTCGCAAAGTCACCGCAGCTGCCGTCATTTCTTTGTTCTCTTTTCTCTCTCTCGGGTACGCATTGTCAGAGGCCGTGTGCATAAAGCCGTTACTGATGGATGGCGCGCCTCCCGCCAGCATAAACAAGTCTGCACCGCCCGATTTTTCCGAACCACCACCCTCGCCATGGCCGCCTCTCCCGAGATTGTCTTCTCGCAAAACGTTCAGAGCATGAACGAGTGGGCGATGCGTACCGGCATCCCGCTGGCCAGTCGAGCGGACGACATGAACGTCCCGTACAGGCGGGCCCACCGCTGGCTGCGCCAAATCAAAGACGAGTTGTGCGCCAGGCATGGCTTCGTCGAGGTGGCGTCCAGCGACCCGCGTATCATGTACTCCATTGAGTGCCCACCGCTACGGTCCTCGAACGGTCTCCAGCGCTCCCCGCCATTCCGCCTCCAGATACCGTTGGACGTGACCACGTTCTTCGCGCCACAGCGCCGCGTCGAATGGGAAATGCAGTTCCATAGCGCCGCCTTCGGCTACATGCGACGCACGAATCCCGCTATCCTCGATTTATTCAACCTCCTTCAGAGCCTAATCACTGGGGTCATCGTGTTGGTCATGGAAGAGCGCAATCCTGGCGAACGTCTCGTGCGCACCATCCGCGCACTTCCCATGCCGGACTGGGTCGCAAATAATGGCACCGAGCTCACACACATACTTGGCGTCGACCGGTATCGTTCCCTGTATCGTGCGGCGGGCGACAAGCGCATGTCGTACAAGCTCGAGCAGGAGCAGCACTAGGCAGTGCTGGTCGCGTTCGTCAACGCGTGTGCGCACACGACATGTGGGTGGCGCACGCGAAGAGCGTGGATGGCGGCACACCCCATCACACAACTGGTGGGGCTGCATAGCGACTGGGACGCTCCGCCATCGAGCTCATGGTACCTGTCGACATCAACCATCCATGAACGTTCGAACACTCATTGATAACCTCGCCATTTTAATCACTTTCAGTCTTGTAGACTCGCTGTCGAGTACCGTTTTGCTATGCTTTTCCCATGTTGTCAATATTGCTGCACACAACCTTCTCCTTCCCCATGCTGTATCATCATTCACTTTGTCTTTTGAAGCTCGCTTGTACCCTGCATCCCTCTCGTACTCTCACATATAATACCTTCCCCACATGTGCATATTTACAGCCTCATCTCCGCTAATCTCGGGAGCGCACTGTTACACTGATTGGTCTCTCTACGTTACACGGTACCCATTATACGTCATTGCAATAATTGCAAGTAGTCGCTTGGGCATCGCCGCCCGTACTTTATGGTTCCCGCACGTGATCCTGATATTTTCAATTGAAGGCGGTGCCGAAATCGCGCCCGACGTGCTTGCCACCTACATCGACCATTGGACTGGATCATGACCACGCCGTCGCAAGTGAAATGTCAGAGCGGTCAATGCCCTAACGGCAACCCTCCCTCGAAGCTAGAGTGCCCGACCTGTCACAAGTGAGCGCATGATTTCCTCTGGCGTTTGGCACGATGCTGCCTCTATACACAGGCTTACGATAGCCGCGTAGGCTCGGGGTGCAAGGATCGTTCTTCTGCACGCAGGAATGTTTCAAAGCCGGCTGTGAGCATACTCATCTTTAGCTCGCCACTGGTGCAGGACTTATCTCGACGCCAGGGGTATGCACCTCAACCTGCGCGCGGCCATGCTCGCTCACCCACCCCACAATCAGAAAACGCACAAGATCGTACACGATATTGCTAGGCCCCGCCAGCCGCTGCTCGACGATCCCTCGATCAACAAGAGTGAGTTAGTTCGTATGGCCATCTAAGTTTACACCTCTAACCTTGCTCGTTCAGATGGCACGTTCAACCCGTTTCCCCACTTCGCCTTCTCTGGCACTATGCGCCCCGTCTACCCGTTGTCCCAAAAGCGCGAGCTTCCTGCACATATCATGCGCCCAGATTACGCTGAAGGAGGTACGATCACAAGCATGTTCCGCCAAACGTGGACCACTCTGTGAGCTGTAGTGTGATTGACGTCGCATCGACAGCGATACCGATATCGGAGAACAGGATGAGAGCAGCACCTCCTCGGGTGCTTTCTTCTGAAGAGATAGAGAAGATGCGAACGGTCTGCAGGGTGCGTGGTCGCCGCCCCTTTCCCTCAACTTCCTCGTGCGAGCACGAGGCTCTCACCGCCGCATTCGGCTCACATTTTGCCATTTTGCCTTACAGATGGCACGGGAGGTGCTTGACATTGCGGCGGCCGCCATTCGTCCGGGTATCACGACCGATGCCATCGACGCTATCGTGCATGAAGAATGCATCAAGCGCGATGCGTACCCGTCGCCACTGAACTACAGGAGATTTCCCAAATCCGTCTGCACGTAGGTTGACACTCGTCGCACCCTCAATCATTGTTCTCACGTCCAACCGCGACTCAGCTCCATCAACGAGGTCATCTGTCATGGGATTCCTGACCAACGCAAGTTGCTAGAAGGCGATATCATCAACATCGGTACGTGTTCCGTTCGCTCCTTCTCGTCGTAGCACATGGCGCGCTAACTGTCGATCTTTTCCTTTCTGGGACTTTTTAGACGTGACGCTGTATAAGGATGGTCTGTGTCACACAATCTCGCGATATGTCCCGAGCTATTCTGATCTTTGCGTTGTGCGCAGGCTACCATGGCGATGTGAACGCGACTTACCCTGTTGGGCGGATAGACGAGGAGTCGAAGAAGCTCATCCGTACAACCCGTCAATGTCTTGACGAAGCCATCAAGATCTGCAAACCCGGTGCACTCATCCGCGACATTGGCAAAACCATGTATGCGCAAACTACCGCATCGCTGTTCTTCGTACTGAATGGATCCTAGCGAACCCATCGCGCGCGCCCAAGGGTGTTCGGTCGTGAGGACCTATACGGGTCATGGCATCAACGATCTCTTCCATCCGAACCCCAACATCCCGCACTATGCCAAGAATAAGGCCATTGGAACCATGAAAGCTGGAACGGTACGCTTCATTGTATTCCTTCCAACACGTTTTACTGACATGGACCGACAGTGTTTCACCATAGAACCCGTACGTATGCGGCTTGCGTTACTCACTTTCCACACTGACTATGCCCAGATGATTAACCTTGGCGGCAACTGGGATGAAGTGCACTGGCCCGATAACTGGACTGCAACAACCGTCGACGGCAAACGGAGCGCACAGTTCGAGGAGACACTTCTGTAAGTTATCTCGTTTCTTTGAGGTTTACGTCGACTCATAAACGCCGCAGGATTACGGAGACCGGAGTTGAAGTGCTGACCGGAGGAGACCCACTCGAGCTGTAACGCCGTGTCCTTGCTGCCCGGTTGTCCCGTATCGTGTCCATGTATACTTAGTCTGGCGAGTCTCGATCACTCATGGAAGGGTTCCATGTAAGAACACCCGCTCACGCTCCAGGCAACGGTGTTGCGCTGCAAAGGAAACGGTCTGGATTTACCCTTTCCTGGCCAAGCGACTTTATGCTTGGAATGTACCCTGAGCTGTCCTTTAGGAGCGTCATCGGAGCGACATAGACCCAAAGTAACAACGCCTTGAAGACCTTCTACATTGGCCCTGCGTGAACTGTGAAATTGTCTCAATTGTCTCTTCGCCTTGTAACGTCTGCGGAATACTCGTTAGTGCAATCAACGTCGTATCAACATGCGGCCCAAGCCATCGCTTTCAAGTTCACCCCGTCTACCCACATGTGAGGTTCCCGTTGACCCACCCAGTACAACCTAAGGCTAAAATTCGCAATAGGTCTATGGCCTTCCAAGCTGTGGGTCCCAACGGTTGCGGCAGCCTGACGGCAGAGCTCACGGCAGCCGAACGATTGCGTGTACACTGGACTATTCTTCTATGTTGCTTAACAAACCACTACAAGAGGCACCTCTGCAGCATTGTGATGGAGTCGGTCCGTGAAGCAACTGTGCACGAAGCACGGTTAATCGCATCGCCAATGTAAATACCCGAGTGCTGCCTCGTTGAGGATACCGACTACTTATGCCATGCACTTGCGACAGTCGCGGCTGGCGGAAGTGGTATAACCGGCTACCGGAGTAAGTGGATTGCCGGGCTGACAGAGCAATCCCGTCCCCTTACGTCTACCTCCAGCTCAACTACTCCCGGGCAATCCGACTCTGCTCGGGATCTCGTAGCAACTGGACCTCGATGCACGCCATTTCAACGGAACGGTCGTCGCGCCACATCTCCCGAAGTCCGCTTGTGGAGACTGACGCACGGCATCAACTTCATTTTCTTTGCGCATGGACCCGTACATATAAAACCGGAGTCTGGCCAATTGTCCCACCACTACCCATCTCTTCGCCTGTTACCACTCAGCCTACTCTCAGCATCATCTTCAATCATGCCTGCTGTTCCTGCACCCGCCAAGGTTCTTATCTCAGGTGTCAACGGCTACGTCGGCGCCTGGGTGGCCGAAAAGTTTCTCGAACACGGATATTCTGTCCGCGGGACAGTACGCAGCATAGAGAAGTCCGGCAAACATCTCTACGACCTGTTTAGCAAGTACGGTGACAAGTTTGAGCTCGTCGAAGTGAAGGATATTACCGCGAGGGGCGCATTCGACGATGCCGTCAGGGGCGTTGACATCGTCGCACACACTGTGCGTCATCCTGCCGACGTATCGGCCAGGAGTACTCACAGATCTTTAGGCATCTCCTTTCCACTTCAACTACAAGGTTCCCGAAGATATCATCGATCCCGCCCTCAAGGGCACGACCTCAATTCTGGAGTCGATCCACGCGCATGCACCGACAGTCAAGCGTGTGGTCCTTACCGCGTCTATCGTTTCCGTCTGGTCCTATCTCGTGGATAAGGTATAGCGGTAGCTGCCATCTTTCGATTGACTTTGCTGAAACCCAGCTATGTGTAGCCCACCACCTTCACGGAAGAGGACTGGAACGAGCAAGCGATCAAGGCGGTCGAGGAGAAGGGCGCTGATGCCGGCCCCGTTATGGTTAGCACCTTTGTAAATACCTCGTCTGAACCGGCGACTGATCTTTCTATACAGATCTACGGCGCGAGCAAGACTCTGGCAGAGAAAGGTACAGTCTCGTTAAGTCACATGTTCGCGTTTTAGCGCTCACCCCCGCTCCCAGCCGCGTGGAAGTTCAAGGAGGACCACAAGGTCTCTTGGGATCTGGCCGTGATCAACCCGCCCTACGTCTATGGCCCACCGATCAACGAGGTCAAGGACCCTCAATCTCTGGGCACCTCGCAGAAGATGTTATTCGACCTCCTCACTGGCGCTTATTCCCAAGAGCAGCTCGAAGCGACAGATTTCCAGTACATCGATGCGCGTGATGTCGCGGAGATGCACGTTCGCGCTGCGGAAATCGAGGAGGCGGGAAACACGCGCGCCCTCATCTCATGCGAGACTGTCTTCGCTCAAGACCTGCTTGACGCCGCCAACGCACTCTCTCCGAAGCCTTATGACTTCCCAGTCGGAAAGCCTGGCGCGACGAAGGGTAAGCCCCATGCGCGCGACGTATCTATCGAGGCCTTCAAGCGCATCTACGGTTTCAAGCTGCATACGACGGAGGAAATCATTCGCGACTCCGTCGCAGATTTCAGGAAGCGCGGGTGGATTCAGTAGATACACCTTCATGACAAGCGAACCTTTCCATATGTAATCTGTCATTCGTGCTCATATAATAGATCCGGGAGTACCGGTACTACTTGGCTCCATGCGTGCTCCTCTCACGTAATCATGAGCGTCCGCCCTACAAGTGAAGAGGAAGTGTAGACCATATTGATAAGCACCCGCTAACACGATTAGCCAGAAACCTGAGCCATTATTGCCTCGAGGCTTTCTAGGACCAGGCGCGAGCTGTCACCTTCGTCACCCACTGTGACCATCGCGTCGCGTCAAACCTGAGCTAAGTGGTTACCGTTCTTTTCTGCGTCCACGGCGACAAGCTACTCTTCTCATCTAAGCGCCCAAAAGAGTTGCTTCTGAACTTGCATTGCTCAGAACTTTTAAGCTCCAATGCACGGCGTGGTGTGTATAGTTCCCTTGACTACGAGCCATCCACGATTGTCGTCGGAGGCCGATATCTCAATTTGCTCTGACGCTCGAGTGATACTAGGTTCGTTTCGAAGACCTCCCCGATCTGGGCATGCCAGCTTCCTCTCCATCTGATTACCCAAAGGTTGCAGATGATCTTTGTATCTCTTCCTTGTCTTCAAGCGCCCTGACCGAGTCTATCCCCCAATCACAGGTCATTCGCGCCGGCATCGATGAAGAAGGGCAACACCGAAAGTCGCCACTGATCACGGCCAAGGATGGTATCATGATGGTTCTACACCGTTTAGGTTATCCCGAGCTTGTGAAACGCCTCTTAGATGTCGATGGCACCCGGGATTTCGAGCTGTCTATCGGTTTCAAGGAAGACTACTGGAAGGACTCCTACATCCGACGCCACGGGAGACTCGTTGAGGTCTCACTCTCTCCTACACGCAGGATCATGCACTTACTGTGATCTGTAGACAGGTCTCCTTACCAAAGACAATCCCTTTCCTCTGCCAGGCATCCGTTATGTGATTCAGGACGTGGACCCCACACTCCCGTACACTATTGGTCCATGGAAAGCGGAGAGCGCAACTTCCCTGTCCGACGAAATCTGGATCAGCAACGATAATCTGTTTCGCGCCCAAGGTGAAGCCATAGCCAAAGCCTTCTGGTTCCAACGCCACTGGGACCAGGCGCTCACCTCGGTATCTTGGACTGGCATCGACGATTCTACGCGCGCTGATATCAAGCGCTGGGATGCCGAACGCATGACCAGAAGGGATGCCGAAAGGCGCAAGAGCTCTGAGGAATCGAAAAGGAGAGAAGCGGCGTACGAAGCGTCAGCGTCAGGCCTTGACTTGCCGTTCAGTTTGGTGGCTATGCAGAAGAACTATGGTAGATTATTGCGAAGGTGCCGCGCCGAATGTGGGGCAGAAGAGTGTACTCTCGAGTGCTCTAAGTGTAGGCTGACAAGATACTGCTCCCGTGCGTCTATCTCTCGTGTATGAGGCAGGATCCTTGGCTCAATATTAATTTTGCATTCGCAGCTGAATGCCAACGTGAGGACTGGAAGGTGAGCCTAGTATCGCGAAAATCCGCATCAATGATAGTGTTCATTCAGCATAGTACCACAAGTCCATCTGCGGTACCGAGGGCGGCGATGACCCAGATGGGTTCATGCGTACGGCATACAACAGCAAGTGGGACTTCGAGTCTCAAGAACTTTAAACGGAGACTACCCAGCGTCTTAGCTTTAGACCCGTCGCAACCAGGCTCAGTGTCATGGACGCGATGCTATCATTACAGAATCATGCGAGAAGTGTAATAGTACAGTAAACTTTTATATAGTATCCCTGACAAAAGCCAACATTCCCAAGCTGGCATCAATTAACTCGCGCACCCGTTTGCTCTCCTCCTGTTGCGCCGCTAATAACGCTTCAAGCTCCGTCCTCAACTCGCTGTCAGAGACGAGTATCTCTCCGTGAGCGCGAGCGAAGACGGCAATGAGTGCTTGCACGGCCTCAAAGTCGCGTCGCGCGCGTAGTCGCGCAGCCAGGACGTGCATGCAGCGTGAGAGTTCAGGGATGGTGGTGAGAGAGCGAAGCTCCAGATCAAGCGCAGCCGGGGAGAGGCCCTTGAGATACGTGAAGAGATCGTCGTCTACATTGGCGGATCAGTCAGTGCACAGTGCATTGCCCAGGAAGGTTGATGCTTACAGTCATCCTCAGCATCCTTGAACATCTTCTGCACAAAGACGCTTTCCCGGCTCGCATGCAGCTTATCGATCCTCCTCTCTTTAGTCTCTTTCTTCCCCGCACCCTGCTTATCTTCCACAGCAAAGCGATGTTCCACGCCAGGAAGTGTTGGCAAGAAGAATGGCGCGCGCTCGGGCGCTTTAGGCGGTTCTTTGGGTTTGTTGCGCGCGGCGATGATGTCAAGGTTGAGTAACGTTTGCCAACGCGCACGGGGAAGATGTGTGAGAGTGACAAGCTGTCCATAGTCGTCGAGGGAAGGAGCGAGGCCAGCCGCCATCCCCTCCGCTGCCTCAAGATCCTCCGCGGTCAGGGGCTGGAGTTCATCGTCTTCCGTGTCTTCATCCGCATTGATCTCTTCCGCTCTCATTGAGGGAAGTGCCGACTCTTTCATCCTCTGCACTTCAGCCGCTGATATGGAGCGCAAAGGAACATCGGTGAATTGCGCGCGATTCGCCCATAGGAAGATGCCACGCGAGTCGACGTGCGAGGTTGCGAGAAGGTCGCCGGCTGGGCTGAAAGCGACACTAATCGCTACGCTCGCAGGACGGAAGACGTCGACGAGAGCACCGGAGGGGACATCGAACGTGCGCACAAGGGCGTCTAATGATGTCGTCACGAGCCAGCGATTATCAGGCGAGAAGGTCTACACGACGAAGAACGTAAGTTCGAGCCGAATGACACAACTGAGAAGGTGCGTACCAGGTCCAGGACGCGTCCACCGAAGCCACCAAACTCCCTGACGACGCGCCTGGTCTCGATGTCCACAAGCCGCACTACCAGATCATCACACGTGACCGCGAGCAGCCCGTTCTCCCGGCTCAATTGGATCGACTCAATAGCCGCAGGCATGAGAACAGTCTCCTCCAGCTTGCCCGTATGGAAGTCGAAGAAGGTGATCAGCCCATCGAGAGTGACGGCGAGGAGCGTCTTGTTCAGGGCGTCCGTCGCGACGCCCGTGACAGGCCGATCCCCCGCAGCTGCTATCTTTTGCCTCTTCCCCGTGGGCGGTGGACCCAGAACGAACGTTCTCCTATGCATCCCACTCTGCATGTTCCACATCCCAATGGCCCCACTCGACGTTCCCGCGATACCGAAGTTGCCGCAAGCAGAGACGCAGACCGACTTCACTACTCCAGCGAGCTTCTGTTTGGATTCTTTGTTCGCAAGCTCCCTGATGTTGAAGGAATGGGCGCCCTTGCGCTTATTTTGAACGCTCCAAGTGCGAGCGAAGGGTTCGTCGGTGTGCGCTGTGAGTACATCGTCCCAGTCGCGGGAGCGCGTACTGGACCAGGATATCGCCGAGACAGGTGGAAGTTTGAGAGAAGTGAGCGGGATGGAGAGTGATGTTGCTTTTTTGGCGAGCGAGCCTATGTGGGTGGTGAGCGCGGCAATTCATCACGAGACAAGTGATGTGACCAACCCTGAGAGAGCTCGAATGAACGCGAGTCACGTACGACGCTTGTACATCTTAGCGCACGGTCGCGAGCAGCGGTCAGCAACTGTTTCCCATCTTCGCCATAGAAACGGATGAGGTGTGGTGGCGCAGCATGACCGGCGCGGAACTTGAGCAGTCGCGGAGGAGCCGTAGGCGAGTCGAAAAGCCATTGCTGTGAGAGTAATCAGCACCAAGGTCATATAATAGGGGTTGCGGCAAGAGATATATTCAGAAGGTTATAGGCAATATCAGTTATCTCCAGGGATTAGGCAGAACAGGTCTGATGTTTGATCATCTTTGAACAGCCGGCGTGCGCAGGCCGGCTAGGAGGTGACTGGAAGCGATGCATACCTTGATGCTGTTGTCTTCCCCCGAAGAGATGAGCACCGGCTGGCCTGCAACCCATTCGAGAGCTGTTATGCCGCCATCGTGTGCACCGCGCACGGTATGCAATAAGCGACCGCTTGCGTTAAGGTCCCATAACGAGATATGGCCAGCCTCTGAGGCGGTAGCGAGCACAGGATGCCCGTCTGAATACGCAAGTCAGTTGCAGTCTCAGGGGGATTAAGGCAATGCCTGACCGGAACGGAACGCCAGTGCGCGCACACCGCCTTCACGGACAAAGACGCGCATCAAACGTTCGTCTGAGCGCACGTCATACAGAGCGACTTCTCCGGACGCGAACCCAACTCCTAGGACGTCGATGGCAGGACTCTGAGCGAGGCATGTCACCGCACTCGGCGTAGCGGAGCCAGTGAGATTCGCAGTTGCGAATTTGTGTATGCACGTTCGCGAGCGAGCGTTCCATAGTTGTAAGCCGCCTTGAGCGCTACCTATCACGACTTTGTTGATGTATGTCGCGGGGTGCAGGATGTGCGTGGCCGTGAAGTCGGGCTCGAATTCAATAGCACCTTCAAACTCTGCACAGACGCTCTTAACGTCGTGTCATTCTTAACAGGCAGATTCAATGCGTACCAGCAGTCGTTATATCCCACGTCAGGAGATGAGTCCCATCCGAGGTCAGTGCCAGTAGTTGGGACGCGAAGATCGTGAGGCTAGCCAGCGATGTCGACAGTGGATTTGTGAGACGCAGGACCTCTTTGCCGCGAATATACTTGATCGCATGAGATCCCGCGGCTGCCCAAACCGCATCGCCATCCATGGCTAAGCATGTTATGTCGTCCGGTGCATCTTGACCTATAAACGCGAGCATCATGAGCAACGAGTAAACACTTGGAAGGCCTCCAATAAAACGCACTGACGAAAAGCAAGCTCATACGGCCACCCTCCCACAGCGCCCAAGAGCGACCCAGACAGGTCAAGACATGTATCCTTGGCCCTTCTGTGGCGCCCTTGTAAGAACGCAGTTGCAATGCGAAGGGGACATGGTTCGTGATCAGTCCGAGGGCCCGGAATGGCGCAAAAAGAGTCTGTCTCGGCTTCGGTTTACTGCCAGACGCCTCGGAAGATGCAGCAGCAGCGGCTTTGACGCGTTTCCGAGGCGGTTCTGCGCGGTCTGAGTGGACGACCATGGCGCGGTGAACGAAAAAGTGAAAGACGCGAAATAGGGGTCCGACAAACTTTTGACGCGCGCCGCGTTTGATGGAGGGACCGCTAAGCGCCCATACACCACGTTCGCCTCGACGAAACCACACCTGCACCTTCGTCACTCTCCACCTCTACTATTTCCCGCAATAATGGATGAGCCTGTGCCTGCAACATCGGCACACTCTGAACCTGTCACTACACCAGAAGCACTGCCTATCGCTTCAGCTGTGACTGTTTCGCCTCAGCTCCTCGCGCTTGCTTCATTCATTGTCGCTACTTTCGTCCTCGGTACGCTCTTTGATGTCTCATTTCCTATATCTCCAACCCAGGTCACCTGACAGTACTCGCATTCTACTTCCGACGAAGAAGCACCTCACGCGGCAATGCATTACTGGTAGTTGGCCCGCCAGACTCTGGCAAGACTGCATTGCTGTCCCTTGTGCGTCCAGAGCCAATATACGATGTGTTGGAGAAGGGGATACTGAGTGCATATGTAGCTTGTATTCAAGCAAGCACTGCCAACGCAAACAAGCATGCAGATCAACCAATCCGTGTTGACCTTGTCACAACGCGCGCCACTCACGGTCATCGACGTGCCGGGCCATCCCCGCATACGTGGTCAATTCAAGGATCATATTCTTGACGCCCGGACAATCATTTTCGTCGTCGATGCGTCGACTGTATCTCGCAATGCCCCTGCCGTGGCAGAGTACGTTGCACTCTTATGGTATCTGCCTAGCCTATACTGATTCGGAAACAGACACCTGCATCACATCTTGAATGCCATCACTTCTCTTCCTCCATCCCATGCCGCCCCATGCCTCCTCATTCTCGCGCACAAAGCAGACTTGCTTAAGCCAGCCTCGGGTCAGACCTCATCGCAACTGGCGGTTTCCCGCGTCCGGACCGTTCTTGAGCGTGAACTCGAGAGACGACGAACTGCCCAGGCCGGTGCCGTCAACATGGACTCTTTACCAGGTGGCGAAGATGAAGGCGAGGGCGAAGGCGGTGTGGGCATGGGTGGATTGGAATGCAGCGGGCCAAGCGGTGGCGTGTTCAAGTTTGCAGAATGGGAAGGAGGTGACGTCGCGTTCGAGGGCAGCTGGGTCAAGCTATGGGAGAAGTTACACGTTGAGGGCGAGGACGAGAAAACGGAAGGCGGGGAGGGCGTTCAGTCGGTCATTGATTGGATTGAGACCGTACCCTGACGTGCATCACGGCCGGCTCAGACTCGATCATGTATATTCTGACAGTGCGCGATGCTATGCCACACTGCTTAACCATTCGCAGGGTCTTTTCATATGAACCGACCACAGACATCATACAGTCATACTCGACGTAGTTCATGGATCTACGATTGCTCGCGAATGCAATGATTCTAGCACCTTTCATCCCTGCAGTACCCTCCCACCTGGCAGTCTAGCTACGATCGGGGTGTCCACCGGCGTCGGTGTAGCCTGTGCAAGAGGAGCGTGCGCAACTGGCACCGCCGACGCAGGTAACGGACTAGGAGCAAGATTGCCACCCTGATCGTTCAACACGATCACATTCGAAGCGGCGTTGACTCGTTGGGTGAATGTGTTTCCCTGCGTATCGATATAGTCCAGAGTGTTCTCGCTCGTCCCGTTCGAACCAATGTTGCCGTTTGCCGTCTCGAGGAAAGCACCACCTGATCGATGGCGCATAGACGATCAGTTGGAAAGCTAAATCCATGTCAAGTTAGTCTGCAACGCACCGGCCAGCTGGTGTTCAGCTATCTTCGTCCCCAGTATGAACGGGGCCGGGAGAAGGTCGCGGTTGTATGAGTGGTCGAAGTTCGCCTCGACTGAAATGGGGTCCCCTTAAGCGCATTCTCTTTCGATAAGGGGCGCGCGACCTACATGATGACCCGCTTGGGTTTGTGATGGTAAAGTTCACGAAGAAGGGGAATGCAAAGTCGTCGTGCATGGCCGTCTTCCCGTTGTGCGTCGATGAGATCGTGCCGGTGGCCGTCTGATTCACTATCTGCAATCGTAACCGGTCAGCAATACATTCATTGAGCACACATGGAAACCATACCTGGATCGCAGTATTGTCAAGATACATCTGGGTATTGCTGAAGGACAGCTTCTGATCAAAGATAACGCTGGTTTTGGTGCCGCTACCGCCGATGATCTCGCTCTCGATGTGGATGCTACGCGTCGCGCCGACGGTGAATACCACGTCGCCATTGGCAGACTGATTCCCAGACTCAGTAATGATCGCGAAGGGATCCGCTTCGTAGACGGTGATATTTCCCGTCGTAGGCTCCGACGTTGAGTCAACCAGAACTTGAACAAGACCCGAAATAAACCAATTCTGCGAGCAGAGTAAGTTGTCAGCTCATGGAGAGCACCATGGGTTCAAGTATGTGGCAGACCTGGTTGATAGCGTGGTCTGTCTCGGCTGACACGACGTCGAGCGTGATCATATGTGGATTGCCATCCGTAAGGACAGGGATGAATGGAGTTAAGTCGAAGTGATACTGTGGCAAGTCGACCGCGCCGTAAGACGTGATGGGCCGCCAAGCAGGTGGGACTATGCCTCCAGTGAACACGACGGGATATGGGAAGGCTGCGCCCGCCATCATGCCATCGACCAAGAAGCGGACTTCTCTGAATGGACCGTCTCCGAATGTTGTGCCACTGGGGAGAAGACCGATAAAATCGTTCGGGACATTGAAGTACTGCGCGAAGATGATGAGCATGTATACGTCTTGAACGGCGGACTAGCAGCTGCCACCTACCCAGAACTCTTCATTCCCGTTACCGGAAGCTTGCATCTCCACGAATGCTGCCACTGCATTCGTAGGCAGAGTCACGTTCAACTACGGAGAAATGGTGAGCAGTGAGTCTAAGTTTCATTGCGTACCCACTGCGCTCACTGAAAAGTCAGGAGGTACAGAAGCGTCGTTGCCGGTATTGTTAGCGAGCGTTGTGATGGGGATGATGAGGTCCGCCTGAGGCGCAGGAGGATGCTCAGCAGAAGACGCAAAGAACGTCGCATCCAAGGTAGCTGAGCAAGAGAAATCATCAGTCCATCATCGCAATCAAAGCCTGTGGAATAGTCGCACTCGCGTATTGGCCATTTAACCCTGTCTCGAGCAAATTGTCAAGTTGGAATATGAACGTCCCGGATTTGGCGAAGAGCGGTTGAAACTTTGTGACATCCTTCAGATGCTGCCAGATAATACCATCTCCAGATGTCGGTTCCGGTGTCGATGTGCGCCAGACTATCAAGCCAGTGTGAGTGCGTCATGTACACATGCAGGGCGAGTAAAGGGATTGTATGCACTTTCGACGTTCTGAAAGGTGAGGATACCAAGCCTGTCTAGTCAAGTCGGTGTGTGTTAGTCATATGGTAAGTGCGCGGAGTACGAACCGAACTGGGTCCCGTTGCTAGTGACGGTGAGATTCAGACTGATGCCTGCCCAGGTGCCGACATCGCCACAGTCCGTGGGAGGACTGAGCAGCGCCCATCAAGCATTGCACCAAGGTTCACAAAGAAGGCTAACCTACGTGTACGCCACTATTTCTGGGCTACAATCGTTGAGTAATGCGTGCAGAACCATAGGCTACGGCACTCACTCTCCGAATGAATTGCCGAACGTGCGTCTGCGCGGATGATGTGAGATCCCGGTTACCGCGTCGTACGACCGACTTACTCCAGGATACGGACAGTGCATTGCTGGGCATCATTGGGTAGTGGAGGAGGCTGTGCAACTTGGAAGTCCACCAGACGCTGTCCGGACGCAGCTAGAACTACGAGGGCAACAAGAAGAGGGGACCACATCGTGTGCGACGATGTAGTCAATGACGGTACAAAGCTCTTATATGCGTACCACAAGGTCTTTGCATCTTCTATTCACATCCCACGGCACTGCACCCAGGTGGAAGCCTTCCAAAGGCAGTAACCCTGAGACGAGTCGAACAAAAGGAGGGTCAAAATCGCGCATGAGAACAAGATGGACGCGTGGACCAATGGATTATGTCACTTTTGATCACGAAGAGATACATCAAGTGATAAGACCGCCGAGGGCCGCCCCAGGCATAGTTGGGCTTAGTGTCCAGCAACGTTGCCACCAGGAAGGCGTGCACCCATCTTCAGCGGGACATGCGTTGCAGCAGCAGCAATAGTCGAGGCGGGGAGGGGGCTTGGGGCAAGATTCCCGCTCTCCTTGTTCAATGTGATCACGTTCGACGCTGCGTTGACAGTCTGAGAGAAGGTGTTGCCCTTGACGTCTGTGTACTTGAACGTGTTCTCGCTGGTGCCGTTGATACCGATGTTACCGGACGACGTAGATACGAAGCGTCCACCTAGGATAACGATGGTCAACATTCATATACGTAAGAAGAGGCAGTCGGAGACAGACCAGAGACTTGGTGTTCAGCGATAGTTGTACCCAAGAGGAACGGCGCAGGTAAAAGCACGCGATTGTATGAGTGATCGAAAGTAGCCGAGTCTACTCAGAGATCAGTGTGTCGCACTGGGGCATCGCCGACCCCGATAACTCACAGTTATTGAAGTTTGCGTCGGTAGCCGTCAGATTGATGGTCAACGGGTACGAGAACGTGTCTTCCAGTACAACTGTGCCGTCGTGCGTTGATGTGACAGTGCCGCTCGCAATCTGCTTCACGACCTCGATAGTAGCATCAACGTTGTACGACTGTTTGTTGGTGTAGGCCAAGTCTTGTTTCTTGATATCGATATCAGTTACAACGTGCTAGCCCTCTGACGGGCAGATGTAGCTTACGAAGATGACCTTTGTCTCCTTGCCGTTACCCGGAACGATGGTGCTTTCGATATGAATGCTACGGGTGGCACCGACGCTGAACGCAACCGCACCAGTATCATCCTGTCCGCCAGATTCAGTCGTGACCGCATAGTCATCTGCCTTGTACAGAGTGATATTGCCAGTGGTAGGCTGGTCCGAATCACCGAGGATAATGTGCACAGCACCGCTCACGAACCAGTTCGAGTTGATGGCATGATCTGTCTCTGCACTGGCAACATCGAGGGTAATGGTGTGGGGCTCTCCGTCCGCGAGTAACGGAATGAAAGGGGATAGATCGAAGTGATACGTCGGCAGGTCGATGGCACCGTAAGACGTGATGGGTCTCCAGGCGTTAGGGATGATGCCGCCCGTAAAGATGACTGGGTATGGGAAAGCAACGCCGGCTAATAGACTGTCAACGAGGAAGCGAACTTCACGGAACGGGCCAGTGCCGTATGTTGTCCCGCTAGGAAGGAGGTCGAGGTAATTGTTCGGTGCATTGAAGTACTTGGGCACATGAACCTTACTGAAAGTGGAGTAGACGCGTGAAAGGCTCACCCAGAACTCCTCTTCTCCGTTACCAGAGGCTTGCAGCTCCGCATATGCTGCGACAGAGTTGACCGGGATCGTGATGTTAAGCTTTGATTGAGATTCGTGAGCGAGGCCTTGCTCGGGAACAAAAGAAACGCACCGAGAAGCTTGGTGGAACGGAGGCCTCGTCGGATGACGTGTTCGAGAGGGTCGATATTGGAACGATGAGATTTGCCGTTGTCGCTGGTGGATGGGCAGCGCTTGATGCATAGAAGGTTGCTTCTAATGTAGCTAGAACGCACACACTCGTCACCTGGGCGACGACTGACACTAACTATCATACTCACATGCGTACTCTCCGGTCAGGCCAGTCTGGACAATGTTGTTCAACTCCAATATGAAGAGTCCGGGTTCGGCGAAGAGAGGCTGGAAGCGTGTGACGTCTTTCAGGTACTGCCAGATGATACCATCGCCAGATGTCGGTTCAGGCGTCGATGTCCGCCAGACTGAAAGACATATCAGGCATGCGACCATACGCACTATGGAAGACTCACTCTCGACGTTCTGGAAGGTGAATACGCCCAACCGATCATACTGGGTTCCGTTGCTGGTTACAGTGAAGTTGAGGCTGATACCAACCCAAGAACCCACTTCTCCACAATCAGTGGGAGGGCTACAATGCAATGCGTGTCATTTGCACCTGCAAAAGCTCATGACGACGGGTTGCCTACGTGTAGTCAGCAATCGCTGGGCTGACGGCCGAGTTAGCGTGTCTATACGAGACCGGTAAGACCGAGAGGACATACACATAGTATGAGTTCGCAAAGGTGTGCCTTTTGTCTATGGTAAACATGCTGACTTGACATCGGGAATCACAATGACTCACTCAAACAGCCGGATAGTACACTGTTTTGCGTCCTTGGGCAGGGGCGGCGGCTGCGCAACCTGGAAATCCACAAGGCGAGCGCCCAGAACAGACGCTGCGAAGAGAAGTGCCTGCAGAGCTACCATAGCTCCGTTGAAATGGGTGAACATCTTCACCATGAGATCACGATCGTTGTTCCCGGGCTCTGATCGTGCTTCATGCCGCCCGCGTATATGTACTCCTGGGGAGGCGCGATAAGCATGATTGTCGTTGAGTTTTCGAAAGCTGGCGCAAGCGACGCGCATCAAAAAGTCCATGTGCTCATCCATTATGGGCCTCACTGCGTCGGTCCCAGTTAGCAACATCGGAAAGCATGGAAGCATTATGTGCGCGTAAACGACGCAGCGACCTTGCACGGTGAATACGAGTAGATTGCAGGTTGCATGGCATAAGAAGGCGATGGGACGGCCATTCCCCGGAGCCCACACAACGTTGGGCTTGTGACAATGGCCGCACACACTAAGGTCGTCAGATCATGTACAAGAGACAGCGGGGAGCGTCTGGATCACGTCGTCCAACGATGCCGGGAGACCTGTGTGCAACACCTTCCAACGGCAGATGAGGCAACGCTATGGACGGCAAGCTTCAAGTGATATGTCGCAGAGTTGCGATGGGACGAGCTGTACCGATATGCATAGATGATCGGACTTTGCATGGATCTCAAGCGGGCGTCAAGCAGGGGCAAAGGTTTCGCTGCGCTGGGAGAAATGCAAGTGATATGAATGATTCGGGCGGTGATGCAAGCAGTCTGTACGGGAGTAGGGTAACCGAGAAACACGAACGTACGGTATGATAAATTATGGATCCTGGGCAGTCAGAGTAGTCCTTCACCAATTACCCCTAAAGCACTACGTGACCCCTAAAACTCGTGGCGGAAGATGTCATCGTCGTTAGTGGACGCGGCGGGCCGGCGCGCGCCGCTATTGCCGTACGCGCCTTCGGCTGCCTCGGGTCCCTCAGCAGTTGAAGCGCGCGAGTACGTCGACCCGGTGTCCTCGGGCGCAGATGGACGGCTCGAGCGTTTCTTCTTCTTCCGGCGCCGGGATGAATCGTCGTTCATGGAGTACGCATCCTCAGTGCGAGCGAAGCGGTCCTTCTTGGAGGACTTCTTCTTCTTCACCGGCTCCGGCATGCTAGCGTCCTGGAAGTTGGCAGGATAGTGCCAGCGCTTGGAAGACCCGCCGTTGCTGGGATCCGGATTGTAGTACTGCTCCTCTGTATCCGGGTTCCAGAACTCGCCACCGGTTTGATGCGCACGGACGGGGGCGTCGGTTGATATGGAAGATGTGGAACCGGCAACTTGCCCGTCCTCCACCTGTTGGTCCTCCAGAGTCGAGTGCGGGTTGCGCTCGTTGTAGCGGTAAGCCCACTCCGAACGCTTCTTGTGCCTCTCGATGGTCGAGGTGTCGACGAGGCCATAGCGCTGAGCCCATTTGGGGGTGCGGCGGTTGGTCTTATTGTTTCGGACGTTCTGGATATAGAAGTTATGGACATGCCCTATTGAAACAGCGTTAGGATAATGTACGGGAGCGAGCAAGCGCAACCATAGACGGACCGGGGATGTAGCCACAGATGGTCAACAGCAGATTTAACCAGAAGTCGGACCCGATGCCGAAGCGAGCTGCGACAGCTAGAGACGGTGCATCAGGATCATCATCGCCATTATACGACAGGGAGGATGAACATACCCAGAGGTGGAAAGAGGGTGCCGAGCAAGAAGAGAAGGGCATTGTAGAAGTGATGACGCTTCGGCTGGATCTTCACCTTGGAGGGATCGATCTTAGGCGACATCGCTTAGGAAGGCGCTCGAGGGCCTTGGTCAAGTTGGTATCGGTCCGCCCGTGGTGATGGTAGGAGGCAAGTGGTGGTGGGTTGAGTGGAAGGGGTCGGACGCCCTCTGGGGGTGAGCTTGTTTCGGATGATGGGCTGTGCCGTACCTGTTTCCCACGCCCTAGCACTTGATCTCGCCGACGCATGCGGCGCCGGCACGCGCGCCTACAGATCTAAACTTGCCCTCCAACTGCCACCACGGGCCGCCCGGACACGCGTCTTACGCGCGTTTTCGCGTCCTAGCGTCGTGGCATCGTATCTGCGGCGCGGTTAACGCGCCTTTGGTGAGCCCATAGTCCATAATTGGCCGACCAACACTGACTCAGGTTCGTCTACAGGATCCTCGCCTTGTCCTCGCCAACTGCACTCACTCTACCGATCTTGCTTGTATCCGGATATCTATCCCGAATTATGACTACCTCACGACCGCAATCACCATATGCACCCTTTCTGCCTGCGTCCGATACGCACACTGGTTCTGCGCTGGAATCTCCCGACCATACCGACAATAACGCGTCCTCGCCTGCTACCAGTCCCTACAACTCGTCTCCCCCACCTTCGGCCGCTTCTAATTATTTCCTGCACGAAGATGATACACTGAGTACGCATGCCGATGGCGATGACGGCCTGGCCGCTCTTGATCCAAGCTCGTATGGTGTCTTCGAGCAAGACTTCTTGGAGTTCCTGAATCCCGACAACGTCGGCCACGGTGCCACTGAGGGCACGCTTCATAACGCCGACGGGGATACGGATCTGGATGAACTGGGCCTGAACATGTCAGATTTCTCTCCAGCTCTTCGCCCTATAATCGACAATAAAGTGCAAACTCGTACCGCACCTGCATTCCATTCCCTCATAGTCGATCCAGACGTCCGGCTGGTTTCCTCAGACATGGACGCGCACCAATTTGATATCGGGGAGGGGTACTTATATGACGCCCGTCGAGAATCAAGCGCGGAATCTGACGAGGATGTTGCCGCGGATGATTCCACGCATGCCCCTCGGAAGCGCCGACGACTGAGTATAACCTCACACGGCTTGGATGCCGGTGTGTTCGACGGCGTCCCTGACATCTTTGGCTCTCTTGGAAGCGCCCCTCAAGATGCCGAAGAAGACCTTGGTGGCGGTCTTGATCCTGTCTCTCGCGCAGAAGACGATCCCGTTATTGCATCTGCCGACTCCGAAAGCACCACTCCGCCAGTTCCTGCCGCTTCTTCATCTACAACACCACCTCTGCCGACTGGACCTGCAAAGTCTGAAGAGGCAGATGTGTCAGCCACCAAGAAGAGAGAACGATCTAATCCAACCTGCGAGACTTGCGGGAAAAAGTTCACGAGGAAGAGTGATTTGGAACGGCACGAGCGCATACATACCGGCAACCGCCCATTCCCCTGCCCGCATGACGATTGCGGCAAGAGTTTCATCCAGGTATGCAGATTGTGACGTGAACCGTTGTCGGGCGCTCTGACAAACCAAATAGCGTTCGGCTTTGCACGTTCATCTGCGCACGCACACAGGCGAAAAACCTCATCAATGCGAATATCCCGGCTGTGATAAGACGTTCAGCGATTCGTCTGCCCTCGCGCGGCATCGACGCACACATACGGGTAAGAGACCGTACAAGTGCGAGGATCCTCTTTGTGACAAGACCTTCACACGACGGACCACCTTGGTGTCACATATGCGGACGCATGATCCAAATTGGGAGCCAGACCCCAATATGTACGTCCATGTATCTTTATGCTGAAAGCTATCTAGATGACAACTTCTCATAGCAAATATAACTTCGGAGCGAAGAAGCGCAAACATGGCGAAGGCGAAGCTTCTTCGTCAGACGACCACGAACCCGATTTCGAGGAATCGGTGCGCACCATCTCTGCGCTTTTGCACCAGTCAGATCCACAACAGAGTGCGATGCTGGAGCCCAATCAGCCGCTGGAGACGCGTGTCGCGACTATAAGCGCTCAGATTGCTCGCGCAATTGCAGACGCAGAGGCCGAGGGAGATTGGGGAGACGAAGAAGTGGATGAGCTCGACGACGACGATGACGGTGGCGCGTCTTCTGCAGCTGTGGCGCCTCAGTCGCGCGAGCCCTACACGTTTCGTGCCACAACGGTGTACCCCGGACCTCCACCGGGACCGGATTCTGCAGAACTTGGGGATCCGTCTGACGACGAGAACCCCGCGGAGGACGACCTGGGCCTCGACTTCGGCGTGCTGTTAAGGGCCCGGAAGAAAACCGGCCCGACGTCCCGTTCGCCTCCTGCACCCGCACCCGAGTCGTCCCGCGGTACCTCGCGCGGATGAACAGCGTCTATACAACACCCTAGGCGTGGATTTACGCCCTGAAGTTACCTCTCGCGGGCGTGAGCTTGTCAGGTCACGTTCGCGCTTCACACCCGTTACGCGACTCGCAGGGTAGGGATTTTTTGTCATGTAGAGACACGCCATTGAGCTGACGAGCACGGTGTAGACGGACGCCCCTCATGCGGCGGTCGCCTCCTGCACGCACCGTGCTCGTGCTCTTACCTTATGAGCCGGTAATCGCATTTGTTATGCCTTCTTGTTCCGCGGTTAACGACGGACGAATGCACAGTATGGCTGACGAACGTCGGATTGTCTATCAGGTGCGTGACGCGGATCTTGAATAAGAGTCCCCATTTACGATCCATTCTTTCGCAGCTATGAGCGCGTAGGCTGGTGTGATTACTTGAGATAGGCGCTAGAAATGCGTGGCAGATGCCTGAGAAAGGAAACTGCAGTACGAAGAAGCTTCCCGGAGCGCCGTATGCCCTGACCGTCTGTGAGACCGTCATAGCTGCTCGTGAACGTTCTTGCGGTGGTCCGCCGACGACGCCGATCAAGGCCGTCGATGCTGTTGCGAGCCTACCAGTGAAGAGAGTATATTTCTACTGCACAACGGACTCTGTCGAATTTCTGTAGCACACATCCATGTCTATTATACGAGCACGCGGACCGTACAGGCGCCGGCCGCGGAGGGACGGGCCGGCGCTAACGTTGAAGTATCTCAGGCACATGTTAAGGCGGATGTGGCTCGCGAACGCCCTCGCATTTCGGATGCGCACGGAGGCGGAGTCCCATACTTATAAGATAACCCGCGCAATGGTTCAGGTCCCTTGAACACCTACCCCCACCTCGTCTTTACACACTTCAACTTACCGATCCGAACCGCCGGCAACCATGTCTACCGTTACCGAGGAGCCGCCGAGCACTGAGATCGTCACTCTCACCAGGTGCGCGTCTTTGTGCGTCCTAATACCCCTGATCTTAACGTGTATCCGCCAGTCATGTCCTCGCTGGCCAATTCAAGGCTGGCGCGCGCGCAACGGGCGATCTGACTCTTTTGCTCACTGCGATCCAACTGACGAGCAAGTTCATCGCAACGAATGTGCGCAAGGCGCGCTTGATCAATCTGTGCGTATCCTTCTCGCGCTCGTGTGCATCTCTAATCGAGTCCGTGTCTTGTTCAGCATCGGCTTGGCTGGCGACACGAACGTACAGGGCGAGGAGCAGAAGAAGCTCGATATCCTTTCCAATGATATTATGATCAACTCATTACGCCAGTCCGGCAAGACATCCGTCCTGGTTAGCGAAGAGCTCGAGGACGCGGTGATCATCGAGGATCGGTACAAGGGCAAATATTGCGTTGTATTCGACCCGCTTGACGGCTCGTCCAACATCGATGCTGGTGTGAACATCGGCACGATCTTTGGCATCTACGAGATTGTACGTCCATCAACGCAGACAGGAAGCGCGCTTGCTGACGTCGACGCGGTGCGTAGGCGCCCGGGTCAAAGGGTACAATCGAGGATGTGCTTCGCCCAGGAAGTCAGATGGTAGCAGCTGGATACACTATGTGCGTCCACCTTCATGACGACCATCCGAACATTGGCTCACTCTGTCGCATTAGGTATGGTTCCTCTGCAAACTTGGTGCTGACGACTGGCAACGGCGTCGATGGTTTCACACTCGATGCATCTCTGGGCGAGTTCGTGCTCACCCATCCGGACATCAAGATCCCGCCACGAGGCAAGATCTACTCATTCAACGAGGGCAACAGCATGTACTTCACGGAGCCAGTTGTCAAGTATCTGGAGAGTATCAAATATCCGAAGAGCGGAAAGCCCTACTCTGCGCGTTACATTGGGTCTATGGTTGCCGACGTTCACCGCACGTTTTTATACGGTGGTATCTTCGGATACCCAGCGGATAAGAAGAGCAAGAGCGGCAAGCTGCGGTTATTGTACGAGGCTTTCCCCATGGCTATGTTGTGCGAACAGGTGAGTCGATCCTTTCCATTTGATCCTGACGAAGATGCTCATATCGTTATAGGCCGGCGGTGTCGCTACGACTGGTACGATGCGCATCCTCGATATCCAACCGAAGCACATCCACGAGCGTTGCGGCGTGTTCCTTGGCAGCAAAGACGACGTGGAGGATGTGATCAAATACTTCAAGGAGTACCCAGAATCTGCGTAACAACACTGTATCCACTGTAAATCACCATCCATATGTACCTTAGTATCTAATGCACGCCCCTGCTGTTGAATTCTGTTCTTCTCAGACTTCCCAAGCTGCAACGATGCCACGATCCGACCCAAACTATACCACGCCTGCCCCTGAACGGCTTCTACTGTGGCACTGTGGGTCTTAAGCGTTAGCTTCAGTGAAAGCCCGATATGTCAAAGGGACATCCTCACCCGGTGGAATGTCCACATCATTGAGATACCAAGCCCCTGTGCGCAAACATGTTATGAGTTCCTTCATAGCATGCAAAGAGGTGAACATACGATCGCCTGTCATAGTCTTCTCGGCGTAGGTCAGACCGTCGCCAAGCCAGTAGAACTTGTTCTGACTACGATCTTCCGCTAAACGTTCGTAGTCGAAATCCTCCCAACGTGGGCGGGATAGAACATGGATGAAGTGCAGGCAGCTCCCTGGAAAAGGCGTCACTCTTGGTTGCTCCAAACGACATGGCTTCCCAGTGCAGACTTACCTGGCCAAAGCCCTGTCAAGACTCCATCGTTGGGGCTCAGGTACCAGCTACTACAGTTCTCGGCATACACCGTCTGTGATGAAGAGTTGGATGAGTTATAGGAGACGGGCGACAGGCAATCCACGATCGGTGACCAACAGACCTTCTTGAAGTAGTCCCGTGCCCATTCATTGAAATCGCGGAGCGCCTCGCGCTTAACCTCCATGCTGCGTAGCCGCTCACGCTGCATCTTCACGACAGCAGCTACAGCGTAGTCAACCTGCTTCTCTATCGTGGCGATAGCACTTCCCGAGGTAAGGCCAGAGTTGGGGCCAGAGCAAAACCAGAGGTTTGGGAAACCATCAACAGCGACCGTGAGGTACGCCTCTGCATGGGCAGCCCAACGGTCGGTAAGTGCCTGGCCATCTCTTCCAATGACTGGGAAGGGGTACAGCCACGTCGTGTCAAAGCCGGTCGCGCAGACCATCACGTCCAACGCGACCTGTCGACCGTCCACAAGCTCTACGCCGGTTTCTGTAACGTGGGCAATATGCGTAGTCTCGAGTGTCACCTGTCTAAAGTCAAGTCCCATGCAATCAGAGAATGAGTATAGTGAGTACGAACGTTGTCTTCGCATAGAGCGTCCAAATAGCCGGGTCCTGGAGAGATTCTCCGGCATCCTACTGGGAAATTGGGCAAGACTATTTGATGGTTGGTGTCAGCCGTGCGACCGAGCTAAGATATTTGCGTACCTTTCCCGATGAGCTCAGGTTTGCGAGAGAGCTTCTTGATCATCTCCTTCTCAACAAGATCCCTGACCACAGCTTGCGTTGGCGATCCCTTGATGTAGACAGGACCGAGCCCCTATGTGAACGTTGAGCGGGAAACTCGCGCAAAAAGGAATCGCAGTCTTGCATGCATGGCAGCTTCAACTTCATGCCGAAAGCGCCGATAGTACACGGGATCCTCAAGCTTCTTCTTGAAGTCCTCATCGAAAGAGTCTGGAGATCGTCAGTAGGACCCAACAGCAGGAGTGCGACCCGACTGACAGTCAAGAGTCCCTGGCTCTTTGCCCACGAGCGCTAACATTTTATCAACGGAGAGCTGCATCGTCAACCAGGCCTTTCCATGGATGAAATTGGTGAGCGTCTTGACGCGCGGCTGGAGCGCGGGTACGAGCTGCACACCGGTAGAGCCCTGATGGAGTACCCGATTAGATAGGTATTGATCGGATTAGCTGGCTCACTCATCAGTATGATGCAAGGATACTCACATTTCCGATGACAGCGACGTTCTTGTTCTTCCAGCTCTCGAGAGTTTCGTCTGTCACCCTCCAGTCAGCGCTGTGGACAAGGGTTCCGCGGAAGCTCTTCAATCCGTCGAGATCCGGCCAGTGCCAGCGGCTGAGACCCCCAACACCGAGAAAGAGAACGTCCGACGAGTCTGTGAATTCATGGCCATCCGTAAGACGACGAATCCTGACTGTCCACTTGGCAGTACCCTCGTTCCAGCGGGCTGATACTAGTTCATGTCGAAGGCGAATGTAAGGTATGAGCTTGTACTTGGCGACGACTCCTTCTAGGTACGCCTTGATCTCTGGGCCAGGGGAATAGAACGACGACCATTGAGTCTGGAAAGAGTTGACCGATGAGATAACGTAGATCGTATGAGGAATTGCGGCTGACGTACATTCTCCTCGAAAGAGTATTGGTATGCATGAGAAAGAATATCACAGCCAAGGCCCTGTGAAAGGTCAACAATAGTGAGTGTGTGTTGTAACCTTGTAACGAACGGGGTATTTATTCGCGTGCCAAACTCCACCGACCCCATCTTCCTTCTCGTAGATGGTCAGATCTAGATTAGGGACACGCTGCCGGAAACTAGACGATCGTATGTATGAGTCAATTGTCTAAGGTACACAGCCCCACTACATGTACTGACCGAATTCCAGCCGCAATACCGGCAAAGCCAGCGCCGATGCATATGACCTTGATGAAGTACGTTGGCGCGGGTTTGCATGCATTCGTGGATTCAGATGGGCATACCTTCATAGGGCGGTGCTCATCCACGGAGAAGTCTGGTCGCTTCGTAGCGGAGATGTGTTCGTCGCCCATGATAAAATAGGTTGGTTGATCTTGAGAGGGTCTGTTCCCGTTTGATGGCAGTGGTGAAGCTGTTCTGCTCGGCATCGCTCATGAAAGTCTTATATGGGGACACGGAGTCAACGGGGTGCTTCTGCCGACTCAGTTGGGAGAAAGACTGTCAGATACATGACACCACAGAAGACGTGTCGCTTACCAGCCCTATCGGCGATACAGCCCATTTGTCACAACATTGAACCTCCGGCGCGCTCGGAGGGCACATTCTTGAGTTGATATGGCGTCGATATGGCCGAAGCGGTCGTATCAATAGCCTGTCTCGTTGTCAGATGATGAGCGGAGAGCTGTATTCATGGTCACCGGGCGATGAGGGCGATATATGAGCGCATTAAACGTACCGGGTCACTCGTTCATTTGTCTGAATTTACCCCAGTTTCTGTGGAGCTAATCAGTAGCTACTTCAAGAGGGGTCGGTTAGGTCCTGAAAAGCCGAAGAGTTGATGGCTGAGCAGCACAAAACAGCTATAGAGTGGTGGGTAGCTTAATAACCTCGCCTCATCGGTTTCACGAAGCGGTCGGGTCGTGGAAGCAGGTGGGAAACCGAGGGGAGGCGGCGTTCTCGGCAGCAGCAGACCGGCCGCTCATGCAGAGGGGCGATTGATACATCGTAGTATGAATTCCTTGAGCGATATGACATAGCATGCCTATCGCCGCTTCTATCTGGACACGGCAAGAGACCCGCTTTCTGGTAGAGGAAGTTAGTACACCGCCCGACCCGTTCGTTCAATTGCCTCGTGAAGTGCGTATCACTATGACTGTGTGAAGCCAAGTAGCGTGCCCATAATATGGCCTACATCCAGCAAGTCGCGACTCTTTGATCATTGTATAGTGAGGCATCATTCCAAGCAAGCGTTGCGCCAAACATGGAGGTGAATGTTGAATGTCCAACGCCATCGTCATGAGCCCCGTGGCTGCCAACCGTGTGATTTGATGGCGGCAATTGCCGTGAATTCAGCGTTCTTTGGAATCAAGACAGTCATATTTCTTATATTCCCCCGTTCAAACGTACTGTGTCGAATGCGACGCGAGAGACGAAGCGCAAACTAGAAAGGGGTATGATGCAGACAGAACTGATGTCATTGTATGAAGATCATGTATCGTATGTAGTCAAAACGTGGCGTGCATGCAACAATAACGTATGGCACAAAAAATCGAAAAGAAAGCCAGAAAGTGTATCCGAGCAGCCCGTGATAAAAAACCGTGCGGATCGTCCCTTCGACATTAAAAGTAGACATCTCTCTATCATCTCTATTGCGAGCCCTCCTGCTGGAACACGTCGACATAGCGACTGCGTATATTCCTCTTCGCAGCCGAGCTCTTCGGACGTGCGCCGGGAGTGGGTGGCGGTGTCATGCCTAGAGGCGTCATGGGCTGTTGAACAGTAGAAGGTGGACGAAGCGGCAAGTTTGGGTCCGTGTCGACGGGCGCCAGATTTGAGCGTCCACGAGGCGGCGCCCGCTTCGGCGGCGACGTGACATCGACCGCGGAAGCTGGTCGCGAAGGTGGCGCTAGCGCAGAGCCATTATGCGGCACTGCATGTCCTGGCGAGGCCGTCTGCACGCGCGATGGAGGCGGTGAGGGTGTGGCGGGCTTGGAGGATTCTGCTCCGGCCTATATATACAGTCAGTTCCCATGGGTCACGAAAATCACAACGGGATCAAGTACGCACCTTCTTGTTGACCCACTTCTTCAGGTCCTTATCGTAGTAGAAGCTACTCTCCTCGCCTAGCGTTGCCTTGATAGGGCCTGGCGTACTCTCGCGCTTGCCCCACCACTTGCCGAACCAGGAAGACCCTCCGGCCGGAGGACCAGAGTCCTTGCCAGTCTGTTTAGGCGTTGGGTCTGTGTGTCTGAGTCAGCTTTCAATGTTACTGCGATGAAGGCAAAACATACCAGGTCTTGTTGCCGGCTCCTTCGCCTTCGCGTCCCCAGCGCCCGCGTCAGACTCCGCTTTCTTCTTCCGGGAAGCCGCAGTGCTGAGTCCGAGGTCGTCGTCATCGTCGAAGTCGTCCTTCGGTAATGTCCGCGCACCCACAGAAGGCGTCCCCGCAGGTGTGTTACCGAACTGCGGCGTCTCCATGAGGCTAAGGAACTGGCCGCCTTCCGCATTACTGGGATCGGTGTCATCTTGCGCGAACGATGCCGCTCTTGGGGTTGAGCCGTATGCCGAGTCCCACCACCCTCCGCCATTAGTAGCAACAGCCGTCTGCTCTCCGTCGCCCTCCGGCACACTGGACACAGGCTGCAATCCGTTCAGCCGGCCGTGACTGCCATAGTACGACGGGCTCTGAGCAAAGCTCGTCGTAGCGGCGTTCGCTGTTCGGGGCACTTGCATGGGTACAGGCGACCCTGCGCGACGGTTCTCCATCGCACTCGACGCGCGGTCGATGTGAATACCCGGCGGTGGCGGGAGACCCGGGACGCGCATCGAAGCGCTTGATCCAGGTCGCACGTGCGGATTCAAGCCAGTAGGCGCCGGACTGGGCGGCTTCGAGCTCGAGGCGGACGAGATGGTGCTGTAGTGCGCGAAGGGCCCGTACGGTCCGGGAACGGGCGGTGCAGCAGCAGGCGCAGCGCTTTCGTTCTCGCCCTCGCCAGCGATGAACTTCGTCAAACGGTCCTCAAACCAGTTTCCGATACTGTCGAGGCTTGGCCGGCCTACAGAAACGCCAACCTTTCCGCCGATCCACGAGCCGGCTTTGTCGAGTACAGGTGCGGCCGCCATACGCGTTGTCAGCTCCTTCAGCTGTTCGACGAACGCTTGCGTAAGCTGTTGTTGCGCTGGCGGAGGCAGGCGTGCGAGAGACGCAGCGATAGCATCGCAATACCGTTGAGCGGCGGCCATGTGTCCGAGTTCAGCGAGGTGCGCCGCGCGAACAAGCTTGTACGCTTGTAGATGTGCAGATCCAGTGAACGACTCCTGACCCTTGGCCGGTGGAGGGACGAGCGACGCCGCGAACTCCGCGATCTCGGAGAACACGATAGGGTCGTGCTCGGTGTGGAAGTTGGGCACAGATAGCGGGCTCTTCGCGCCGAGCAAGACAACGCGCGCTGAGGCAGCGCCAAGGCTCTGGATGACCGGCGACGATGGCACAAGCAGGTAGCTGAATGGCATCAATCAATCAACGCGTAGCATAAGATACGCAAGACAACTCACCAGACATGAGCGGCTTCAGGATACCCATTCGCCGCAAGCGTCTCTCCAAAGGACATGAGCGCAGCCGAACACTCCGCAGGACTCGGCCCTGGCAAGATCATGGCAATCGTTTCCGGCCACTTCGCCAGCGCTTCGGGCGGAATAGCGCCCGCAAGAGCCGTGGGAGCAGGAATAGCGCCCTGACCAAGCTTCGCGGGCGGCGCGAGCGCTTGCACGCATTTGGCCCCGCCGCCAGCGTACAAACTGTACGCGAGGCGCATGCCCTCACGACCTTCGCCACCGAGCTCAGCGCGGAGGAACTCGTTGACAACGTTCTTCCACGCATCCTTGCCGATGCTGCTCGAGATGACCATCGCGTGCGCCCAGAGCCGCTCGTCGAGTGCAGTCGCAACGGCGGCCTGACGGTCGCCCCGAACCAGCGCTGTCTCGATACGGGAGAGAGCTGATCCCCGCGTGGTGCTTGACGCCAGGATGTCGTCCGCGAGCGTCGATGCGCTTGACAGTGTACCCAAGGCGAGGTCCGTACCGGAGGGTAACGCGCTCAAAGTGCCGGAACCGTCGATCTCCTCCGCTAGATGTGGAACAAGTGCTGCGCGTACTGCAGCGTCGATCTTCGGGCTGTATATGCCGTTAGCATGTAGTATAAAAGCGTGCAGCGGACGAGCAGACTCTTACCTTCCGGATAATGCCCCGTCGTTGTCCACCATGACCTTCAACAACCTCACGAGCACGAGCCTAGCCTCCGCCTGTCTCCTCTCCTTATCATCGCTGATATAGGCGACACCCCTGCTCATCTCCTCTGCTCGCTCGTCCAAGTACTTCGTCACCTTCGCCCTATTATTCTTGACCTGGACACTTGCGCCTCCTCTTACAAGATTGACGCCGACACCAACGCCTGTAGTAGGACTACCGGGATCACCAAGCAAAGGTCCAGGGAACTCTGCCGTGCCGCCTTCAGAGCCGAGTGCGGAGGGTGGTGCGAGTTTGTGCAGTGAACGTACACTGACGGCTGTTGTCTGGCGCGCAGCAAGAGCAACATCAAAGCCCGTGTTCAATGTACCACTGCCGTGGAAGCACGTAACGAGCTTGCCGCCAAAGCCGAAAGAGATGACAGGTGCACGACGGGCGGTACGCTGCAGCATATCGTTCGTACCCAGCAAGGACGGAGATGGTGCATACTGCGCCGGTGCGGAGTACGAGAGTGTCTGCCCATGACTTTGGCTCGTTGAGAGAGTCGGCTCTATTGACAGAGGCGGAGGCACGGAAGGCAGAAGGGATGGATATGCTGCCGACGAACTTGTTGAGCCATTTGACACGGCGCGATCGCGTGCGACAGCAGACGTTGATGGGGCGGTATACGGTGCACCATATGGGCCGTAAGCTGATTGACCGTGGCTCGAGACGTTCGACTTGATAGAGGCGGCGGGTGAAGCAACGCGAGCGGCAGGGGCTTTCGCACGCTGCAGCGCGGCCGGTGGAGGGTCATATGACGACGCCGTACCAGGACGCGTCGCTTCCAGGCTGCTTCGGACAGATGACGTGCCCGGTACGGGCACAGGCGGCGAGTACATCCCAGCAGGAGGCGGCGCGTGGGTAGCCGGTGGAGAATATACAGATGCCGGTGGCGGCGGGGAGTATACATTCGATGCCGATGTTGGCGGGGTGTACGCAGTTGAGGGCGCAGGTGGAGAATAGACAGTAGAGGACGGAGGCGGCGCATAATGCGAATCCGTTGTGAGTCGGCGAGGAGGGGCGTATGGCGAGTCCTGAGCACGAGCGGGAGGGGCATATGCTGACGACGGTGGCCGAGGAGGCGCGGTAGGAGACGTCTTCGTCGAGCTTGTGCCATCAGAGCCATTTCGCCCATGTGTAGACGGAGCAGGAGGAGGCGCATATTGTCCGGAGGGTGGTGCGGGAGGTGGTGCATACGAGTTTGCGGAGGGTGCTGGCGGAGGTGCATACGAGCTTGGAGTTGACGCTGGTGGCGACGCATACGATCTCGCTACAGCAGGAGGCGTATCGTGGTCTGTTACGGTGTCGTCTCCTACGCCGGCGAAGTAGTCTACTGCCTCTGGGTCCTCGTTGGCACCACCACCTTCAGGGTCATACGCCGCGCCGCCCTCGAAGTCAACGCCGCTCTCAGATAGAGACGGGCTTTCTGCAATACCCCCTGAAGCGCCTAACCCGGTATCGTGAGAGGTATCATCCGTAGGATCAACGGATGTCCCGTCCTCAGTGTTGACCTGGTCATGGGCATTTGTGATGACAGGGGATGTGCCTTCGACATCAACGTGCGCGCCGCCTTCAGGATCAAGGCCCTCTGTGTCTGGACCGGCGTCCGCGCCACCTTCCGGATCGACAGTAGCTCCTCCTTCAAGGTCCTCGCCCATTGGCTCTCCAGACTCCTCAATATTCGTCAAGAAGTCCTCATTGCTACCTCCGCCCTCCATGAAGTCAAGGTTGGGGTGGTCAGCATATACCGTCCCCGTGAGAGGCGACGCAGCTGCCGCCGGTGGAGGCGGTGGAGCGTGTACACCGTTCACGATAGGCGGTGGGGCCTTTGGCGGCGGGTGCGAAAGAGATGGCGGGTCGTAGGGAGATGCCATACGTTGCACAGGTGGAGGCGGGCTTGACAGATAACTCGGCGGAGCCTGCGTAGGCGGAGAGTGAACCTGGTTGTTCGTCGGCGGTGGTGAATAGACCTGACTCGGTGGGCTGTATGGCGCCTGTGCCTGTGGCGGAGAGTGCGGAGGTTGATGTGTAGAGGGCGGCATACTTCCCGGAGGCGGCGGTGGAGGCGTATACGGTGCTTGCGGGGGCGCACTAGGCTGCCTCTTTGGCGGCGCATGCGCAGGTGGCGGCGGTGAGAACGCGCTGCGTGGAGGTGACGGCGCGTAGCCAGCCGCACTCCCTGTGCGCGAAGGCGGAGCGTATCCCGCCGCACTACCAGAACGTGGAGGCGGCGCATAGCCAGCAGCGCTACCTGCTCTGGGCGGGGGTGCAGGGGCAGCACTTCCCGAACGAGGTGGCGGAGGCAAGCCCGTCGCACCGGTTGGCTGCTGCTGTGGTGGCTGCCCGTACGCGTTCGCAGGCGGCTGTCCGTACGCGTTGGGTTGACCATACGGGGTCACTGGTGATTGGCCGTACACGCTCGGCGGTGCTGCACTTGGAGGACGATGTGCGTGGGACTTCTTCTTGGCGGCCGGAATGGGTGGATCATACGCGCCCATCGTCTTGGGCCTGAAGCTATCCACGCTCGCCTTGGGGTCGACCGACGGAGTGGCGGGAACTGGTACTGGTACAGTTCCATAAGCCGGTGAACCGTATGCCTGAGCCGGAGCTCCGTATGCTTGAGAGGGAGTTCCGTACGTTTGCGTGGGAGCATTGTACAGCTGTGAAGGTGGGCTGTAGGGCGACGAGTACGCCGGTTGGCCGTATGTCGAGGGCGGCGCGTAGCTAGGTGCAGCTGGCGGGGCATACGACGGCGCCGCAGGTGGAGCGTACGCGTGCTGCTGAGCAGCAGGTGCCGAGTAACCTGCACATGTACAGATGAGACTCTACAAACCGATGCAATTAAAGATGATAGCTCACCGTTCTGGGTACTCGGTTGCGTAGGCGGCGCGTAATGATTCTGCGCAGGAGCAGCAGGCTCGCTGTTGATATTCGCAAACGCGTCGTGCGACCCAGAGTCCGTATCGTTTCCAAACAAGTCCGAGATGGGATCCTGGGCGGCAGGGTGCGCGTCGAGAGAGGGAGTGCCGCCGATGCTGTCGAACGGGTCCGAGCCGCCGTTATCCGCGCCGCCAAAAAGCGACGAGGCCTCGTTGACAGAGCTCATCTCGCTCTATTATTTCTGCAATTTTCCGTCCAGCAGTATCCCCGCAGTCAATATGGAAAGCTCCAGAGCCTATGGACAAGGGAAGAGGGTGATGAAAGCAGGAAGGATAACAGTGTGAGCACCGAAGACGTGGTCGCGGCGGGATGACGCGGGCGACCTCACGCGAGCGCCAACGCCGTTCGGCCGGTCCTCGCCCGCTTCTTGCCTCGCTGCTACCACTTGCCGCATTTCGAACACAACTCGGATCGTGACCCAATAGGCGCGCACACACCGCAGTGACGCGTTTGGCTTCCATTGCCGATTTTTGGATGTGACTGCGCTCGCTAATGAAGAAGTTATTCCTGGCTTTCCTATATCATAAAGTCCATAAATAAGCCCAATGTTCACGCGTTCCGCCATGGTCAACTATCTAGACATCGCATAGACAGAAGTACTCCAAGGCATGTATGAGTACATCACCAGTCAATATCACGCTCAATCTCACACTCCATAATGTACGAAAGGCGCCCACTTCACAATTTTCGACTCTCCTACTTGCTCCCTCAAACGCCCGACCGCTTCATGCAGCGCGTACGCGGCTCCCGTCTCGCCCACTCCCACCAGATCCTGGTTTCGCATCTCAATCAGCTTCGTGTAGAAGGCCTCCACCACAATGGGCGCGTCGGCGTCTCCGATCGACCACATTGTCCCGACGACAGCGCAAAACCCGACCGCGAGCATACCTGCGGCCAGGTGTGAAGCCTCCTCTTTGAGGTTGAGATCACCCCTGGCCGTCTGACACGCTGAAAGGAAAGCAAGCTCTGCTTTTTCTCCAGCCGTCCGCATAACGTCGGGGATCGACAACGGGCCGTCGTACAGCGCGAACGCGCTCTTGAGCGGGTCGTTCCATTCCTGCTTGCCGTGGCAGGCGAGATGCAACCAGGAATGTAAATCAATCGCTCCTTGGACGTCGAGGACAGTAGCCTCCCTGTGCACCATGGCTTGGTATGGGATTTGTGCTCTCGCTAGGATATTCTGCAGACAGACCCTTTCTTTCTCGGTGCAGGGAAGAGGTGTGTGATTTGGCGTGTTTGGTTGCGTCACGATCAGCGCGGACGGATACTGAGAACGCTTGAGGAAGGCTTGCTCGCTGCCACGAATGAGCGCAGAAAGAGATGGGGCGTATGACGAGACGAAACAATTGTATGCGCGCGGTCCGGAGGGGACTTCGTAGTCGCCTGCTGCGTGTAGTGGTAGCTCTGTCAATGCCCCCGACGGACACCAAGTGATATGCGGCAAACGCCCCGGCATGCCCTGACACTGATGAGGTCAGTACTCAGCACAAATCTCTCACGATGTTCAAGGCTTACCTGAAGCCCCTCAGACTCGATGAACTGTAACACGGGATAAACCACATAATCCCATAAAATCTTCAAAACTTTGTGCAATTTCTTCTGCACGTTACTGTCCGCCTCTGGCCGAACAGGCGCTCGTGGGTCCTCGCCGCGCTCACGAGTGACGCCGTACTTCCAAAGCACCTCTGCCCATGCATTACTCACACGCTCCGCTGTCTTGTACGTCAGCCTCTGCAGACGAGTCGATGATATGCTGGTGTTCTCTCCGGGGACGATCACTATGGCATCGGAACGTGTTTCGTGCACAGTCAAGAAGACAATGTATCCTCCGAGATGCTGTTTCGCATGAGGTGATCGGAGGAGCTCAAGAACAGACTTCCGACGTCTGAAGTCCTCGAACTCCTCGTGCTCGCGTATACTCTCAAGTACCGCTTCATAATCCAAGACACGTCTGCGGTGAAGAGACCTGGGGTTTCGGAGAATGCTCGGGATCTCTTTCACCTGGAGATCTTCGAAACTTCTCTCCGGCATAGTCGCGCTCAGAGGTGCATACACGTCCTCCTGTATTGCTCGAGTATATTGGCGCAACTGCAACGCCATGCCAGCATCATGTTGCCATATCTCAAGGCTGATTCGGTCGCGAAGCGACAAGACCTGCGACCATATCATGGCTCTCCCCGCTTCAAGCCACTCAGCGGCTTGCTCTACTTGCGGTTCGTTGCCCTCAAGGGCTGCAGCGACTGCAGTGGCTACATCACGACCCCACCTCGATAGTCCCCGAAAGCGTCTGTGCACTGTATGCCCAAGCCAGGCAGCCTCCGTCTCGAATCCGTCCATGAACCGAGTCCAGGCCAAGATAATATCGTTTTGAGAACAGAAATCGCGATTCTCGGACAACATACTCGCGCAAGCTGCGGCATTCGTCAGATGCTCTGCGCGATAGCCAGGCACGTCCGGCGCGAAGTCCATAAAACTGTCAATCGCCTCCTTGAAAGTTTTCCTCTTGTCATCTCGATCCACATGCTGGAATCGGTATCTCAAGGCATGGCCAAGGTTACGACGTAGCGTGAGTCTCTTGGGATGTTTCTCTCCTGCGAACTGCACTGCATATCGATGGGCCGAAACAGAACGCACAACGTCATATGTATTGCGATGCGCCTCTTGGACATACTTGAATCTTTCTAACAAAGACAATCCGAGCTCGTTTATGACTTCCGGAGCGAGAGGATTACTCTCCGGGACGAGTGTCCATGCGTTGTCATGCATCGCAACCGCGCGCTCGAGGTCTCGAATATCCTCGCTCTGATCATAACGAATCCGGAGAGAAGTCCCATAATGACAGAGCCATAGACCCTTCTTTGAGTCCTCATTTAGAGCCAGTTCGATGGCGCGTTGATGAGCAGAGACAGCAGAATCAATATATTCCATTTCAGGGGCGAATATGTATCGTGTCTGCCAAGTCATGGCAAGACCATCGAGTAGCCTCGATTTCTCCCGGTGGGAGTCAGGAGCAAGTTCAACAGCGCGCTCGTGCGCTCTCAAAGCAGACATCAAATCGGCCCATTCTTCAGACGTTTCAAAGCGCAAATGTAGGGCGACGCCCATCTCGTGCAGAAGCATGACGTCATCATAGCAGTGAGGCATGTGCTCGAACAGATTCCCATACACTTCAACCGCACGCTCGATATCCAACGGTTGGCCATCCCGTGTGAACCGGTTCACCAAAGCTTTGCCATACTCCGCCTGTAGCCGTGGCCAGTCGGGGTGGCTCATCTGCGTATACAAGGCCACCCGTTGATACACTTCCACGTTATCCTGGGTACTAGTCCTGGCATCGGGTTCCCCGATGCAGATGCCACGTTTACGCAAGGATGAACCAAAGTTGCGGTATAGACTCTGCTCCAGGGCATGGCCAGCTGGTAGAAGAGTTATGGCACGACAGTATGCTTCGATACCGCGCTCCAAATACTGGCGGGTGCGTTTCGAGACGGTTCTATGTCTTCTATCACCCTCAAGGTACACCGAGTCGCGTTTTTTAGTGGCCTTGAAGCGAGCCAAGTACGCAGCACCGATATCTCGAAGACATTGGGCAAGGGCCGTAGGGTCATTGGCTGGCAAGAGCTCAGCAGCGCGCTCGAGGGCGTAAATTGCATAGTCCATATCCCCCACATCGTCCGAGCGTTTCGCGTGATTGTGGAAGAGACGGCCGACCAAGGCAAAGATGCTGCCCCTCTGAGGCTTATCATGGCACCAGTCAGCTGCATAGCGAAGCGCGTCGATAGCATAGCCCAATTCACGAAGATCTTTCTTCCTCTGATAGGAGTAATAATAAGATATCCCGATCTCATAGAGACAGTCGCACTTTGCACTTGGGGATGCATGATTGAAAAACGGGGACCGGATAGACAAAGTGAACGCAATGATAGCAGCCTCAAGATCCTCCAGCTCGTTCTGCAGTTCAAAACGCTCGCGTAAGAGAGATCCCAGGAGGTAACAAATTCGAGACCGGTTTGGGTGATCGCGGGGCAAGATCCCGTTCACGTGATAGAAGATAATCCTGGCAGCCATTGGGTCGGTCAACGCGCTGTTCAACAAATCGGCATTGTATGAGAGTAAACCGAGATCTTTACTCTGTCTCACAAGTGCAGTGAGTTCTTTCACGTCCAAGGGACCTCTGGTGAGAGTTGCATCGAGCTTCAGCCTGACATCGCGATCGATGCCGGGTGCACTCTCGGGAACACGGAGCAATTCGAGTCGCTGGTGGATTGACGCGAGCTGCTCGTTGTATAGCTTCAGGTTCTCGTCGCGCTGTGCTCACGTTAGCAATGTTTATCTACGGCTTGGCGGGTCAAATGGAAGACGGCGTACACTGTGCAACAAATTATCCTCAGAGTCGGATCCTCCTACAGGGAAATCGATAGCCATCCCGGATCCTCCGGGCAATGGCTCAATGCTTTCCACTGGATCTACATCCATCCTGTTAGGATCCTCATGATAGATAGCATACTGCGGTATGCGAAGCCGTTTCGGCCCCAGGTCGGGGTCGGCATCGAGAGGTGTGTTAAATGACGAGCTCATGGTAAAGGCGACGTAGTTGGCGATTGGAGATCGAAGCAGATTAATGGGCGAGAGCCGCGGTTTAAGCGACTCGATGCGTGCAGTAGCAACGCGGGCAATAGCCACAGGTCGTATCCAAGCTGTGCAGCTGTGCATGTAAGGTAAGAAGCACATGGTTGAGTTGCTTCTGTCGTCGTGCTTCGTAGCACGGGATATGATATGCGCCGACAAGAGCGCCCCCATACATGGTAAGTCTTTCCATAGAATGCAACGGCGGGCTTCGCTCCTCGTGCCACGCGGATATAGCCTGGGAAGTCGTCCAAGCTCATCAGATCTGTGAACAGAAGTTGGAAAAGACGACATTTCATGTCGTGCGCGAGCTTACCTAGTAGGCTCGTTGCTAAGTATTCGGCAACGTATGATATCAGCATCCTACAGTCACGAAAGTATCTGAGAGGCTCTAAAACTGACAGAACTAGGGGTGGACGGACTGTACGTCAAACTCGCGACCTTGTCGGAGATGCGATGGGAGCATTCGCACGAACCGTGATCCATCTGTATAGGCCGCTTGCAAAGACACCGCCATTTTGAGACACAACAAGATGAGAATTGCGTCGCTCTATATCATCGGTAAGGGACAGTGTTCCTTCGATGGATGATGGAAGATGTCGAGTGGCGGCCGTAAAATCTCAGGCCCGACGCCCATCGCGAGTTCAGATGTATGAATTCTGAGATGTGGTGCAGGGTAGAGTTGAAGCTGAGCATCCCCGGACAATAAAATCTGTGAGAAGGTTGTAAACGGATAATGCACCTTGGTGACGCAAGAGGCAACTTACGCGACGGGTGGGGAGAGCTTGGGGAAGCAAGGCCAGGCCTTGGCAGCCGGATGTCTTTCACTCGATGTCCCACCGTCTCGAGACGCTCTGGCTAATAGATAGCGGTGAGAATCCCAAAGGATACGTGCTGGAAGGTTTCATCTTGCGTGAGCATCGCACATTCATGACCGGCGATACTGTACAGTTCGCGATAGCAGAAATGAGATCTGTGATCAATTCGTTACACGTTTCCAGTGGTTACAATCCAGCAGCACTCGTCAGCCCTCTTGCATAGGCCGCTTCCCTCGCCCTCACAAACGACTGCTCAAGACCGCAGTCCAGTATCACCTGCTGCACTCTCGTCGCCTCACCCTCCGCATCCTGCCTGAGCCCCACAAGCGTCTCCGCGTCCGCACCAGCAAAGCGGCCTGCGAGGACATCCGGGTCCGGTAGATGGAGCGCAGATGCAGGCGGCACGATCAGATGGGCAAATACGGGGCCTTCGGCGAGCAGCGAGTCCAGAGTTTGCACCAGGGCTGTGCGCTCGAAGCGCGCTGCGATTTCGGCGTCGGATACACCCGCAGTATTCTGCAGGTTGTACCAGCTAGACGACATCAGCATGGAAGGTATAGCGCAGGAAGGCAACACGTACTCATCGCGCAGGTAAGCCCTCCGCCACACCGCCTCCATGGCAGCCTGCTTTCTGGCTTCCGGTAGTTGGGTGCCCGAAGCGTTCAACAACTTGAGCGCAGTAGCGTAGCTCCCTGCCCCGTCCTCGCTCTTATTGTCCCGAAGACTGAGCACGTCCACGATTTCCTCGACGTTGAGCGCTTCTCCTCGGAGCATGCGCCGGACGAGCGAGCGGAACACACGGCCCTGTGCCGCTGTGCCTTGTAGTCTTGATGCTGCACCACGAGCAAGGAGCTCGGCTTGACGATCGAGTGGATGCCGGCCACGAATGGCAGAGTTGCCTGCTGCTTCTTCAAGTTGATCGAGTACCCATCGCTGAGTGTCGATGAGGTCGAGTCCATCGTTGAACGCTGTATCAAGACCAGGATTAGCATTTCGGCTCTGAACAGATGACAATAAGACATGCCGTTCAAGGTGTTCTCGTCCACCACGGAACCCGCCTGCTGGTTTGCGATGCTCGCCAACTTCCCCAAACTCAACATCAACTGCTTCGCCGGGACCTCCGCTTCCTTGCTCGCCTCATCCAGTAGACAACCCGCAGCGGCGGCCCACCGTCCTCTCCCGAGCTCGTGCACCCATCGCACACTCTCATACCGCTCCCCGCACCTCGCGAAGAACGCGTCCACATCATCCGCGTAGCCCTCGTCACGCTCAAGGGCAAACAACACGCGCAGCTCGCCGTGCTCAATGCACCAGCTGAACAGAGCTTCACCGAACGGCTCGCGCCATCTGCTCATGTACTCCCGTATCCTCTCAAGATGCGGATTCGCAGAGAGTGGGAACGCCGCCGCCCCCGTGTTCTCTCCATGACCGGGATCGAAATGCGCCAAGCACAACGCGGCGAGCCCCGCAAAGTCGAAATGCCTCTCCGCCAATGCGAACGCCGCATCTTCCCTTCCTAACGCCTTGAGTGCCGTGTACGCATCCGCGCTCACGCCTTTCATAAGCCCCGCACGCTGCGGGCGGCCGGATGCCGCACTGAGAAGAATGGCGGCGAGTCGAGGAACGTGTACGGCGAGAGGGTCTTCGGCCGGTGTTGATGAGTTGGTTGCTCGTCGGCGAGTTGACTCCCAGAGCGGGTGGAGAGCGTTGAGAAGCTCATCTGAACTGGTCCAGGGCTCGGGTGTTGGGGCGTCGTCTAGAGAAATACCATAGAGTGCGCCGTTAGTCTCGCGGTAGCGGAGCGCACTCTCGTAGATAGCCTGTAGTAGTATGAGGAAATCGTGAAGAATCGAGATAGAGGTGTTAGCGCACCAGCACGATGTCGTTCGCGTCAGGGAGCGCAGCTGCATTGCGCCGCGCCTCGGCTTCGACGAAGGCCGGTAGACGATTCAACTCCGCGACATGCGAGCGGAAGAAAGCTCGCACGGGGTCTGGAGAGCCGGCTTCGCCAATCTGTGGCGCAAATGCGTTGATTGCTGCGGCTAACACACTCTCGCCCGCACGACCCGTTGAAGTCAACAGAGTATCGTATGATGCCCACAGAGTGCTGGCTGCGTGCAACTTCTCGGCGTCCTCTGCGAGCTTGAGGCGGCTCGTGAAGGGAAGCTAAAATGAAGGATAAAGATGAAGGTTAGTGCCTGTGACAGAACTCGGTGGACTGAATTCGCACCTTGCCGAGCACTCCATTCTCGTTGATGAAGCCAATGAGGAACCCGAGTCTGTCTGCGCGCACAGCGAGCTGACTGGTCAGATCGCCACCGGCGCCCATCATCAGTTCGGGCTCTCCGGCCAGTACAGCGGCACTTAATGCCTCAGCGCCACTTGCAAGCGCCCGCGGGTCGACGGCAGGAGGGAAGGCGAACCGAAGCGGGTTTGCAGGATGCGATCCGTAGAGGATGGCCTGTGCGAGTACAGAGCGCACAAGTTCAGGTGCGCCGGCGTAGCCTACGACGGCGGTCGGCTCAAGCGTCGCACGCAGCATCGTACTTGCGCTGAGAACGAGGATGTGTGCTGATCCGGCGCCTACACCGAGGGTGCGATCTGATGCGGACTTCAGCGTGATACGGTCCTTATAATCATTGTCTGCGGGAGCCCGCGTAAGTATATGTGCATTGGTGCGAGTAGAGAGACGAACCGCGTGAGCATATCGTGATAGCATCTCCGAACTGTACGACGAATAGTGCACCACCGTCGATGAGTTGCAGCTTGGGATGCATGGGCGCTTCGCCAGCGCCAAACGTCTGCGGCGATCATGAGTCTTCTGCGAGTGTGCCTGTTCGAGATACATACGCTTTGGTATGGCACATGCACAATCTTCTCAACCTCCAACGAGTCGATGCCAACGAGCACCTGCGCAACAGAATACATCCGCCTCGGGCGACCAGCCCCCTCCTCTTCTTCCTCCTCGTCTCCAAAAGGAGCATAGGAGACCAGCACGTCCAGGCGCGTACTTCGCTTCCCTGTAGGGTCGTGCGCCAGACTTTGGCTCATACTGAGGCTGGAGCTGAGGCTCCCGAACGGATTCGGGCGTTCCACCGCGAGGTCCAATAACTCAAGATCCAGATCGATTTCCTCCGCAACGTCCTCTTTCCCAGTAGACTGCAAGAGCGCGGGTCCGATCAACACAGAAAGGTCGTGCTCGCGGGTAAGCTCCTCCCATCCATCCGCACCGAGCGCCCATAGTTGCGCGCGTTGAGACCCGAGTGCCCAGACGTCGCGACCTTGGAGTGCGATGGCGGCGACTGGACCGGGTGCAGCGGGCTCCGCTGTAGTCGGCCAGAATGATAGAAGACGTGTGAGGGCGCGGGGCCGGGAGAAGAGTCGTGCAGCTAGGTGAGGCCGACCACCCGCAGAGGTCAAAGCAAGACGGAACAGGCGACCTTCTGACGTTCCGGCAATATACGTCTGGGCCTCAGCCCGCGCGAGCGACGTCGCGCTTTCGCCTGGCTGGAGGTCGAGTGCGGCTCTGTGGTAGTGTGCGCCACCAGCCAGACCATGGCTGACACTGTCCCAGAATCGGATCTCTCCGAGAGGCGAAAGCAAAATGAGACCGGGTTCGCGTGCGCCGGCGTAGGGTACGAGCGCGTGTAGGGGCGCGTTTTGGTCTTCGTCGACCGGACATGGCAGGATATAACAAGTCGGTGCGCCTGTGAGCGCCTAATTCCGATCAGCACGTTGTAAGTTACCATGTGTCAACAAGAGATACCTGCGTGTGCTGCCACACATAGCACGTCTGCCATGTCGCGACTAGAGAATGGTTCGTAGTCGTGTCGACCTCTCCAGAGTACGAGTCTCGTGCGAAATCTATGCTCATGTTCATTCAACGGGTCTTTCCATGTAATACCTGCACACAACGTACCCGCATTCCTTAACGCGAGTCTCACTTCTTCTGGTAAATGACTATACAGCGCGACGGTCATCTCCCTCGACCGCGCGAACACCGTGTCCGGTTTAGGCGCCACACCACTGGGCGCGTCGTCGACGTCCATGGACGCGACCGACGCGTCCCGCACGGGTGACATCATCATAGGCGCGCGTGCAGGCGTCGCATATCGTGCAGTAGCGCGTCGTGGAGGAGTGCGCGCGGGCGTCGCGCGGTTTGTCCGGCGCGGTGCAGGGATGGTCGACATGGGCGCGCGAGAACAAAAGTCGAACAGACGCGGACGCGTCACGACGCGTGATCTCACTTCTCTTCGTACCACCACTAGGGGACCTCAGACTGCTGGTGCGAACGGCATGAGCCCATAAGGAAAGGGCCTCAGTCGCTTATATGGCATGGCTGTATCCACAGTTCTTGATTTCGTTTCATCGGTAGTCAAGTTCAGATGGAAAACATACATATTGGAACCCCGATAATCATATTCATCGTATACTGTTGTGCATTATGTGAACATTGTGCGGTCACTTGTACTCGACGGATACGCATGTGGAGCATGTATAGTATGGGAAGCGACCAATATATACGGGGCTTATGTGCTGAGACTGAGAGTAGTGATGACACTTGGTCGCCACGCGGGTCGCGCCACTCAGACTTCTACTACCACCATCACATCAATTCAGAGTAATGCTCGTCGACTACGGCTCAGACAGTGATGACGCGGGATCTCCGCCACCCGCGCCCACCCCTGCGCCTGCTCCGAAGAAGAAGGCCCCGAAGAAGATTATTGCCATTGAACCTTCCAAGAAAGACTTGCCCGACCCAGAGGAGGAGCGGCCGGCGAAACGCGCGCGGATAGACAACGGCAAGGGCGCGGGCACCTCGTCGTTATTCTCGATGCTGCCCGCGCCCAAGGTCGCGAATCCGGTGAAGGCGCCGAAGCAGGAGGAGCGGGTGTTGGGTGGAGGAGGAAAGCCGGGTCTCGTGTTCAACACCGCGCGGAGTGCGCCCTCGGTTGTGGCCCCAGCGCCAGTTGAGGCTGCCGACGAAGATGATGAAGCTGAGGAGAGTGGCACGTCAGTTGTTGAGAAGAAGGCGGAGAAACCGGCCGCGGCATCTGGGTTGTTCATGCCTACGAATGTACGAAGAGGCAAGGCGAACGTCTCGCTCGATGAGTTCACTGTCCGGCAAGCACCGAAACCCGCCTCTACGGCCAAACCGGCACCATCTGCAGCACCGGCTGTTGACTTCTTTGGCCTCGGTATGGCATTGCCCATCATGCATAAGACAATATACTAACCCATAAACAGATGCATCTACATCCTCTGCTGCCACATCTCGCCTCCCTTCACTTCCTAAAGTGTCCTCCGCGCCGAAAGTGGAAGAATACGTCCCGCCAGAACCGCAGCCTACGGACCCCTACCCAGGCTACTACCAGCTCCCCTCGGGTGAATGGGCCGCCTACGAAACGGCCTACTACTCCGCATTCCTCAAACGCTGGCAAGCCGAGTATGACGCGCACGTGCGAGACCTGGAGAAGAACCCCATGAAGGGCTTTGAGGGCTACGACGAGAGTGCAGCAGAGGTCAACGCAGCGGCGGAGATGGAGCGTGCGAGAGAGGAGATAAAGGAGCGCGAGGACAGGAAAGCGTTGACAATGGGCGACGTAACGGGTGCAGAGCCCAAGAAGCCGAATATGAACATTGGAGGCGCGAAGTTGGGCAAGGGAGCGAGGACGAGGCATCAGCTCACGACACTGCTCGCGGACGCGTATTCCAACCGCGAGGCACTGGAGGCGAAGATTGCGGAGGGGAAACGCAACAGGAAGGAGGCGGGCAACAAGTACGGTCAGTGGAGTGGTGTATTTTGCGCGACGCCAGTGTACTGATATACTCCATAGGCTTTTGAGGTGTCACCATTCTCGCACCGATTCCTTGTGCATGTACAATACGTAGATACATCCCTTCGGGAAAGCGGCGAACTGCTTTGGCCAGGCTATTACTGCACGTCGCATCACTTCCTTGGCGCTCTTCTTGAAGCCGACCGGTTCTCGTCGTGTGCCGCGTGCGCTCATGGGAGTACAATCTCGTACAGCACATTACCCAATACTTCTAAGCGAGAATGATCTTCTACTTTATCGCCGATGCTCTCACAGTTTGAGTGTTCGCGTACACATCCATCGCGTCCTCTGCAATGACCGCGGGTCTTGTAATCGGCGCCGATTCTCTCGTGTGCGTAACAAGGTCTGACCATTTTTCATCTCAGCAAGTCCCAGAGTGAGAAGCGTACCCTCCTGTGCAACTACTATAAAGGAGGTCCATCTCAGCCAACGCTCCCCTCAGCGACGCATCGTCTCCTCCACTCACTGCACCATCGAACCCACTTTCATACACTGAAAACATGTCGAAGGAAACGACCTTCATCCCGAAGCAAGCGGACTTCTCCATCGATGAATATAGACCACTGAAGGTATGTTCAAGTCTGTAGCGTTGGGAACACGCGACTGACGTTTGTCTAGGTTGTGTGCATCGGATCAGGCTACGCCGGTATTGTCGCCGGCATTCGGTGAGCAATATCCTTCGCCCGATACTTGCCCGAAATCTGATGTAATCTGGCCTACGCAGCTTTCGGCAACGTATCCCAAACATCGACCTGACCATCTACGAGAAAGAGGATGGTGTCGGTGGTACTTGGCACGTCAACAAGTACCCTGTGAGCCGTCAGTATCTTCTTCCTCGGCAGATAGAATCTGACATCTGGAGGCTGCAGGGCGTTGCTTGTGACGTTCTATCGCACGCCTACCAGCTTTCTTTCGAATCCAACGTATGTTCCCGACCCAATGTCGACACGTGCCGACAATCTCACTTCTCTCCTTAGACTCAATGGTCTTCGTTCTACGCTCCCGGTTCTGAGATCCTGGCATATCTGAAAGGGGTCGTGGAAAAGTACAAGCTGATGCCTTACATCCGACTACAGCACGAGATGACCTTTGCTCACTGGGACGAAAGCAAAGCGAAGTGGATCCTCACGATTCGCCGTGGGATCGATGGACAGGAGTTTACCGACACCGCCGACGTCTTGTTTCTCGGCGTTGGTGCCCTCAACCGCTGGCGCTGGCCTGACATCGACGGCCTGAAGGACTTTGGCGGTACTCTTGTGCACACTGCGCAGTGGAACGTGTCCGACGAGACAATGGAGCAAACCTGGAAGGATAAGAGCGTCGGTGTCATTGGAAACGTACGTCTTCATGCTCCATACCGATCAATCTTTGATGGACGGTCCTGACGGTCCGGACAGGGTTCTACAGGCATACAGATTGTGGCTGCACTTCAGCCGCGCGTCAGAATGCTCACGAACTTCATCCGTGCCACAACCTGGTTGTCACCTACCGTAGGCATCGAGACTATGCTCACAGCCGTCGGCAAGGAGCCCGGTACAAATGACTGTACGTTGTGTCCGCCGAGAATCATGAGCCAAACGTCAATAACTTATTTCCGGACAGTCTCATTTGACCCCATCTTCCTGAAGAAGCTCGAGGATCCTGAGTATTATCGTCACTTCCGACATGAGGTTGAATCCGCCATGCATGTAAGGCTTCTCGCACATATAATGCACTCTTCATGCTCACGAATGGTGCCACAGGCGTTCGGCGACGTCTACTTCAAAGAATCACCGAGGCAGGCCCAGTTCAGGGCCGCTCTCGTGCACGAGATTGCTACCAAGCTTGCTCGCAAGCCAGATCTCATCGAGCGGCGTGCGTACTCGAACGGTCTTCCTCTTTGCTATAGCATATCATCTCATGTCCGCCAGTCACGCCCGACTTTCCCGTTGGATGCCGACGGCTTTCTCCCGGGCCGGGGTACCTAGACGCACTCTGCGAAGATAATGTACGTATACAGAACGAGTTCTCACTCAAACCTGGAATCTACTTACCTCTGCTTGTAGGTCGTAGTCGAGACCACTCATATCAAACGCGTCACGAAGGATGGCCTTGATCTAGTCGATGGTCGCCACATGCCGCTAGACGTGATCGTCTGTGCCACCGGCTTCGACACGACGTGGCTCTATCCCTTCCCCATCGTCGGTCGCGATGGCCTGAAGCTCACCGACCGCTGGGCAGGTCATGCCGAGGCATACCTGTCAGTCGCCATTGACGGCTTCCCGAATCTTTGGATGGCCTTCGGCCCGAACTCCGGCTTGGGATCTGGCAACACCGTCTTGGTGACCGAGAAACAGGTGGATTATGCCGTGGCGGCTACGATGAAGATGCAACGCGAGCGCCTACGGAGCATGGAGGTCAAGCAGCGGGCCGTTAGGGACTTCAATGCTTTCGCGCAGGAGTACTTCAAGAAGGTTCTTCTCCGCATACGTTGTTTATGAGCGTATCGCTGACGGCTGTCTCGATAGACTGTAATTCTAGAGAAGTGCACAAGCTGGTACCGCAGTCCTGTGGACGGCGCTGTCACTGGAATATGGCCCGGTAAGTAATGCACGTAGCTGCAAAAGGTGAAGACGCGGCCTGATCTTGACATCAGGAACCTGCTTGCATCTCCTTCGCACTCTGGCACATCCTCGGTGGGAGGACTTCGATTATAAGCCAGTTCATGAGGATCAGACAGAGAATACATTCTATTGGTTGGGAGATGGTCTCACTCATGCCGAGAAGACTATGACAGGCGATCGTGAGTGCTCATACAGGCTGCAAGCTCATACCGAGACTCTACTCAGCGCATACATAGGCGCTTGGTACCTTAATGACGTGGATATCCCTCCAGGTAAGTCGTAATAAATAGTTCCATCTCATCGTGACACGGGGTCTAATGACAGACGATCTCCCTAGTGCCGGAGTACTAAGCGATACACGAAATTTGGAGAGAAAGTTCTGCATAAATATGACAGGCATTCTAGACGAAGCATATGTGATGCGGGGGCAGGCAGTATAGATAAGATCGTTGAGCATTGTTGTCCTTTGCTTACTCTGGTACTGCGGGAGGCGTGAGGGAGGCAGCATCTCGAGGGAGTGTTCATGCTCACCAGGTGGGATGTCGACATCAGCGAGGTACCAAGCACCTGTAACAGAACGGTCAACACCTTTCGCTGTCATATAAGAGAAAGAGCGCACGATCGCCAGTCAACGTCTTCTCAGCGAGAGTGAGCCCGTCTCCGAGCCAGTAAAACCTGTTCTCTGTATGATCCTCGGCGAGGCCCTCGTAGTCGTAGTCTTCCCACCGGGGATGAGACAGCGCGCGAGCTAGATGCAAGCAGCTCCCTATCGAACGGGCAGATGAGCGACACGGGGAACGCTGGTCACGTACTTGTACTACGCACCTGGCCAGATACCAGTGATGGTCCCATCTACAGGACTGCGATACCAGTTGCTACAGTTGTCGAGGTATACAGTCTGTTCGCACGCGTAGGTTATAAGCCGAAGTTGTTCCGGAGGGTCACCAGACGACCAACGCACCTTCTTGAAGTATTGCTGGGCGTACTCGTTGAAGTCCCGTAAAGCCTCAGGTTTGACCTCTATGGTACGCAAGCGCTCGCGTTGCATCTTCGCAGTGGCAGCTACAACATAGTCGACTTGTTTCTCAATGGACAACACGTTGCTGCCGGAGTTAAGCGCGGAGTTCGGGCCGAAGCCGAACCATAAATTGGGGAAGCCGTCAACTGCAAGGGAGAGGTACGCCTCGGCATGCGACGCCCAACGATCGGAGAGCTTCAAGCCATCTCTTCCGGTGATAGGAAACGGGTAGAGAAAGCTCGTGTCAAAGCCTGTGGCACAGATCAACACGTCGAGCGGGATCTGCCGCCCGTCTACAAGGTCGGCACCAGTTTCAGTGACTCGCGAGATGTGGGTGGTCTCAAGAGTAGCCTGCAAAATACCATAAGCTTTGAGCGTCACTTAGAGTCAATGAAGCGTACATTGTCTTCGCATAGGGCCTCGAGATAGCCCGGGCCTGGAGTTAGACGCCTGCAACCCACGGCAAACTCCGGGAGAACTGATCAGTCAAGGCATTATCAGTATTGTTGTACCCCCAGACGTCGACTGAATAACTACACTCACGCCTTGATACCAGCTCCGGCTTTCGTGCAAGCTTTCGCTTCATTTCTTCCTCCAATAGGACTTTCGAGGCAGCTTGGATAGGCGAGTCCTTGAAAGAGATCGCGGTGAACACCTAAAGATACAGTAAGTACACGCTTCCGCCGCCAGTCAATGTGGCAAGTCTGACATGAGTGGCAGCCTCAATCTCGCGCCTGAAGAAGTGGTAGAAGACTGGATCCTTGAGCTTCTCCTTGAGCGCCGGGGTGAAGGTGTCTGTACCGCGACGTAAGCGAGAAGCCATAAGAGAGATGGGCGGTCGCATACAGTCAGTGCTCCCAGGCTCACGTCCAGCCAGCTCCTGTAGCTTGTCAACCGAAAACGACGTCGAGAGCCATGTCTTTCCACGAATGAAGTTTGTCAGTGACTTGACGCGCGGCTGGAGTGCTGTCACAAGCTGTATGCCTGTGGAACCCTGTAGACGATTTGAGATTAGCCAGAGTCAACCACGCTAGCCATCGCCCTGCAAAGCGTACGTTTCCGATGACCGCAACGTGCTTGTCCTTCCAGCCCTCGAGACGATCTTCGGGGACATTCCAATCAGCACTATGAACGAGGGTGCCACCGAAAGTCTTGAGTCCGTCAATGGCCGGCCAACGCCAGCGGTTGAGTGATCCGACACCGAGGAAGAGAACGTCTGCGGTGTCCGTGATCTCATGGCCGTCTGCCTCGCGACGCAAGCTCACTATCCACTTGGCGTCCACTTCATCCCAGCGAGCAGCGGTCATCTCGTGTTGGAGACGCATGTAGGGCATGAGCTTGTACTTGTCAACGACACCTTCAAGATACGCCTTGATCTCAGAGCCCGGAGCGTAGAAGGAAGACCATTGCGTCTGAGGATATGAGTGAGTACAGAACCAAAGGACAAAACTGGAAGGGACGTACATTGGACTCAAAGGAAAGTTGATAGGCATGCGAAGGAATGTCGCAGGCCAATCCCTGTGAGCACGATATCAGCAATCGGCAGGATAATGTGTGGCTACGGGGATTGACGCACTGGGTACTTATTAACATGCCAAGTCCCGCCGACGCCGTTCTCTTTCTCATATATGGTGAGATCAACGTTGGGGATACGCTGCCGGAACCTGAGGGAAGGTTGCGCATTCAGTCAAGGGTCGCAACGGAGAGTGACTGGTCACTCACCGTATGCCAGCGACGATACCAGAGAATCCAGCACCAATGCAGACAACCTACAGCAGTATGAGCAATGGACCTTCTCGCAAAAGGGAACGGCGACAAGACCTTGATAGGCCGATACTCGTCGACGGAAAAGCCTATCTGTTGAGTCGATGTAGTCGGCGTCTTAATCATGGTGATGGATAGAGATCTGAAGGCCAAGTTTTGCGAACGAAATGTAGATGAGTGTCGTACTGGTTCATTATCACGGTTGCGAACCTCTCGTTCTTATACCAGACATCGTGTCGCAAGGGAGGGCTGAAAGGACAGTTGGTCAGATCGTCACGCGTGTGGAAGGGTGCAGCCGACGTGCACATGATGTTTGTCAGATCCTGATGTCGACGGTTTCAGCTCAGCTAAGGCCAAGTGAGATACACCGGCGCATGTACATGCTGAAGATCGCTACGCCAGACTGTATGGGGACTGGAGTATTTGTCATGCCGTGCTCTAGAGCACGTCTTCCGATGCATGAACGAGGTGAAGAAACATAACATCGAACCTGAGTAGAGGGACGGTTTAGCATTTGAACGAGTCAACGAATGTAGTGCGCAGGTCACGCGAGGCCGTTGTAGGCTTATGCATCTCGTTCCAGAATGGCCCGATGTAAGTGGACCTCGGTCCATCCCGGGTAAAGCAACAGGCTGATCTCAAGGATCCACTTCCACCGCCACATGTTGCACGAAGATTTGCATGTCGCAGTGATTCTTCACGGAGCTATCAGCATTCACACGGAGTTGAGAACCTCGCCAAGCCCAGCCCAGTAAACCTTTGTCAATCGTCACATGAGGTAGCAGTCCTCTCCTCGTGTTTCATGATGTGCTTTCGCACAAACTAATATCCCTATATATGAAAGCTTGATTCTGAGCGTGAGTCTAGTGGAAATGGTAGTATGACCATCACACAATTATGCGTACACGAGTATGCCCGTAAGGTACAACAACTATTCAAAAGGCTTGATTATTCGGCGAGGGTGCCGGTGCAAGCCCAACTTGTTGCTTGAGCTTCAACCAACGGGCACGCAAGGAAAGACGAATTTCTTCAACCGTCCTTACGCGCAATTCGCGCGTATATGCTGCCTGCCGTGGTGCCTCCTGCATGACCCAACGGCGGTAGAAATCCGAGAGCACTGCCTCACGCGTCTCTGGCGACGCATCAGCCGGCAACGCGTCTAATGCTGCTACCCGTGCTGCCTCAAAGCGTTTATTGCTCTGCATGATAACCATTAAGATTCCGTCGGGTGATTAGAACGCGGTGTACGCACGTCTGTCCAAAAGGCATGATTGAACGCGTCCAACTCCTCCCTACGCAGACGCCAGCGGTAATCCGCATCATTCAGCGCGGATCTCGGAAATTCGGACAGTGAATATGGGTGATTTGAGTTGTGCGTTGCGCCCGACCCGCTCGCCGACGGTAGAGGCGCGTCTGCGTAGATGACTGGCCGCAGGTTCGAGACAGGGTCCGGCGGCCCTACAAGAGTGCGAGCGTGTGAATTGCTGGCCCTGGCGGATGAGTGTATTGCGCGCAAGGGCCGGGCCAGGCGCGAGGAGGACATGACGGTATAACGGAAAGACAGACAAGGCGAAGCGCAGTCCCCGCTCGCCGGGAAGTCCGCTCAACGCGCTCACGCGACTTGCCTCCCTCGCCCACCACCGACGTCTCGAACTCTTTACAGCCGGACTTTTGACTGAAGATAATATATACACTCCCCAAAAAGCTTGGATTAGTTACAACTATATTCCTGATATGACTTCTACCTATCTCGTTATTTGGAAGCAACCGCCAGTCACAACGCAAGGGTTGCCGCACTCCTGCGGTCCCGGTATCGTCATCTCTCGCACTCCGACGCTATGTTAGTTGTCATGTCTCTGATTTCGTGATCTCTGGGTGCAGTCGCGTCGGCTCAGCCTTTGACAACTCTGCTGTGACAATGTCGAGGCAAAAGGCGCCGAGATTTGCTCAGAATGCCCCGAGCTGGCCGGGCATGCTCGACTGCACGCTCAGGTGCATACTAGCTGGCATTCAAGCGTTTGTGACACTGTCACATACACGGGTGCACATCAGGGGATACGGCTCTTTCACCGAACAAGACTCCCGAGCACTTTGTGCCCGTTCTGAGACAGTCTCCTGAGCGGAGCTGCTGCTTCGGAAGGCGCGGCGCACATTCATGCCCATCACTGCTCACTCAATACATCTCGAAGAACATACCTTATCTTCTCCAGGAAGACGTCCCAGGAAGACATCAACTGGGTGTCTCAGAGACTCTTGTCGCGATATCAGCCATGAAGTGCAGCCTTACGAACTTCATAGGAGCGGGCAACTACGTCAACCGAGCTTGCCGACGGACTGGCGAACCTGTGCGGGACCCTGAACTGTTTGCTCTCGGAACCTAGTCGATTTCCCGATGTGGAAGCTCGTTCTCCCCCTGTACGTTGATATAATAGCCCGGAAGTTCACCCACACCCGCGCGTTCCATTCCTCCTTTGACCGGAGCCCTGTCTACTACGAAGGCCAACATGAGTGGCACATCGCCTCACGCTACGAAACAGGCGGACTTTTCTGTGGACGAATATAGACCCATAAAGGCATGCTATCCCCTTTGACTCGCAATGTCGAAGCTCACGTCTGTTGCCGCTCCAGGTCATCTGTATCGGCGCAGGGGTCGCCGGCATCGTTGCAGGCATCCGGTGAGTATTCGTCGGGCATCACTCTGCATGACAAGCTCATGCGTCGCCCATAGCTTTCGGCAACGTATCTCCAATCTGGACTTAACTATCTATGAGAAAGAGGATGGCATAGGTGGTACCTGGCACGCCAGTAGATACCCAGTGTGTATCGCTCGATATCTCGATCAGCACTCTCTGACCAGGCTCTTTACAGGGCATTTCTTGCGATATCCCATCCCACGCATACCAGCTCTCGTTTGAGTCGAACGTACGTCGACTATCAATATGCATCATGACCAGATCTTGAGCGAGTGCACCAGACGCAATGGTCGTCTTTCTACGCTCCCGGCGCCGAGATCAAGGCTTACCTTGAGCGCGTCGTAGAGAAGCATAAGCTCATGCCGTACATCCACCTCAATCACAACATGATCTCCGCCAAATGGGACGAAGATACCGCGAAGTGGAGTGTGACGATTCGGCGTCCCAACGGTCAAGAGTTTGTGGATACTTGCGACGTTCTCTTCCTCGGCGTCGGCGCGCTCAGTCGCTGGAAGTGGCCGGACATGGCGGGTTTAAAGAGTTTTGGCGGTACTCGCGTGCACAGCGCGCGTTGGGACGTGTCGGAAGAGGTCATGGAGGACTGGAAGGACAAGAATGTTGCAGTCGTTGGCAATGTGCGTCTCGGTGCAGTTCTCATGATACACTTGCTGATGCCCTTCGCACTAGGGCTCTACAGGCATTCAGATTGTCACCGCGCTACAACCGCGGGTCAAGACTCTTACTCACTTCATCCGCGACAAGACATGGCTCCCACCACCCTGCTCGCTGGAAGTCCTACTGAAGCTTGTAGAGCGAGGACCCGAGAGTACTGACTGTAAGTCTCCTTCCCGGATAAAGACCCTTCGACTGTATCCTCATCCCCGACTCTGCCTTCAGTCACTTTTGATGCCGACTTGAGGAAGAGACTTGCGGATGATCCTGAGTTCTACCGACACTTCAGACACGAGATTGAAGCCTCCACGCATGTGAGCGTCTCGACGCCCTGAATGCGCGACCGTCTCATCACTTACGTATCTGAACAGACATATACTCCCATCTCATTCAAGTACTCGCCCGAGCAGGCGTACGTCAGAGCCCTGGTACAACAGGAGATGACGCGCAAGGTCGCTAAGAAGCCCGAGCTGGTGCCGAAGCGTGCGTTCTGGCTGTCCAAAACCTTTGCTGATCGCTCACGCTGTACATATAGTCATACCCGACTTTGCCATCGGATGCCGGAGATTAACTCCAGGACCCGGCTATCTGGAGGCGTTGTGCGAAGATAATGTGCGTAGATGCTTATCACTCCTCTTCCGGCCATCGAACTTACATGCACTATCAGGCGACGCTCGAGACTGCCCATATTGCGCGGGTCACTGAGACCGGCCTTGAACTGACTGACGGCCGACACATTCCTCTCGACGTTCTCGTTTGTGCGACGGGCTATGATACAACCTGGCGCTATCCCTTCCCCATCACAGGCCGCAACGGGAAGCTGCTCACTGAACGCTGGGCTGACCATGCCGAAGCCTATCTCGCTATTGCTGTTGACGGTTTCCCCAATCTGTGGCTCGCGTTTGGACCCAACTCTGCGCTGAACTCGGGTAGCGAAGTTGCAGCCATTGAGAAACAGGTTGAGTATGCTGTGGCCGGTGTCGCGAAGATGCAGCGGGAGCGGTTGCGAACCATGGAGGTGAAGGTACAGGCGTTGCGCGACTTCAACACCTACGCGCAGGAGTACTTCAAGAAGGTGCGTCCTCTTCATAACCATCACGAGGTGTCCTCTGCTCATGTGCTGAGACAGACTGTCTACCACGAGAAGTGCAGTACATGGTATCGTAACTCTGCAAGCGGCGTTGTAACTGGACCTTGGCCGGGCAGCTGTCTCCATCTCGTCCGCACTCTATCTCATCCTCGCTGGGAGGACTTCGAGTATACGCAGCTGGTTGAAGATGAGGCCAAAGCCAGGTTCTACTGGCTCGGGGATGGTCTCACATACGCCGAGAAAACTCTGCAGGGCGATCGTGAGTTTGTCGTCTGCCATCTGTCATCAGACGTGAAGTGTGACTGAACGTCTCCCTCAGGTGCTTGGTACCTCAACGAGGTGGATCATCCTCCCAGTAAGTATTTTTATTTGACGTAGTCATCTAATCGCTGACCAGGAGATTGCAGTTCCATCTGATTGAAGCCAACAAGTTGTGTGCGCTGTTTTATTTTGTTCATTGCTGTGGCTTATCTATGCATTGCCTCTGTAACAAACAAGACATCCCTCGACGAACTTTCTTAGCTTCCTCTCTTAGCGTTCGAATTATGGCTTGTATCGTCAGTCACTAGGAATGCTGCCCCCATAAGTTAGCGGCCGGACTGGGCACGTTCTCGCCACCGAGAGCGTGATTGCATGCTTTGAGGGATTAATGCATTTGTTAATGCAATCAATGACGTGTCACTTCCACTTGGACGCGTGGCGCGCACGCATCTCGAGATATGCCGAGTTCGTAAAATCCGCGTTACAAGAGCCGTAGCCCAACAAAAGACAATACATGCTGCGGCTTCAGAGGCGCCTGAAGGACGTAGAGGTCCGAAGGAAACATCGAGGCTCCAAGAAGAAGGGTAAATGGGATGCACAAGGGAGAACAATTACAAGCGGAGTATATGATCCAAATCACCTAAACCTGTGGAGGGCGGTCAGCGCGTTGTAACACGTATTGAGTAGGTACACGTACGTATTGCGACAACCAGCGGAAGCCTGCGCACAGAAAGATCGTCAACAGGTAAACAAACGCGTGGAGAACGCGTTTCACTCACCCTCGCCGTAACCCTGCCTCTGTACAACGGAGCACATGAAGATCTCGATGGGGCGGATGTCGGTGAGAGGGACCTTGCCCTGCAAGAAGAGTGAGCATTATGTCGTGTGAGCATGTCTCAGGCAGGCATACCTTGCCCGTAGTCTGCCACAAGCCAAGATGGTGGCGAAGCTCCTCCTCGCTGACAGCGCCGGGTGCGTCGATCTTGTTGCCGAGGATAAGGAAGGGCACCTTGGCGAGCTCCTCGATGGCGAGGAGGGCGTCAAGCTCGGCCTTGGACTCGGGGAAGCGCTCGTAGTCGGCCGTGTCGACGAGGAAGACGATGCCGTCGACCTCGGGGAAGTAATCACGCCAGAGGCGGCGAGCTATCATCACGGTCAGATACTATAGTCTGTCACAATTAAGTGCCTCCGTGCGCGACGTACCCTGCTGGTGACCGCCGAGATCGTGTGTGGTGAACTTCACGTTCCCGATGGCGAGCTCCTCGGACGCTGACCGGGGAGATATCAGCTCCAACAACTCCGCATTAGCTTCGGGTGAAAGCGACGCACTGGGGTGAAGTGTGGGCTGGAGTGTAGCCAGGCGGTCGTTCTTGAGCATGTGCAGGAGTGTCTAATTCTCATGAGCACATTGCTTCTTTCCCTCAGACTCGGCAAAGCTCACCGTCTTTCCAGCATTGTCCAGGCCGAGGAAGAGGATCTTCGCATTCTTGTGCAGCAGACCTTAACGCAGCATGTCAGACGAAGGGCATGCAACCTGTACAAAATCCAACATACCCAGCTGCGCGAGAACATCCCAGAACCAGTTCAGGATAAACATGGCGTTTTGGAGCTAAGGCGCGAGGGAATGTGGAAGAAGAACGATAGAAGGGCGCGATGCCTGGTGGTGGAGGATGTTGTTCAAGGCGTGGTGACGCCTCGGGGAGCGCCCGTCACGCGCGATTCGCACCGCAGGCGGCAGGAACACGTCGATTGAGTCTGCAGACCTCTGCTCTCACTGTTTTCTCGGACAGGACAAGTTTACAATGCGTGCATGGTTATGTTCGGGATAAAATGCATGTTATTGGGCAGAGATAGTGCATAGGCATAGGTACAAGCGTGTCATATGTAGGTAGGGTCTGACACTCGCAACACCACGGTTCGAGTGGGCAAGCTCTTATACCCAGCCAGGCATCCCTCTCCGCTTAACCGAATCGCCTCGTCCCTCCTGGAGGATACCTAGGACGGGCACTGTCTAAAGGGTCGCGTTGAAGAAGCAAAACGCTCGCGCGGACGCTCATAAAAACCGCACGTATTTGTTCTTGCTTTGCTTTATGGGCGCACGGATCACCGGCGACTGTGGCCCGCCCCTAACGCCCTCGGTTCGCTCGGCGGGCGGCGGCACGAAACGGGCTTACTTCTGACCCCCGCTACCGGCCTCTTCGTTCTGATGCCTTGCCTCTTGCAACCATGATCCTACGTTCCACGCTTATCTCTGTCTTTACGATCTGTGCCCATGCCCTCCCTAAGAGTACAACAACACTCTCCCTCTTTCAGGATTTCCGTCTCGACGAAGGAGCACAGGCCGTCTTCAATGGCGCCTCGGAGGCGCCTTCCATAACCCTCCATACCGTCCCGACATCTGTGTATCGACCTCGCAATATTGATGCATATCATCACGCACGGCGGCGATCTCTATACCAGTCGGAGAGTGAACCGGTAGAGTGGGATCTTGTGGATACGTACGGCCCAGATATGGAGGATCAGCATACCGTCATACAGTTGGGGAGGATGGCCGGAAATGCATATGCAGGACATCCTGGCCAGAATAACTGGTATGATGTGGATTCGACATGGAACATAGTACGCACGTTCGTGAACTGCTGTGCGAAGCAGTCATTGATACGCCAACGATAGACGTTTCCCTTCGGCTGGGAAGACGCCGCAGACGGTTTTCGCGGGCATGTCTTCTACTCTCCGGAGCAGGATCTTGCCGTGTTGTCAATCAAGGGAACGACACTCCAGGGTCCGACATCCAAGAAGGACAAGTTCAACGATAATCTGCTGTTCTCGTGTTGTTGTGCCAGGGTCGACTTTACCTGGATCTTCAAGAAGGTCTGCGACTGCTACAGAAGTGGATGGCGGTGTGATTCAATATGCCTTTCCGAGGCCTTGATCGAGGAAAGTCTATTCTACACCGTAGGCATCGTAAGTCATGCACCTGTCTGACGCCTCACCCTCTTCTCAAAATGACGCGATCAGGACCTCATATCCGAGATTACGACTATGTATCCTACTGCAACAATTTGGCTGGTAGGCCATAGTCTGGGTGGAGCCTTGGCTTCGTTACTCGGTACAACATTCGGCTTGCCCGCCGTTGCATTCGAATCACCAGGCGAGCGGATGGCGGCGGCACGCCTACATTTGCCACTTCCTCCTGCGTCATCAGCGGGTTTGCCTCAGACGCCGGTAACCCACATCTATCACACGGCCGACCCCATTCCACAAGGCACATGTACTGGGATTGGGTCACCGTGTGTCGCTGCGGGCTATGCCCTGGAGACGCATTGTCATTTGGGCAAGACGATCCTATACGATACCGTGGGTCGGCTTGGCTGGCACGTCGATGTCCGTACGCATCGCATTGCAGATGTCATCACGCGCTTGTTGGAACTTGACGAAGACTGGGAGGACGGTCGGAAGGTTCCTGTCGCTCGTGAAGAGGTTGATTGCGTGGTATGTCGGCTCTCTTCTGCAGCTGCTTGCAGTCTGACTGACGACGGTGTACAGGATTGCTTCAAGTGGGAGTTCGGGGACTTCGATCATGACCCATGAATAGACAGACTTTATCTACACATGCACTCCCCATCGCATGTTCATGTACATTTAGACGCCTTGTATTATATTAGTAGTGATTGTACGCTGCCTTATCCTCGGAAGACTGCGTGAGGCAGTTGGCTTGGGTCCAGCTCCATCGAAGCTAACCCCAAACTAGGGGCATGTCGCAAATCGCGCTTTGGCTCAATCTTTTGTTTCCTTCGCACATTCATCATGAGATTGCCGCACAGAACTCCTTGGGCCTCCGTCGGCGAACTGGATGAACTGTGCTCCTGGGTGTACACAGATGCGGCGGATACGGCAGCTAAGACAATGGCTCTGCAACGGGTAATCTCAGCGACGTTTTGCAAGAAAAAAACTGAAAGCTCACGGTCTTCTTTGCGCCAGTGAAGTTAGCAGCCTGGCGCGCGATCACGGCATTGCCTCATGCTCTGGAGTCCCTTCTATCCCTTCTATCTGTGATGCTACAGGACGAGTCGAGAGAACATGCGTCTTCTCTGTCATTACGCCAGAGCTATTCCACAGCCATCATCCGTCTGGTCAATGGATTGGTCGACCCTCTGCAGGTCGGCGTATACGCCCGCTCTATCGCGTCAATCGCCGCTCAGCTCGGCCTACCCGGTTGGCTGGTCGAACTTCGACACGCGGCAACCCACGAAGATCTTCCTAGCCTCGAGTTACTGAGGCAAGCCGCAGGAGAGGTGATTCGCGGCTCGTGACACATAGTTTCATCAACTGACGTGCACCACAGTCATTAGATTGGCTATTCCACAACTATTTCATGCCCACTCTGAATCCATTGACTGCGTCAACTCGTCGCCTTGCAGAACCTCGTCCCCTTGGACCACTCCTCGCACAATACAAGTCACTGTCGAAAGTCACCTCAAGAGACACGACTCTGACGAATCAGTATCAAGCCGAAATCCAGACCTGTCTCCGTGAGATAGAGCGATGGATCTCTGAGGCGAAGATCAGCGCGTCGAGCACATTGGGTCTTGTGGACGGTGACGAAGATGATCGGGAAGCGCAGGCACTTGACCAGTTTTGCGTGGAGCTGCTTGCGCGAGGGGTTCTGGTACCTCTGTCGAAGAAGTCGGCTCACTTTCCTGTGTCTATCATTCAAGATGGCTCATCTCTTTCGTAGGAAGCGCCTTCCACCCAAGGGTCAAGCCTTCCCACCAGCGGGTATCGTCGCGATCTGGACGCCGTTGCTTGACCACGTCCTACTGCACCACCCATCCTTCCCCTCCGTCTTCATGACAAGAGCCATCCTCTCTCTTCTGCCTCGAACAACGGAGGAACAAGCGCAGGAATTCGATGCAAGGGGTGACATCGACGCGGACGAACTCTCGTACCAACACTGCGTCTCAAGCTGGGTAGCTTGGTTTGCCCACTCCGAAAGCGATGGTGCTTCTAGGTGGCGCGAGGAAGCGTTTATCATGCTGGCCAGCGGTCTGGCCCCAGGGAACGAGGAAGACAAATCTCGAAAAGTGTACGCTACAACACACCTCGGTGTCAAATTACTGCTAATCTTGATACCTCAGGGCGCGCTCTTTATTGGCTTCGCTTGGTGCAGACGACGAGCACCTTCTGTCGTTGGGAGAGCGCATCCTGGCCGCGGCCAGACCCAGCGATGACTCCCTACAAACCACGACGGAGCCGCGTTGGGGGAGCGAGGACATGGATATCATGGACGACAGACTGGCGGCCTTGCTTGCCCTTCCGGGGGCTGATGCCAGTGCGCCGACTGAAGACGTCGAGATGGATGCTGTGACTGAAGCGCCCGAGGATGGACGTTTGCCGCAGGGTTGGCGCAAGGCCAGCGCGAACTGGACCCCTTGTCCTATCGGTGTATATGTAGCGGCGTAGCTAGCTTTGTCTGTACAAACCCCTCGGCTGATGCCAGAGTGTCATGTCCACAACGCGACGTTACGTGAAGGCGGGTTCGCAAGCTGCGCGCGCTTCGACGCGAATTCGAACGCGGTCTCGTGTGCGCGTCATCGGTTGACCAGAACGCGCAAAGCCGCGAACGCGTGAGCCCATCGAATGTGGACGCGTGGCCTGAGAGCTACAGCTCGGGCGTCTCCTATAAGTCTAAGATCGATATCGGTTCCCAAGAGATCCTCTGTGCCCGCACGCTCGTTCGCTACCACCATGACTAGCGCGAACCTTGCCGCTGAGCGATTCCTCGCTGATCGCAACGTCCCGCTGGCTAGCTTGGAGGTCAGCAAGGCTTTCGATCAGCTCAGGTGTGTGATCTGTGCATTGTGTATCTACAGATGCTGATAGTGGCTTTAGTGCAAAGGAGAAGGCCTACGCGCATTATGTCGGGCAGGCGGCTTGGTATGGCGCGCGTATCATCTTGGCCCAGCAGGCGCCACACATGGAGAAGCTATACGACTTGATCATCGCACTCTTCACTACCCCGGATGGAAAGACGGCCGATCTCGAGTCCCTCAAGTCGTCTTCGGGAGTCTCTGCGGAGGACTGGGAGGACGTCCTGCAGTACACGACGCAGGTACGTGCCCGTCACCTAGCGTTGCTCACGACGTTTGAACCTTCTTCCAGGTACTGAGCAACCTCTCCAACTACAAAAGCTTCGGCTTCACCAAGTTCGTTCCCCGTGCTCCGCGTTCTGCTTTCGAGAGCGTAGTCAAGAGCTCGCCCAACGCTGCGAAGGCCACACCGCTCTGGAACGAGCTTGCAGAGGAGATCTACGCCACTGGCCCTGAGCCGAGCTTGTTCATCGGCAAACGCTCCCTTGGCCACGTCTCGAACTACTACCTCGGGAAGCCTCCCACAGACGACGATGTGGCTGCCATTCAGAAGGCAGCGGAGAAGGAGGGCGTGGATGTACTCAACACTCGGTTCGTTCAAGCTATTCAAGTTGGCTGTAGAACATCTCTTCTGACCGTTGTTTCTATCCCATCAGCGTGCAGAAGGACTCGGACAAGGAGTTCACGTTGCTTGTCGCATCCGCGGAACCTCAGCCGTCCAAGACCGTTGAACTCGACCTGTTTACAAACACTCCGGGAAAGCTCACCATCAAGTACGGAGACTATGCACCATCACTCAAACGCGTCGCAGCTGCACTCACCGAGGTAGGTAACTCTTATGACAGGCCGTAGATATCTTACGAAGTATTTCTCCAGGCCAAGAAGTACGTCGCCAACGATCACCAGGCAGCTATGCTCGACGGCTACATCGAGTCCTTCAAGACGGGCTCTATCGAGGCTCACAAGCAAGGCTCAACGGAGTGGGTGAAGGACGTCGGTCCTGTCGTTGAGAGCTACATCGGTTTCATCGAGAGCTACACGGACCCGTACGGTGGCCGCGCCGAATGGGAAGGTACGGCTGTATGTTCCCTTGGGATGAATCGACAATGACATGTTCTCTCATCAGGTTTCACCGCCGTTGTCAACAAGGACCTCAGTGCGAAGTACGACACGCTCGTCGCAAACGCTCCAGAGCTCGTCAAGGGTTTGCCCTGGGGCAAGGACTTTGAGGTGGACGTCTTCAAGAAGCCCGACTTTACCGCGCTTGAGGTCCTCACCTTCGCCACTGGAGGCATTCCTGCCGGTATCAATGTACGTGTCATTGCTTACTGGATATTCTCTCGCTGAATGGTGGACAGATCCCCAACTACTACGACATTCGAGAGACAGTTGGCTTCAAGAACGTCTCCCTGGCCGTGAGTATATCTACTTCCTCCAACCCTCCTCAGCGATGATTGATTCGGTGTATACAGAACATCCTCGCAGCAAAGACGCCCGATCAAGAAGTTCCCTTCATCGCGCCCGACGACCTCGACCTCTACAATGCTTGGGACAACAAGGCGTTCGAGGTTCAAGTGGCCAACCACGAGCTTCTTGGCCACGGTTCTGGCAAGCTCTTCAAAGAGGAGGCGGACGGCACGAAGAACTTCGATCCCAACACCATCAACCCGCTCACCGGCAAGCCCGTGTAAGCACCTGCTCTTGCATTGACTATTTCCCCTTCTTATCAAATACCATCAGCGAGAACTGGTACAAGCCTGGTCAGTCGTCAGGATCCGTTCTTGGTGAGGTGTCATCATCGATGGAAGAGTGCCGCGCGGAAACTGTGGCTCTTTACCTCGTCGGTAACACAGATATCTTGAAGGTCTTCGGTGTACGTCTCGCGGCGTTTCTTGGCAGGCTTACTATACTCACTCGGCACAATAGTACACCGACCAAAAGGACATCGAGGACATCCAGTACATCACCTTCCTCTTGATGGCCCGCGCTGGTCTGCGCGCTCTTGAGTTCTACGACCCCAAGACCAAGAAGCACGGCCAGGCCCACATGCAAGCGCGGTAGGTACAGCATCTCTCGGTAGAGAGACCCCTCATGTTGATTCGCACGCCAGCCTCGGCATCACACAGCACCTCATCAAGGGTGGCATCGCGAAGCTCGAGGAGGTCCGCGATGCAAGCGGCAAGCTTGAAAACGTCTACGTTCGGGTACGCACACTGCTTTTTCCTTCTGCTCCGCTTGTTGAAAATGGAGTAGGTCGACCGCGACGCCGTGCTGAAGCGTGGTAAGGAGGTCACCGGGACTCTACTTGTCGACTTGCAAGTGCGCAAGAGCACAGCCGACGGCCCCGGAGCGCGCGCTTTCTATGCTGAGCTCACAACACCCCTGCCTGGCTGGGATGGCGAGATCCGCGACATTGTGCTGGCGAAGAAACAGCCGCGCCGCCAATTCGTACAGCCAAACACCATTCTCGAGGGTGATAAGGTCGTGCTCAAGGAGTACCCGCTTACGACGGCAGGCGTCATTCAGAGCTTCGTCGAGCGTGGGGTTTAGGTGATCTATGTGCATATTATGGGGTATAACGTATGTGCTAGGGAGTGCAGTGTCTGTGTAGGATAGCGATGCATGCGATAGGGAAGAATAATCATAATACTTCGCGGACCATGGCTACTAGGACAGTGACATCGTCCATCTTCTGGAGCGGTAGTCAGCAACAGGAGGGAAACGAAGAATGAAACGCGAAGCTTACCCCGCCGTACCAATTTTGTGATGCTTTTGTCGCTGCCTTCTCGAAAGGACTGACACGGGACATATTGTTCATGCAGCTGCGCGCATAGTCAACTATCCGGTCCGCCATCGTCTGCACCTGCTGTTCTTCAGGTCCACCGGCGCGTGCGACGAGACTGCAGATAGCTGTGATCTCCGAGTTGAAGACGTTGTCGGACAGACCATCCGTGTATAGTACCACGAGATCGCCGTCTCGTAGCTTCGTCTCGTACTCGTCGGCCGCCTCGGCATAGTCGGTCATGCCGGTAGTGGAACCCATGAATGACGGGAGCTTGGCTAGTTGTCTAGATACGGGTCAATGCGTGTGGTGGAGTATAGTAGCGATACCGCTTACTTTGGGCAATTGAAGAAGTGTGTTTGTGATCGTTGCCTATAGTATACGGACGAAGAGCGAATGATAAGGAAACCACTGTCTCCAAGACTGCAGTCGGAGGTTCAGCAACGGGTGAACTAGATGCATGGTAATATACATACTTCGCGGCTCGCATTGTCCCTAGTGCTGCGTTGAAGTTCACTAGACATGCTGTACTTGACCCTGGGCAGGTGTCGGAGTCCATCCTCCAATCTGAGGTGAGGGGACATACCGGCAATGATAGACTTGTCCTTTAACACAGCTTTATGTGCCAGATCCAAGCACTCCTTAGGCATGAGCTCCACGCCTTCCACAGGCTTCCGGTCCACCTCCTCTTGAGTTGGATCTGTTTCTGGTTCTCCTGGCCAGCTTTGTGCCGCATATTGTTGCGCGTAGTACATTAACGCCTGCGAAAATCGTGACGGGTCTACACCACTAGACACCCATCCTCCCACTCCGTCCGCCACGCCGATGGAAAGACCCTATGCACACGCAAAGTATCGGTCTTCAGCACGCATGATCGACTGAGGCAGCAAACATACCTACCGACTGATTTCGCATCTGTGATGACCGCATAATTTAAGCGCCCATCGACACGGTATGACGGAGAAGTAGGCGCGCACGTCTTGAATGTAGAAAAAGTCTTCTCCGGCGCCCTTCCGCGAGCTCGACGGCCCTCCTAGTGTGAGCGTCTCATCCCTCCACTTTCCGATGGGCGATTCCGGCGCGAACGGCGTAGTGTTTTTGCGCGTGGCGCGGTCCGCAGGCTTGGCTAGCCAGCTCGCGCCGACGTGAAATTGGTAGGGCCGTGTTGCGTCGCTTGAGGCGTAGCGCACCCACGATATCGATGCGTCGAGTTTGACGCGTTTGCGGGACGCGAGTGTGCGGGAGGCTGAGAGGGTGCGGGAGGACATGGACGTTTTGGTGACGAGTGCGAAGTTGTCACTTTCGCTCGAGACGCGTCTGCGGCGTTTAGCATGTCCGCCCGAGCCTTAAGGCCTTACCGCCGGCTCACGCGGCAATCGCGCGGCACGCATCGAATTGGCGCCCTGTGAGCGCGTATATCTCGCTAACCAGGGTAAAGCGCGGCAGTGTGCGCATCTGACAACCCCATGCACAAAGAATGCGACAGTAATGCTATACTGGGCTCAACCCAAATAAATTACCGGGATCCCCGGTCGAAGGTGTCGTATTACTAGTAAATATGAAACCCGACAGTAGGGCAAGGACAACGGCCATAGGAGATACAGTAGCATACAAGACGAGTTATTGTTAGGAGGGGCATTTGAACGTTCGGGTAGCCGTAGGTAGCAGTCGTACATTACGTGTCGAATATCAAAAGCAGGTCCAATCTTCGCTGTAAGCCATGGGATTATTCAGCTGGTCCATGTAGGCGAAGTCTTCTTCATTCGGATGACCGTCATATACGAGGTCAAGCATATGGTCATCGCTATACCCCTTGGTGGAAGCGCTTGGGGCCAAGATTGGCGTCGCAGTATCAAAGGTGTCCAAGGCCGCGTTGCAATTGTGACCGTGACCAGGATCCACGGTTTGAGGCGTTTGAAACGATGGTGGTTGCGAGTACTCTGCATATGTGGCTGGATCGAAGGAGAAGAGGTTCGTGTCTGTGGACGGGAATTCCGATGAAGGTATCAACATCGATGGCATGGTGAACGATGAAGATGCTTCGGGCGGTGAAATCACCGAAGATGTCGGGGGCGTCTCGAATGCCTCGTCCAGCGGCTCGGGAACATCGACTGCCTCGGGTAGAGACGGGCCTATCGGTGCTACGGTGATGGCTCGTCATCACAGGATAGCGGTTGGACGATAAAGTCTCACCCAAACTATCGCACAGTTGGACAATGGGCGTAATCGCGCCCCTTGACACGACGACTATGGCCAGGAGAACCAGATTCTTAGCAGAGATCTGACCAAATGAGTTGCCAACCGCCCAAAGTGGATCCTCGCAGGGTGTTTCCGTATTTTCCTGTGCGGGAAATGAAGTGGTCAGAGCAAAGATCGGGGAGTGTATGGTACAACTCACAGAAACGAAATTCCGAATGACGCGAAGGACACCATCCAGCACTCGATTGTAAGTGCCGGAATCGTCCCCTTTGCTATCCACCCGGATTTGCTTGTCGACAGCCTCATATCCGGGCCACTGAGTCAAGCCAAGCATCAGTCAGACGTGGATTGCAAGGCGCTTGAAGATGGATACTCACGGTGAACCTCACAGATACGGTGGTCCTCGGATTCCCATCGATATTCCTAAAGACCACATCGCCGTGATGCAGGTCTAAACGGTCTCTCGTCTCCACTGGAATGCCCAGACCACCAGCACGCGGAACGACCCAGAAAGGAAGAGGGTCGACGCGGCTGAGAACGCTTCGGGTACGCCCATAACTCTGGTCTTTGTACGGCACGTAGGCGGCCAAAGGGACGATACAGGTTTCATCCTCTACCTCCACGTCCAGGGCATGCCACAACTTTCTCTTCGTGCACTCATACTTGGGTGTCGAAAGTGGAGCAGGTTCGTGAGGGGGGTTGGGGTTGGCAAAGAAGGCGATGGCGCCGGGAATGATAGGGATGGTTGGAGGAGTATCTCCGTCGAGATAGTAAGACTTGACAAGATTGCGATACATGTCGGGACAATTGTGAACGGCACCATTGTTGAAGCGAGTGGTGATCAATGAGACGCGTCTCGAGAGATCCTCGAGAGGGAGTACGCGGTGCAGTATGCCGCGCTGGTGCCGGGTCTTGACCAGGGTGGAGATCCAGTCGGCGGGACTACCACTAGAACCCATCGCTAAGAACAGAGGGCAAACGCTGTGTCGCTTCGTGCATCCATCCGACTCAAGATATCCTTGCTCAGTTGGACTTTCCAGGTAACAGTCCAAGATAGTGAATGCTACAATGCGGGCGAATGTCCAGTTGGGAGCACATGTCCAAGGTCGGGAGAGGGTCCCCACGCAAAAGCAGTAGCATCTGCGGAAGTGAAGGCGGCTATGGTGTCCAATCCAGGCTATGATCCAGGCGCAAATCGGGTGCGTAAGTCCTGCAAAGGTCGCGATGCCGTTTCTGTTGCGCTACACTGCGGGGAAGACACCAAGGTCGTTTCGGGAACCGTTCCCAGTAATGGGACCTCGACGCTTTATAGGTCTCGCCGGCACAGCGTCCTACAGACGTAGAAGAGTTCTGTCGTATCTGTGGATCAGCAAAATGGGCAAGAGTCCAGATGGAGGGTGATCTGGAAAGGCATGTCAGCCATTTGTGTAAGAAGCGCCAAATGAAGTAGTTTCGACCAAATTGGATCCACATCAGCCTGCCGTCACCGCCGCGCTTATACGAGCTCACATGGAAAACTATATGGGGGCTATTATCCTAAAGAGATTACTTGACCCCAGCAACCTGGCGCAAATTGATATGCGTCGACGCATCAAGTGAGATACGCGATTTCGTCTTGAACGATATGCAAAGGGGGAACACCCAAGCAACATCTCAGCTGGGGATTGATGAAGGCTGGGATCAAGTCTTGTTGGCGGCGCAGGATGGGCTTCCACATGGTCGGCGGAGTCCGGACCGATGACATTCAGGGATTGGAAATCGTCCATAAACGAGTAGAGATGCGGAGATGATACACCGAATAAAGACATTGCGAAACCAACTTTAGAGTAGACGATAGCATCACACAACACAGCGAGAACAAGTGCAGAACAAGCGGAAACCGTATCAACTACGCTTGAGCCACGAATCCAAACCACCTCCCGCCGTCGATGTTCGTTCACGCGGCTTCAAAAAACTCGAAGGCGCCTTGACCGAGCCGGTCGACTTTCGGCGCTCCTTCTTCTCAGCCGACAGCATTTGGTCTCTGTCCTCCTCCGTCCGCTTCTGCTGCTCAGCCATCTTCTGACGGAGCGAGGTTGAGGTCATTGGGCGAAGGCCGGCGCCCTTCACAGTAGGTGAAGCTGCTGCTAACGCTGGGTCGAGAGTCGTCGGCTTCGCCTTCTTGGCCGGGGCCGACTTGCTTGACGTGCGCGGTCTCTTCTTCGTTGGCGGCGGAGGCGGAGGCACCGCAAGTGTTGATATTCCCCGCAACGGGCGCGATCCAATATCGGGCGATGGGGGCGTCAACGTAGGTACGACGGTGTTATCAACCATGCGTGTACTATTCGATCTTGAGATACGCTTCTCTTGGACGAGGCTATGGCCATGTGTGGATAAGTCTGAGGGCTGTACCCGAGGTGACGAGGGTGCCGTAGATGGGGTGCCAAAGTCAGGCATGGGGCGACGGGACTTGGCTAGGAAAGGGTTGCGCGGCATCTTCGACGACTCGGCACCGCTCGCAATTACGAAGCCGTCAGCAGGGCGGACAACGCCTGAGACTTGTTTGCGTGTGAGTTGTTTATTGAGTTTCCCTAGCGACTGAAGAGCAGCTTGAACATGGGGTAAGGAGCGGTTGACGGGCGCAGTCGCAACCTCGAACTCGGAGTGATGCACTGGCGTTCGGGCCGTTGCGTTTGCAGGAGTAGGCATGGAAAGTGTGGTATGAGGTGGTGGTTTGCGGAAGAGCATGAGCGGGTTCAGATGGTGGTTGAGGTTTGACGTGGTCTTGGGAGGGGCAAAGGTATTCATCTTCCGTAGAAATATTGCCTCCACTTCTGACTGCGGGAGGCTTGTCTGATAGAAATTTCCAACGCCACCTCTCGAGTCGTCGTCAGGTATTGTCTGAGTTGATAATCAGATGACGTCGAAGATAGAGTAATGACTAGTTCACCTCGCTTTCGCTTTCGCCACTGGACTCTGATGATTCATCCATCCAAGTGTCGAAACGTTCGTCAGGGTTACTGACATACTTGGATACAAGATCCCAGTCATCGTAACCCTCGTAGTGCGCTCTTCGCAAAAGGGATGACCGGTCGTCATGTTTCGCTTTCTTCTCTACGCTCTCCGGCGCAAGACGTCCATGACGCATAGCATTCTTCGAAAGGACGACGAACCCGTCCTCTTCTTTGACAGTCGGCCGATGAGGTCGCTTGACGCTTTCCACGTCTGGATGCAACTGGTCGACATATAGAGAGAACACATTGCGAGAAGGTAGTACGCCCTTCGTAGATAGAAGTGTGTGCGTCGCGTCGAGGAGGTGGGCCGGGTGGTATAAATTGGACTGAGCGACTGCTGCACTTCGAAATGATGTATTGCCACGGTTATAACAGCTGGTATCCGTCAAGTCTGAGAGAGACGTGAGTATGGTTCGTAACGTGTACGTCAATACATGGCGTACCAACCACAGTCAGGAGCGGGAACTTATCTAACTCCATGAACACATTGCTATTGAGCGACCTGCATCCTCGAAGCCATAAGATGCGTAGACGCCACGGTCCACGTCTGGTGGTGCCCTGTTCGGCATCTTGGTCGCGTACAAGAGTGTTCCGTAGTCTGGTGATGGCAGCAGTAGATAGCCCCATACAGTGGGACGCGTTGAGGGCTATGAGACCGTGCAGATCTTTGAGGTTGGAGATTGTATCGTCTGTAAGGTGCGAACATCCTGCTAGGTTGAGAATAGTGATTATACAGAATTGCGTAGAGTCCGGTACGTGTTGAAATAGGGGAAGGTGAACGTCTGATAGAGCAATTTCATAGCATCGAAAGCGACTAGGCAAATCCCGGATAAGCTGTATGACAAGCGCCCAAGTGAGAGGATCGACGCGTTTGAGTGGCGTTATGGAGGAGGGATCGGCGTCCACACCGGGAAGAAGCTCTTGCACCGGACGCGACTTGACTGCCGATTCGTAGTGTACGCTATGATCACGCCAAGCGGGCATGATGTCCGCGAGCACTTCCCGCCGGTCTTCGCGCAGTTCGAGCAGTTCACGGGCTTTGGTAAGGCAGATCAACTGCAAAGAAGGCACGCCGGCTGAGATGGAACGTGCTGCCGGGCGCTGATCGCGCGTAGCAGCATATGGTCCATCCTGGAAGTACTCCTTTGGCGCGCTCTTGAGGTCTGTCACGTCCACACCGGCGGCATCTGAGGAGGTGCTGTATTTGGGTCTCCACAGGATGATGCGGCGAGCATGACCGGGCGGCATTCGGTTGACATGGACGTGGAAGGCAAGAAACGCGTTACTCACGTGCGTTGCTGGGGCTCTTGGATCCCAAAATGGAACGCGGGATTGATGGAAGGCGGCTAGCCGAGGCCAACGAGTTTACAGCTTACGACCCACCGCCGCCTTCTTTACCTCTTCCGCCTTCCCAAGCTCTCTCCGACACACCCGGTCACTTCGTCGTCCGCTCCGCTCTTTTACTCGACTAAGCCGGAGAGACTCGCGAGGGTCTCTTTTCTTTTCTCCCCCAAATGGCGGCTCGCCCAGGTTACGGCCAGCCCGACCCTAGAAACCCGTTCAACAACCAGCCCTACCCTCAGCAAGCCGGCTTCCCGCAGCCTCAGCCCCAATATCCCGGCGGCCTCCAGCCTAACTACAACCAGAGGTCCGACTACGATGACGGCGAGAGCGATCACTACGGCTCCCGCAACACCTCGACCGCCCACCTCGCCGGAAACTACGACCAGGCTAGCGAATACGGCGGTTACGGTAAGCCTCGATCGCACATCTGACAAATATACACATACTCACATCCGAATTCAGAGAAAAGCAACTACGCGCCCTCTATAGACTCGCATGCCAGCCATATACCCCAAGGCCCTCCCGGCTCTAACGACCCATATCCCGCCTGGTCGGCCGCTAACCAGGTGCCCATCTCGTACGAGGAGATTGAGGACATCTTCCTCGACCTCACCCAGAAGTTTGGCTTCCAGCGCGACTCGATGCGCAACCAGGTATGGAATGCCGGTATCTGTCAAACGCCTGATTGTCTCACCATTCTTGCTGCCAGTTCGACTACCTGATGCAACTTCTCGACTCGCGGGCTTCGCGCATGGGTCCCAATCAGGCACTGACCACCCTTCATGCGGACTACATCGGCGGACAGCATGCCAATTACCGCAAGTGGTACTTCGCCGCCCAGCTTAACCTCGACGATGCCGTCGGCCAGTCGCAGAACCCGGGTCTCCAGCGCCTGCGCAGTGTCCGCGGCGGTCCCGCCCCCGGCAACAACAAGACGCTCGACAGCGCTATCAACCGCTGGCGCACGGCAATGAACAACATGAGCCAGTACGACCGCCTGCGCCAGCTCGCCCTTTTCCTCCTCTGCTGGGGTGAGGCTGGGAATGTGCGCTTCACGCCGGAGTGCTTGTGCTTCATCTTCAAGTGCGCCGACGACTATTACCGGAGCCCGGAGTGCCAGAATCGCACCGACTCGGTGCCGGAAGGCGTGTACCTCGAGGCGATCATCAAGCCGCTTTACCGCTTCATGCGCGACCAGGGCTACGAGGTCTCCGACGGCAAGTTCGTGCGCCGCGAGAAGGACCACCACGAGATTATTGGCTACGACGACATTAACCAGCTGTTCTGGTACCCCGAGGGTATCGCTCGCATTGTGCTCCAGGACGGTGTAAGTCATCCGCCTATGGGTTGTAGTAACGGTTGCTAACTCCACCCGGTAGAAACCGCTTGTGGATTTCCCACCGCCACAGCGCTTCATGAAGCTCGCACGCGTGGACTGGAACCGCGTTTTCTTCAAGACTTACTTCGAGAAGCGCTCGACTGCGCACGCGCTTGTCAACTACAACCGCATCTGGGTCCTCCACGTGGCCGTCTACTGGTTCTACACCGCATTCAACTCGCCCCGCGTCTATGCTCCCAAGGGTCTCAAAGATCCCTCGTCGCCCATGACCTGGTCCGCAACAGCGCTCGGTGGAGCTGTCGCGACGGGCATCATGATTCTTGCCACGATCGCCGAATTCTTTTACATCCCCACGACCTGGAATAACGCATCCCATCTCACGACGCGCCTAATCTTCCTACTCGTGGTCCTGGCCATCACGGGCGGACCGACTGTCTACATCGCGCTCGTCGACGGCCGCCCAGATAATGGCCAAGTGCCGCTTATCATCGGTGTCGTCCAGTTCTTCATTTCAGTCGTGGTCACGATCATTTTCGGTGTCGTACCCTCTGGCCGGATGTTTGGGGACCGTGTCGCTGGCAAGGCTAGGAAGTACATGGCCTCGCAGACCTTCACGGCTTCGTACCCGGCACTCGGCCGCAGCGCACGGATGGGCTCGATCTCCCTTTGGGTCCTCATCTTCCTGTGCAAGTACGCCGAGTCGTACTTCTTCCTGACGTCCTCTTTCTCGAGTCCCATCGCCGTCATGGCGCGCGTGACCATCAAGGACTGCAACGACAAGTACTTCGGGAACGCACTCTGCGCAAACCAGGTCCCCTTCACGCTCACGATTATGTACGTCATGGACCTCGTCCTGTTCTTCCTCGACACCTACCTCTGGTACATCATCTGGCTCGTCGTTTTCTCCATCGCCCGTTCGTTCGCCCTCGGCCTCTCCATCTGGACGCCGTGGAAGGATGTGTACACCCGTCTACCGAAGCGCATCTACGCCAAGCTGCTCGCGACCGGTGAGATGGAGGTCAAGTACAAGCCGAAGGTCCTCGTATCGCAGATTTGGAACGCCGTCGTCATCTCCATGTACCGCGAGCATCTGCTCTCCATCGACAACGTTCAGCGCCTGCTTTACCACCAGACGGACGGTCCCGATGGTCGTCGTACGCTGCGCGCCCCGCCGTTCTTCACAAACAACGACGGCAATGGTTACAAGGGCAACTTCTTCCCAGCCGGTGGCGAAGCAGAGCGCCGTATCTCGTTCTTCGCCTCGTCCTTGACGACGGCGCTTCCGGAGCCGCTCCCTGTCGACCAGATGCCCACGTTCACTGTCCTCGTGCCGCATTATTCGGAGAAGATTCTGCTCTCCCTTCGTGAGATCATTCGTGAGGAAGACCATAACACCCGCGTCACACAGCTCGAGTACCTGAAGCAGCTTCACCCGGTCGAGTGGGACAACTTCGTCAAGGACACCAAGATTCTCGCAGAGGAGGCACCGGAGGATGGCGATGAGAAGAGCAAGAAGCTCGATGATCTGCCGTTCTACTTCCTTGGATTCAAGACCGCGTCGCCCGAGTACACCCTCCGCACACGTATCTGGGCATCGCTCCGCGCACAGACTCTCTACCGCACTGTCTCGGGCATGATGAACTACACGAAGGCCATCAAGCTCCTTTACCGCGTCGAGAACCCGCATATCGTCCAGATGTTCGGTGGCAATACGGACCGTCTCGAGCGCGAGCTTGAACGCATGGCACGGCGCAAGTTCAAGTTCTGCATCTCCATGCAGCGTTACGCCAAGTTCAACAAGGAGGAGAAAGAGAACGCCGAGTTCTTGCTGCGCGCGTATCCGGATCTGCAGATCGCCTACCTCGATGAGGAACCCGGCCCCAAGGGATCTGACCCCAAGCTGTACTCGGTGCTCATCGACGGTCATTCGGAGATTGACGAGGAAGGTCGCCGCCGCCCAAAGTTCCGCATCGAGCTTCCCGGTAACCCTATCCTCGGTGACGGAAAGTCGGACAACCAGAACCATGCGATCATCTTCCACCGTGGTGAATATCTCCAGGTCATCGACGCTAACCAAGACAACTACCTCGAGGAGTGCTTGAAGATCCGGAACATCCTGGGAGAGTTCGAGGAGTACCAGGTCTCGCAACAGAGCCCCTACGCACAATGGGGCCACAAGGAGTTCTCGAAGGATCCCGTGGCGATCATCGGTACCCGCGAGTACATCTTCTCGGAGAACATCGGTGTGCTCGGTGATATCGCTGCTGGCAAGGAGCAGACGTTCGGTACGATGACGGCTCGCGCACTCGCCTGGATCGGCGGCAAACTTCACTACGGCCACCCGGATTTCCTCCACGCTACGTTCATGACGACACGCGGTGGTGTTTCGAAGGCACAGAAGGGTCTGCATCTCAACGAGGATATTTTCGCCGGTATGAACGCCTTCGGTCGCGGTGGACGCATCAAGCACTCGGAGTACTACCAGTGCGGCAAGGGACGTGATCTTGGATTCGGCACGATCTTGAACTTCCAGACGAAGATCGGCGCTGGTATGGGCGAACAACAGCTCGCGCGCGAGTACTACTATCTCGGAACGCAACTGCCTATCGACCGCTTCCTCACGTTCTACTACGCTCACCCCGGCTTCCACATGAACAACATCTTTGTCATCTACTCCATCCAGGTCTTCATGGTGACGCGTATGTCTTCATCCCTCCATGTTCCTGCAGAATCGTGACTGACATCTATATGGCAGTGGTGTTCATCGGAACGTTGAACAAATCGCTCAAGATTTGCAAACTCGACGAGGACGGCAATGTGCTCGGTAACCAGGGAACGTGCTACAACTTGAACGAGGTCTTCCAATGGGTCAAGCGCTGCATCATCTCCATCTTCTTGGTGTTCTTCGTGGCTTTCTTGCCACTGTTCTTACAAGGTGTGCCTCATGCGTCAGCTATTGGAGGTTCTCTAAGCTGACTAAATTAACAGAGCTTGTCGAGCGCGGATCCGGCATGGCCATGTTGCGGCTAGCGAAGCATTTCCTGTCGCTCTCGCCCGTCTTCGAGGTCTTCTCTACACAGATCTACTCGCAGGCCGTCCTGAACAACTTGACGTATGGTGGTGCACGATACATTGCGACTGGCCGTGGTTTCGCGACCACACGCATATCATTCACGATCTTGTACTCGCGTTTCGCCGGTCCTAGCATCTACATGGCCATGCGCAACCTGTTGCTGCTGCTCTACGCCTCGCTCGCAATCTGGATCCCGCACCTGATTTACTTCTGGTTCTCGATCTTATCGCTCTGTATCGCGCCGTTCGTCTTCAACCCTCATCAGTTCTCTTTCGCCGACTTCATCATCGACTACCGGTATGTGATCATGATTGCACTATACTGAAGTATCAAGCTCACACATACTCACAGCGAGTTCCTTCGCTGGATGTCGCGCGGAAACTCGAGGACGAAGGCGAGCAGTTGGTACGGCTACTGCCGTCTCTCGCGTACGATGATCACAGGTTACAAGAAGAAGAAGCTGGGACACCCCTCGGAGAAGCTGTCTGGCGACGTCCCGCGTGCCAAATGGCGGACGGTTATCATCGCAGAAATCATCTGGCCAATCGGCGTTGCCATCGTCTTCGTCATCGCGTACATGTTCGTCAAGTCATTCCCGCAGAACGGCTTGCAGCCTCCAAGCCCGCTCATCCGCATTGCTGTCATCGCTGTCGGTCCCGTCGTTTGGAACGCCGCAATCCTCCTGGCATTGTTCTTCGTCTCGCTGCTCATGGGCCCGATGATGAGCTCAGTTCCGAAGTTCGGTTCGATTGTCGCCGCTACGGCGCATTTCTTCGCCCTTGTCGGCATCGTCGCGTTCTTCGAGTTCTTCGTATGTGCCTTTATCTTCACGAGAAGCTCGGTATGCTGACTCTGGTCGCAGTGGTTCCTGGAGCTTTGGGATATCTCGCATGCGGTTTTGGGCATCATCGCCATCGTTGCCATTCAACGCGCGATCCAGAAGTTCCTCATCGCTGTCTTCCTCACTCGTGAGTTCAAGCACGACGAGACGAACCGCGCATGGTGGACTGGTCAATGGTACGGCCGTGGCCTTGGAACGTCAGCAATGTCGCAGCCTGCTCGCGAGTTCATCGTCAAGATTGTGGAGATGACGCTCTGGACGAACGACTTCTTGCTCGGCCATTTCCTGCTCATTCTCCTCACCATACCGACGTTGATACCGTTCGTTGACCGCATTCACTCGACGATGCTGTGTACGTGTCGATACCCTTCTGATGCGCACATTGTCGTTGACCACTTCTTGCAGTCTGGTTGCGCCCATCCAAGCAGATTCGCCCACCTCTGTTCTCGACGAAACAGAAGCGCCAGCGCCGCTGGATTGTGTTCAAGTACACGCTTCTCTACATCGTCGTCATCAGCTTGCTGGTTGCTCTCCTTCTTCTCCGTAAGTTATTCATCTATTCACCATTTCCTGGACTGTTACTGACTGCCGCTATCCAGCCCCGATCTTCAAAAACGAGATCACCTTCAATTGCACGGTCTGCAGCAAGATCTAAGTCTGTCGTTTTGTCGTGGTAGTCGCTCACTGTGGATATTGCTTCGGGCATCATACATACATACAATGGAATCTCCTACGAGGACCGCTTAGTCGGTCACTCGCTATACATTGCTCCCCATCCCTTCAACCCTTTCTTGTGTATATCACCCGCGTTTCACGCACAACTTCGAACTATAATACTGTATGACGAAGCCCATGCTATCCTTTCTTTCTGGTTACCCCTTCGATATAGCGGCTTCTATAATGAGAATGATGTGCTGGACACTATATCCCTGTAGCTTTTGCTTGTGTGACCAGTACCGTCGCGAGCGCACGGAGTGGGTTGATGAAGCGTCGAAGCTCGTGTGAGCGCGCGACCGCGTTGATGCGAGCACCCCGACTTGCGTTCGGCGGCCACGACCTGCGCCGGCCAAGATCTCTATAATGGATTACTTCTCGAAGTTCTTAAAGCCTGGCGCTCAGCAGGCGCCGCCGCCGGTGCAGGATCACCTGGCAGAGTTCCATCGCGCCTGGCAGCATGTCAAGGTGCGGTTCCGATTCGTGCGCGCGATGCGCGTCTGCTGAGCGTCTAGGCAGAATACACTTCAACATCCCGATGAACGACAGCTGTCGCGTGGGATCAAGTTTACTGATGTCCCGGTCCACTTGACTACGCTCTCCGACTTGCTTGTCTCGGAGAGTACACATCAACAGGAAGGGTGTGTGTGTGGCGACTTCGGGGAGTATGTCCAGTGACTGAATATATTCGCCAGCGCTACCGGACAGTGCCTTGAGTATCTGCTGAAAAACGGCATGTCTATTTACGCGTTGTCCCCATTTGCTGTCTGAGTGCTTATATAGATGTACTGGGGCAACTGGTTCGCCTCAGTGAAACGGATCGGCCGTTCGGCATCCAGGCAGAGGTCCTGCGGACAGTCCAGAACATGGTCATCCTGATGGACGAGCAGTTCCTAGTTCACTCTGCCGTGCACAAGGCTGTTCTACGTCTTCTACGCAACTGCGTCGGCGATGACCTGCAGGAGCAGCTGGATAATCGGAGCAGGAAGGTGATGGGCGCGGGAGGGAACTCGGTACGGACATCGCCCTCGGAGTACGAGGAAGACCGTGAGTCTGTGCTCATACTTTGCTTCGCTGTTTTATTTACAGCTCAATGTAGTGGTCAACCTCCTCTGCATCTTGTGCAGTCGCATCCGAACATTCCGGGAGCTGCTCATGATCTTCTTCCATGACAAGCACTGGTTCCACTCAGAGCCGTTATTCTCGGTTGAGGAGGAAGATGAGGAGGAGGAGATGGATGAAGATGAAGATGACGAGGCCACTCCCCGAAACGTGGAACCCGACCCCTCGACTCGTCCTGGCGAAGACACAGACTCCATGGCACCTTCTCAGAAGACCGTCACCTCCCTGCCGCCCTCCATCTCTGCCTCCACGCCAGCGAAGTCAGAGTACGAGTTTCTGCTCTTCAATTATCTCCTGCGCTTCGTACATCGAGAAGGGAAGATCGGCGAGTTTGCGAGGGCGGGGTTGCTATTCTTGATGGACGTCGCCATGTCTCCGCACGACACCGGACACCGCATGGCAGTCGAACCAGAAGACGGTGTTGCATCGTCTGTCTCCTCGCAGACCGTGGCAGCGGACCCCATTACGGAAGCGGCACTCTCCTTGGCTGAGTACATCCTGGATGGTGACTTCTCTGAAGTACTAGCCGCTGGTCTGGGCGCCGTCTATTCGTTATTACCTTCAAAGTTGGAGATCAAGCCAGCGAAGAGTGGCGACGAGAACGTCAATATGATCTTAGGCGCTACGCCTGTGTTAGACGAGGACGAGGCTGCGAGGGCGGACGTTGCGCGGGAACAGAGTCGAGCGATTGGCAAGGAGGATTCGACGAGCCCCGACTTCCGCTCACGTCTGGACCACTTCCTGAAGCTTCTCGAGTTCCTAGAGGACGTGTTCAAGCGAAAGCCGTCGGGCGATACGTTCGACGAGTCTACACTCGTTGGCGCTTCGATCGTCGACTCCATTCTTGACGCCGTTCGTCGAGTTTTCTTGGAGAACATCCTGTATCCTTCCATTTTGGAGTGTTCGGAAGCGGACGGTAGTGCGGTTGCAGTCATGTCGTATATCGACGTCATGATTCGTACTCTCGAGCATGGCCAACTGGCAGACCTGGTCGTCACCTTCCTCATGACGGAGGACGATGAGTCCGTATCTAAGCCGAAACCAGCATCCCATGAAACGGCTCCCCCATCGGCGAAAGCTACTCGGGCTCAGAAGCTCCATAGGAGGAGAAGTAGCGCTATGCTGTTCCTCGAGATGGAAGCTCCCGATGCACGACGGCCCTCCGATTATGTCACTTCGATGGGTCGATTCACCTTGAAAGACCTTCTCTTGACTACGTTGCGCTCAAAAGACGAGCCCACGGCCGCTATGGCGTTGCAACTCTTCCAATCCCTACTCTACCGTCACAATCCGCTATGCGTCGAGCGTATTCTCATCGTTGCTCGAGATGCGCAGGCCACCGCCTTCCCCGAGCCCCCTGTCGTCAACCCTTACACCTCCGTTACAGCGGATGACGATTCCGACAAGTTTGTTTATCCTGGAGCAGAGCCGGAACCCGAGTTCTCAGCCGATCCCATCTACTCTCAACCATCCACGACGTATGCGACACACGAACGTGAAATGGGCTTATACCTAAACCTTGTTTCCCGCGTCGACCCCATGCACAGCAACGACGCTTTCAGCACCGGTTACGAGTGTTATCTGCGTGACGCCTTCGCCAATATCCAAGGCCAGGTGTCATTCCTTCCACCTTTCGATGAGGTCACTGCGAAGGCCTTGAGACATCGAATCAACCCCAATGACCCTCTGCTTACACTCGTTCTTGACTGGCTTCGGCGCTTTCTTTCCAATAAGCCCGAGTCGAACGTTGCACTCACGGGTATGCTCGCAACTCTCGCCTACGATCCCAATCGCTCTCTGGCTGGCTGGCTGACCTTCGGTCAAACCGACAAACCACAATCTCCAATACGCGCGGACGCTCCCACATCCACGTTCGAGGACGACGGGGATGATCGTTCGATCGACTTCAACGTCGAGGAGCGTCTAATGTCCGAAGCGCGCGATCTTCCCGCGTCGAGCTTAAACGACCAGTCACGACCGGTGGTCTTCACCATATTGCAGAGTTTAGTGGGACAACTCGAGCGTTATCGCCAGTTAATCGACGACTTCGACAAGTACCTCTCCGAACGTCGCCAGGGCCTGCTCTTCTCCGAGAATCTGACGGACGCGCTCGCTCTTGCCTGGGATTCCGACGACCTGACTGCTCTTCCTCAACTACGTTCCTCCGCATCAATTTCGCAGACTCTCGCCACGCCGCAATCTACGCCGCAGAAGCCAAAACCGCCGAAGAAGTCCAATTCCTTCGTCTCCTTCCTGACTCCTCGAAAGTCCAAGCTAACGCCCAAGCCGTCGTCTACCGCACCGCCCGCCTCGGGGCCGAGTACACCATCGCGGAACGTCGCAGCTAGCCCCTTCGGATCGCACTACCAACACACGAGCTCAGTGACGGTGGAACCGTACGATGCCCCTGTGCCGAACGCTGGACCGTGGATGCCGGCCCGTTCGAGGAAGTTCGTAGCTGAGGAAGACGATCCTTTCAGCTCAGGATGGGGCAGGCCATCGTCTCGCCAGGAGGAGCCTGAGAAGAGGGAGATGAAGGCGATAACGCTGTCTCAACTGTTGGACAATGTGGTGATACTGGAGGAGTCTATCAAAGAGCTGGTAGCAATTGTGCACGCACGCAAGAGCCTGGGTATAGATGCTGTGCGATATTTGTGATCCATTGCAATTCTGTTTGTTCGCTTGCTTTGATTTTCGCTACGTATACCCTCACTATGCTATGACCTCGCGATGTACAGCGAGGATATGAATGCATATACACAAGTGTGGGCGATGTGCATTTGGTCAGGGCACATCACGAGCGAAGCAACACTTTGCTACTGGCGTCCCGTATATCAACTTTCAGGCCGAAGGGAATAGTATAGTAGAGCTAAAGGTACAGAAAGAGCAATTGCACATCATCCACGACAAGAGGGAACTAAAGAGTCTGCAAGCCTGTAAATATCACGCCCGCCCACGCTTGGCACTGCCAGGTTTCTTCGGTTTACCTGCGGTGCCACTGCTGCTCTTCTTCGACTTCTCCCCAAATAGCTTCTGCTGCAGCTTCTCGAACTCGGCATCATCAATCTCCATAGGATCAGCGTCGGCCGCTGCACCTCGCTTCCTCTTTCGAGGCGGCGTTTGCTCGGCGTCGTCGTCATCTACAACTGGTGCTTTCCGCTTCCGCTTCCCCTTTCCTTTCGGCTCAGGCTCGGCGTACTTCGCAGCGAGATTGTCGAGAAGACTGGCCCGATTCTTCTGCTTCTTGAGGATTAAAGCTTGCAACGCAGACACGTCCTCTTCTTCGTCATCTCCCTTCTTCGCCTTCGCCTTGCCCTTTCCTTTCCGCGGGCCAGCCTTCCCGCTCCCGTAGAACTCCTCCCACACTCCCAGTTCCTTTGCAAGCTCTTCAGCTTCACCAGCCTCCTTGGTCGCCTGCTTCTGTCGCACCAGGCGAGCCTTCTCGTCCTTCGAACTCTTCTCCCAAGTTTCCAATGCGGGGAGTTCTCCTGTCTTGACAAGACCCGAGATGATAACGGTAATCCGCGCTTCGTCGTCGTGCGTAGAGTGAGGTATGTGGTTCATGATTTCCTCGAGGTCGCCACCCGACTCTGCATATGCAGCCTTGATGTCGTTCACCTCTTCGACAGAACCTAGTGGCACGAATGAGTATATCTTCATATATCTTCGTAGATAATGGAGTACCTTGATATTCTCGCTTGTCATCATCAAGACGTGCCTTCGATACTTGGTCGAAGAGATCCGCGAAGTAATCCTCCCAACCATCTTCACCTACACCCTCAAACCCTTCATCCGTACGTCCAGTTTTGTCGTAGTGCGTTTTACGCTTCTCGTCGCTAAGCACGGCATATGCGAAGCCGACTTGTTGAAACTTGTGCGCTGCCTCGGCCTTCGCGTCTTCGCTCGCACTGGCGTGTTTATCAGGGTGGTATTTGAGCGCAAGTTTACGGTACGCTTTCTTGATGTCGTCGCCAGTGGCAGTAGATGTCAAGCCAAGAGCGTCGTACAAGTCAACTTCCTCTGAGCCGAAGAATAGAACGCTGGGATCTTCGCGGTCATCCATGGTGGTCGCTCGTTGTGAGACGCGTTCACACCGACGCGCCGGCCGATCAACGAACCACGCCTCTCTCGTGACCGCGTCTCTCGCTTGCCGACATCCTCCGAGTAAATGTCGAGACGTTTGACCCCTGCCAGCATCACCGTCCGACCTTTTGCCAACCGTTGTGGGACCGGAGAGGATATGATTCACCCCAGCGTTATACATAACGCAGGCGCCTATTGCTTGAGCCCCTTACACTACTCCGAACTCATACGCACGATGCACCGGGCCGGGATCGCCTTCGTGACCACTCGGGTATATGCGGACTCGCGGCAAAGCGCTCACACAAATAGTGACAGCAAAGTGCTGGTCAACTGCTTGCGGACATCACATAGGAATCAATCTATGATACCTACGACGAGTAGTAAGAACATCAGCCTCGGCTGTCGTGTCTCTTCCAGAGCGAGCAAGTAAATGACCTATCCTATAATCACTGCCGAACTTTCGATTTGTCAGCGCTCCGGCTTCTCAATCTACAGGCCACCTCTACGGGTTTTGGAAAGACATGGAAGCGGCGTATACGGCCACTGTGCAAGCTACCTCGACAAAGGAGTTATGTCGCAAAAGTTGAATCGGGTGGCCAGCGCGTTCGCGTTCTCACCAAGTGGCAGAGCATACGCAGCACGGTCGAGATCTGTCACTAACTGGCGAGCATTGCGTCGCCAGCGCGTGGCCAGCACGTCGCCAGCGCGCCACCGGCCCAGACGAGGGCCCTAACTCATATTTATTAAAGATTTACGTCTATCATACGCAACAGGAGAGCATACTAGAGCAGCCAGTGCCGTACCAGGTCCGAAACCTGCTCTCCTGTAGAGCGTACGTACATTCAAATGTAGACCTTGCTCCCTGGACAGAAGTGTTCACACGTCGTGTAGCTGGTCGGCCGCTGGCCACCCGCTGGCGACGCACTGGCCAAACGCTGGCCACCGAGCAGCCACGAGCTGACCGCGTGCTGGTGATGCTTGACCGGCGCAACTGTATCCGTGGCCACGAAGCGCCGCTGGCCAGCGCTGTTTACGTGCGACCATCGGTAACCAGCGGATTAGATTTTTTGCGACATAGCAGCGGCTTCTACCGGGGTCGGTGGCATTCAACAATGTAGCTGTTTCCGCTGCGAAAGGTCGGCACGGGTCGGATCGGGCAGGTAACAAGGAGGCACGTTCTGTCTGATCCCGGTGGATCACTTGCCGTCCGCAGTGACCAAACGTCTATTCTTGTCGGGTGGCGAATCACTGACAATGGCATCTCCAATCCCACCCGTCGAGCCCTGCGGGACTTTCAACACGGTCGGAGCGGGCGAAGGCGGGTCGGCGTCTGAGAGTATCCTTGACGCCCGCAAGGACACGTTATCCGAACTTCCCGCTCAGCAGGTCTTCGCAGGAACCGTATCCGAAGCAGTCCCCCTATAAAGAGCGACCTCATCGTTCGAATTCCAACCACACTCGCACCTCCCTCGACCTCTCTCAATCTCATAGTAGTCCACGTCATGAAGGTTTGCCGCTATCTTCGTATGACCTCCTAAAGCTCGATCCTAAACATCTCTCCAGGTTCTCGCTATCTTGTACAGTGGCTTCAAGGCTGCTAAGGCCGAGCCTCGTCTGCTGGGTACCGTCGAGAATGAGGTATGATGCTTCGCCAGCACACATCGTCGGGTCCTTATCGTCCATTCAGCTCGGTCTCCGTTCCTATCTCGAAGGGCTTGGTCACACCTATGTCGTCTCCAGCGACAAGAATGGGCCGAACTCTGACTTCGAGAAGCACTTGAAGGACGCCGACATCCTTATCACGACGCCTTTCCATCCGGTGAGTACACGAACGCTAGCATTGCGCCCAACAATCGGCTGATGGAATGCAGGGATATGTAACTCGTGAGCTCATGGAACAGGCGAAGAACCTCAAGCTCTGCGTTACTGCCGGTGAGTGTAGACATCTACATCATCGTTGATGCGCATCTGACCGTCCGGGCCGTAGGTGTCGGTTCTGACCACGTCGACATCAACGCCGCGGTGGACCACAAAGTGCAGGTTTTGGAGGTCACCGGGTCGAACGTCACATCTGTGGCAGAACATGTATGCGTCTGATCCCACGCTTTCTGCGAAGAAGCCACGCTAACCGCGTTTCGCAGGTCGTTATGCTCATGCTGAACCTGGTTCGCAACTTTACGCCGGCGCATGAGATGATCGAGCGAGGCGACTGGGATGTCAGCGAGGTAGCGCGCAACGCTTTTGATGTGAGTACGGTTTTGAGTTAGCAATGAGATCCATTGACTGATTTCGTCGACTCTAGCTTGAGGGCAAGACTATCGGCACGATTGGCGCGGGTCGTATCGGTTTCCACGTTCTCAAGCGTCTCGTGCCTTTCGCACCCAAAGAGCTTCTTTACTACGACTACGCCGGTCTTTCGCCTGAGCGTGAGAAGGAGGTCTCCGCGCGCAAGGTCGACAGTCTTGAGGAGATGGTCTCCGAGTGCGACGTAGTGGTCAGTCGTACCTTATATCAGCTCCCTTCTACGAGTATTGAATCGATTTTCAGACTGTCAACGCACCATTACACCATGGCACCCGTGGTTTGGTCAACAAGGACCTACTCAAACACTTTAAGAAAGGTGCATGGCTAGTTAACACTGCTCGCGGCGCGATCTGCCAAGCCGAGGACATCGCCGAGGCACTCAAGTCTGGCCAACTCAACGGTTACGCTGGTGACGTCTGGAACGTACAGCCGGCACCCAAGGATCACCCATGGAGGACTATGAAAAACCCCTTGGGCGGTGGCAACGGAATGACGCCGCATTACTCTGGTGAGAGTGGTGATGGCTGACTTGAGGCGTGATTAGCTGATGCAAGGACAGGCACGACACTCGACGCTCAGGCTCGCTATGCGGCCGGGACGAAGACTATCCTCGACAACTTCTTCAATAACAAGCCACAGAACCCTGCGGATGTCATCGTCGGTGTTGGCAAGATTGAGAGTGCTGCGTACGGTCAGCGTTGAGCGCCACCGAACGCAGAAGGGTTGGTCTTCGCGCGGAGTTGCTGCCGTCCCATATCCTTGTATGTGTATATTAGAAGTGTTGTAACCGTCTCTATCACGTATTGCATATACTGTTCATGCATCTACGACGAAACAGATACTAGTGGGTCCTATACACGTGAGGGTGCCGAGGTGAGAGTGCGGAGCCACAAGTGAACGTTGGATTGCCGAGGGACTGTTGCGCACTCGCTTCTCCCGTACTGGCTGTGTAGGTAGACCTGCTCTTATTGGCATAAGGTGAGGAGAGAAGCCCACTTTACCCGCGACTCTGGTATGTCTGCATCGCCGAGCGTATTGCCCTGAAGAATCGAAGGTCTTTCCAGTTTCCTGTCAAAGCAACAGCACATCATCCTTGAGCAATGCAATAGCCGCTTATGGGTGATACCTCGTCCGCCAAGCGGCATCAAGTGGCATTATGATGTGTTCAGGGTCCTTAGCCCTGGCAAGTACATACCATGACACCTATGATTCTGATGTCGCCAGTCTCGCACAGAAACTTGATAAATCCGCCGTGAACGTAGCGCCCGGATCGAGTTTGAGCTCTTAGGGGAATACAGGACGGGCAGGGTTCTTTGATGGCCTGAACTGTACTCGGAAGAAGGGCTCTTCAGCCTTGGGTGGCGGCCGGAGCGGGTGGTGGCAAACTAATGATACACATTATAGTCTGGACAAGCCACAGAAGTCGAAACATATGTATAGAGGGAGAAAGTTGCGAAGCGGACGAAAACAAGCAAGTCAAGCCTTGGCAACGGCAGCGGCAGCCTCAGCGGTTTTCACATCAAGCTTATCCTTGACACGGGCACGGTTTGCCTGCAGCGCTTTCCACTCCCTACCCAGCGCCTCCGCAGACCCGGCATCGGCCCCCGCCCAGGACATCGCACGCTCATAGCAAGCAAGCGCGCGTGCCTCGCTCGACTTCTCCTGTAACAAGCCCAACAGGTGCCAGCTCTCCGCGGCACTCCGACGCGCATCGCGCAGCAGGTTTCGCGCCGGCGTACTCATGGATGGGCTATCTTCGAATGCCTTGAGAAGCGGTCGATCCATTGGCGGACGCGGCACCCCCGATGCGTTCGTCCACTCCTTCTCTTCTTGATGGGCAGAGGCATTGAGTTTGACCCCGGTGAGCACGCGTGCGACGCGCTCGCTTGATTCAGCTGCTCGTGCTAGCCAACCAAGACTCTCCTCTGCGTTACCACGGGTGCGAAGTGCATGGCTGACTTCCGCCAGGTGTACGCTGAGCATAGCAGCACGATGAATGACGAACAAGCTGTGTAAAGCCTGCGGTGGTGTTGCGCTGCCAAAGCTTTCCGGTGCAGGAACGGCACGGAGAAGTTCCAGTCCGCGTAACTCGGTATCCCGCGCTTCGCGCAGGGCTCCTCGGGTTGCATGGAAAGCGCTTAAAGCTACCAGAGCGCGGGCAAGTGTGCGTTGATCTGCCGGTGAAATGGGTGGTGACGTCGGAAGGACTGGAAGCGGCGGTGCGGGTGCGAGAGGATTGCCAGAGATCAAATGCAGCGCCTTCGCCCAGCAAGAGAGTGCAGTGTCCGGTGCACCGAGACGGCGGTTGAGATCTCCGAGTTTGAGAGCAACGCGAGAGCGCTCGTGTCCGTCGGCAGACTCTAGCGTCTGTATCCGCGCCCATACGTCCTCAAGCTCAGCGCGAGCCTCATACAGGGCGTCAGGCGTGCCGATACGTTCCATGACATCAGCTAGACGCGTGAGAAGGTCGACTTGGGTCCGTGCACTGACGCGACGGTCGAGTGCAATATTGTGTGCGACGGCCAGGAAGCTTTGTGCGTGTTCCAGTGCGGGGTCGATGCCTCCTAACGCGCCTGCACCGTGCCCTACGTTGGAACCTGGCACGGGAGTGCCGAGACCCCAGTGCAAGACCTGCCACGCGGAGCGTAGAGCGTGCGCGCCCTTGAATCCCAGCGCGCCATCCGTCCCGCCCGAAGAACCTCCCGTCCAGCGCTCCATCTCGACATCCCACTCCCACTTCTTTGCCTCCTCGTCCTTCTCAGGCGCGAGTCCGGAGTGCTCGACCCAAATGTGGGCACCCTCAAACGCAGTGCCGACCACGACACCCGTGGTAATGAGGCCAATCAAGCCAAATGTAAATAGTCGGCCGAGGGTGCCAACTGCATGCCCGACTGAGGAAGCGAAGTGCGACTGGATTGCGAGCGGCGACGATGACGGGTCCGGCGGCGTAGACAGGCGCCGGCGCGATGACGGTGGCGGCAATACGGGCACCGATCGCGTATGCCGCAGCGGGAAACCGCGTGGTGCACAGCGCCTAAGCATAGCACGCCGCTGCTGTAGTGGTCGTACGCGTTAACGCGCCTGCCATTGACGCGCTCTTCCCCGCCGCCGGCCCGTACTTCCGGTTCGCGCGCCACATCACCTTCGACGCACTCTTTCCTTTCGCCTTCATGCAGCTCGCAGACTCCCGCGTGCACTTTATGTTTATCGATCGGCTCGGCTCTAGAGCACAAACAGGGCCTCCTTCTTCCGCTGATCTCTGAAAGAGAGCACGCATCCGTGCAGTGCTTTTTTGATCGTTCACAAACCATCCTGGACCCTTTCGGGTTTGGCGGTCCTTACGAGGTGTTATGCCGCCCATACATCGCGGGATCGCCTTCTAGTTCTTCGCTTTGATAGCGCCGGAACTACAGGTACGCACGGCGAAGTCCCCCAGGGCTGGCTTCGCTATATTGTATGTATTCCGAGCGCCGGCCGGCTTGCAACGAGGCACCAAGGTGTATTCCGGGTGGCCCGTATAAAGGACAGACGCGCGTGCAAAACACGCTTTTCCTTGCGCGTGCGCTCCTGCCCGTCCGTCTTTTTAGGTCGTTCTCTTTCTTTCTTAGACGTCCTAGTCCTTTACGAGCTTGAGGTATGCGCCATTTCGCAACTCTTTCCGCGCTCGTCGCAGGCGCCTACGCTGCATACACCCCGACACGCACTGTGGCTCGCCGAGACTCCTCTCCGTTCGTTTCAACCCAGAACGGCCAATTTGTCGTCAACGGCAGGTGCGATCTAAAGAGAATCTCTTGACAACTGGAGCACTGACCAGACACAATCCCCCAGCAACTTCCGCTTCATTGGTACCAACGCGTACTGGCTTCCCTTCCTCCCTAACGAAGATGACATCAACACCGTGCTCGCGGACATGGCCGCGTCCAACATCACTGTCGTCCGCACATGGGGCTTCAACGATGTGACAGAGATCCCTACCGATGGCTCTCCGTGGTTGCAACTCCTTGCACCGAACGGCACAACTGTGATCAACAACGGCACCGATGGCCTTCAACGTCTTGACCGACTCGTCGACCTCGCCGCTCAGAACGGCATTCACGTTCTCTTCAGCCTCACGAACAACTGGAACCCTGTCGTTGGCGATACCCTTAACCCAGGAGGCCAGCCTTCACGGCGGAATGAGCCCGCGCCCAGCGCCACCCGCCCGCGCAACTTCCTCTCAAACGACTACGGTGCGTCATGCTGTCTGTCAGTTTAGAGTCCGCACGGTAAACTGACGCCGCGCCTCGCGCAGGTGGCATGGACGCGTACGTGCGCGCGCTCGGGCCGTCCAAGTTGTGCGTCATTTTGCGATCCTTTGTTTGAATCCTCCCAGCCTCGTGTTGACGCTAGACCCTGTATGTGCAGGCACAGCGAGTTTTTCACGGACATGACGATCCGCGCGGCGTTCCAGAACTACACCCAGGCTGTGGTCGAACGCTTCTCTGCTAACCCGTGGGTTCTCGCTTGGGAATTGGCCAATGACCCCGTATGTGGCCACCCCGCCTTCCGCATCTTGTGTATGCGGGTACTAACCAAGCCGATCGCAGCGATGCAACTCATCGATGTCTACGGCGGATGACTGTAACACGAACACGGTTACTCAATGGCACGAAGACGTCGGGAGCTTCGTGAAGACCGTTGACCCAAATCACCTGGTCTCGTCTGGGTAAGCCCAGCTTCCATCCTCCACTCATCCTTGCTTCTTGCCGCCTGTCAAACCGGACGCCGTTACTCTCACTCCCAAATGGACCCAATGGCCCCATTCCGCACCCGTCCACTTCTATTCACGATCTCCTTGCTGACGCAAACAACCCCCGTAGCTCAAGTGGCTTCACATGCCCAACATGCCACAAGCTGTTCTCCACCACACCAAAGCCTGCACCGTCTTCGACCGCCTCGAAGAAGAAACGCGCTCCGGTGCTCACCGAGGCAGAACAAGCTCGTCGAGTCATCGCCGCCCGCAAGCGCTCTGAGGCCGTACCAGCCGATGGAGTCAAGATTCGTGGTCGTTGGGTCGCAAACAGTACGTGCCTTCTCCCGTCCGCTGTGCTTCTCATCCCTTCCGGCTTTCCCGCTCCCCTTCCATCCGCGTTCCGAGCTTCACGCGACTTCTTTCCATCAACCTTCTACCCGGATCCGGGTGTGAGTTTGGCGCGTTGGTCAGTTGCTGACGTACCTTTGTGCAGAGAACGCGAGGCGCCAGAGCAGCTCTGGATCGGTCGGCAGTGCATTCGACGGCAGCACGGGTGTTGACAGCTCTGATATTCTCAACGCCCCATCAATTGGCTTCGGCTCGCTGCAATACTTCCCCGACCAGAACTCGTACTCGACGCTCGGCCAGTCCTCGCAAGCCTCATCAGACGCGGGGTCGCTCGGCCAGGAGAAGATAGGCCCCGATCAGCTCAACTTCACTGCCATCTTGCAGCAGGGCGTCGACTTCATCCAGATGCAGGCTTCGCTGGCTCAAGCATCCGGGAAGCCGCTCGCGCTCACTGGGTTCGGTCTCGTTACCCAGGAGAACGGGCCGTTCTTCGTGCCATTCAACGCAACCGTGCCCCTGCTCAACCAGACGTCGTCGGCCCTTTCGCGCAGGCAAAGCTCGTCCAACGCAGGAACGCTCGGTGTTACACAAGATCAACAGAATACCGCATACAACACTTGGTTGCAGGCTGGTATCCAGGCCGGCTTGGGTGGTTTGACGCAATACCAGTGGTCGGCGGGTAACTTGACGGCCACAAACGGTGGACTCGTTCAGGCCAATGCGACCAACACGGACGGCACACTCTCCCAGGGAGACTCGCCCAACGACGGTTACGGTGGCCTCGGCCAACAGTCGAACGTCCAGGGCGAACTTGGCCAGGCCGTGTTCAACCTGACGTCGTTCGGCAATGCGTAGAAGATTCAAATCAGAGCTCACGACGCGCGATGGATCTTGGATGCACGACAACTACGAAAATCTACGACGTGGATACGCCTTCACAACGCATATATCGATACGCTAATGGTCTTCTTGGTTCGACAGGCCCAGGGCTGGTTGCCCGGGGGTGCGCCTGTCATTGGTTTTCTTTGAGTGATTGGTTACACGGACATCTCCCTTGATCTTGCGAACGCATCCTTGTAGTTGCCACCGCTCGGTCACAGACAATTCATCACAGTACTATTCACCAGTTATTATGTCTAACGATATTTCCATCCACTAAATCTCTACCATACTACTGCACACGCAGTAGTGGTCACGATTGCTTCGGACACTTCACTCTAGTCACCAATGTTGTAGGTTATTGCTGGTACTTTAGATCCATGGACAGTTTTGCTTCTCTTTCATATTATCTGGCGATAGGATCGTTTGACTGAGCGCCGCCCACGAAGGTAGCTAGTAATGCAAGGTATAGTGGTACAACATTAGATCTTTTCTCACTGCCCTTTACTCGTCCTTTGTGATGGTTGCGCCAGTACGGTCAACGAGGACAGGTGTTGCCTGCGCAACGGGCAGTACGAAGACCTCCGCAAGGTTGACGTGTGCTGGGCGCGATGCGGCCCAGACGATCTCCTCCGCAATGTCCTCCGCAACTAGAGGCGAAAGGCCATCGTAGACCTTATCCGCCGATGCTTTGTCGCCGCGGAAGCGCACAATCGAGAACTCTGTCTCGACAAGACCTGGAAGACACCGATGTGAGCATCATTCATGATCTTATGCGCTTGAGAACATACCGGGCTGGATCTCGGTTACACGGATGGGGGTATTGTATAGCTCGCGAAGGAGCGCCCCGCTGAAGGCGCGCACGGCGTGCTTCGTCGCGCAGTAGATCGCGCCGCCAGGGTAAGGCTCGCGACCGGCGATGGAGCCAATGTTGATAACATGTCCACGCTGGCGTTGCTTGAAGTCTGTCCATGCACACGCATATGAGCAAGAGCATGATGACAATGCAAGTGGTTTGCGCACCCTTGACGATCAACTGTGTGAGGGAGATAAGACCAAGCACGTTCGTCTGGAACATGGCCTCGATATCCTCATCCGCGATATCACCAACACGCTCGACGCCCTTCACGAAGCCAGCGTTGTTGACTGGTGCATCCTATCAGCTTCCCGGCGTCCATCGAGCTGATTCATGGCGTACCAAGGACATCAACAGCGCGCAGGTCTTCAGGGACTTGCTCCCAGAGCTTGGCGACCTGCGCCTTGTCCGATACGTCGAGCTGCACGTTGACGATCTTGCCGCCCGCCTGCACACCGGCCTCCTTGTGGGCCTTCGCGGCAGCTTCGGCTACGCTCTTCAACGCGTCGGCACGTCGGGCAAGCAGAATGAGGTTCGCGCCACCCTATGGGTGAGAGCTGAGTAGTTTTCCACGTATGTGCGCGACCTTATGCATACCTTCGCAAAGAGGATCGCGGTCGCCTGATATAGTAGTTAGTTTGCTGTGTGTGGCGAAAACGATAAGATCTGCGTACGGCGCCAATACCGGCGCTAGCGCCGGTGATGAGGACGGTCTTGCCGAGGAGACGCGATGCGTTGAAGACGGACATGGCGCGGATGGATGTGCGGTTCAAGAGGCTGGAATCGAGATAACTACTTCGCGGATATGGGAAGGGTGCGGAAGCTCGGGATCTCGTCACACGCGCAAAGCTCGCCAGCGCGGACAGCCGACGGGAGAGCATTATCGATTATCCAAGGATGGCGCCTTGCGCGTACAATACTCGCGATATTCAAAGGACCTCGAGCTCAGGACAGTGCGGGAGGCTCAGGCTCAGGTTTGCGATGGGTGGCGTGCTCGTCATTGACCATCGTGGCGACGCGGAGAGCACGGCCGACGCGCCGCGCTCGCCGTCTTCGGCGTCCCACGGCGCTACCGCAGCCTCGTTCCTACTCTCATGGCCGATCGGGCCGCACCTCGATGGGCTCGTTTGCTCACATGGCTGGAAGAACGAGGCATGCTGACTGATGAAGCCAATCTATTGGTGTACCCTCAAGAGCGTCCAGGTAAAGAGGACCGAATTTCTTGATATCGCTCCTCAAAAGGTAACATCAAGTCGTGCAGGCGCGGGTAATGGGCTGTACGCTACATGTAGCGTCGAGGTCAGAACCATATGTACCACCCACCAGTGCACGCCATGATGTCCCAAACTTGCGCTTGACAGCCGAATACGCCTTTATTCACGCTACCCGCTCGTGCAAAGCTGAACGCGCGAACCCTGCGCCCGCTGTACCCAAAAACAGAGCTCTCGGCTGTTCAGCTCATTTCCTTACACCTGTGCCTTCATAGGCCACGGGAAGACGAGGAGTCTGCGGACGCGCTTTTCGGCCCGTATATTGATGTTCTGCCGCGCGACTTCGACAGCCATCCGCTTACCTGGTCGGTACAGCGAAGAGTTCTCTCCGACGATAACAGAGATCTGGTGAAATACAACCTGCTGGACTTGCTCCCACCGAGTGTCGATGCTGCCTTGCGACAAATCGAGTCTCGCTTCTGGAACGACTGGAAGGCTGTTGAGGCCACCTCTTACTTGGTACCATGATCATCACCCATTGTCAGATTAGACCTAACATCACAAGCGCAGCGAGATATGCCTGGGGAGACGAAAGAATTGGCTTCAATCAAGTTTGACTTCCTGTGGGGTTGGTTGAATGGTTAGACTCCCCTTTGCATGGTAACTGCCACAGTGTCATTTGGCTGACCGTTTTACACAGTGAACACGCGATGTTTGTATGACGACCTCGGTCTAGGTCGCGAGGACAACATCAGCCTCTGTCCTGTCTTTGACTTTGCCAATCATGTTTGGACCGGCGCGACGATGCGTCCTCAAGTAGATTCGCCATCCTCCAAGAAGCCTGGAAGCAGTACCCTACGCGACCTTACATGCACGACGCTTGCCACACCTATGCGACCTGGCGAAGAGCTATTTCTTACGTATGGATCGCATGCCAATGCTCGCCTGTTCGTTGAGTACGGCTTCGTGAACCCCGCTTCCACGTCCGACTTTACGGAGTACCCCGGTGAGGTCCTGATTGACGATGTGGAGGAGGCGATTCTACAACAAGCGGCGGGAGATGCTCCTACTGATCTGAGCCGCTGGCGGGATGAGTTGGAGGAGCAAGGGTATTGGTTGTACGTCTCATCATTGGATAGTGGAGTAGCAGATAACTGAAAAGCCATGCAGAGATTGGACGATACATTCGGCGCCTGCACCCGCCCACCCGTCGTATCGCCTCCTCACTGCGCTACGCCTAGCGCATGTCCTTATCTCCAAACACGGCACTATAGGTGAATGGCGCGAAACGCTCGCCGGCGTGCGAGACCTTGTGAGCGAAGAGAATGAGCGAGCTGTACGCGGAACGTTGCGCGAGATCTGCACCGCGCTCATCTCGCGAGCCGAGGACGCTGCGGAGGAGCTAGAAGAAGTGATGCTACGTGTTGGGCGGGAGAAGGAAGGTTGGCGTATCTGGGCTGCTGGGAATGTCAGAGCACTTTGGGCCGAGGAGAAAGCGGTTGCTCAGGCAGTTGCTGCGAGCATAGACGCCGGCGTTGATTTCTAGTTGCATGGAAGGGGTCCATATCGTTCTTGTAGCCATGTGTAGCCATGTATGAACCCAGACGTCGCGTATCAAGTGGCAAGATAATTGGACAGCTCGGAGAAAGGGGCACCGGAATTAGCCCTGGCTACAGTGGCACAGCCATCAGTACACTCGTTTGCGCGCGCGTCCTCGGGCTTAGACGCCGCCACAGGACTAGCCTCACAGGACCGGCTCACAGCCCCACCTTCTCTTCTGCCTCCACCTCCACCGACCAGCGGGGTCCTTCGCATCTTCCTTCCGCCCACCACCTCCCTTGCTGCGAGCCATGGCAGTAGAACCGATATTGAGCACGCGCCCACAGCAGGCGTTCATTCTTACCAGTGCGTTTCCGTGCCAAGCCTATCTTTGCCAAACCGTGCTCATGAAAATGAACTTGTTGCGCAGTCGTCATCCGTGAGCATCCGTGTATACTCCTATGTCGTCCGAGCTGTGGCGTTAAATATTGCGTGCAGAGGCGATCATTGTGCTCGTCCTCATCTCCGTGACGTTCAGACTGGTACGTCCCCCCGGTTACTCATCCGCTTCGCGTCACTCACTATCGCATAATAGGTCGGGGAGAATGTTGACCTTACGGACAATCGATACAAAGTGTGTTCAAGAGGAACCGTGTAGTGTCTAGCAACATACTAATATCGTCGTAGACTTTACCATGTTATCTCGCCCTATTCATCTATGCGGAGTACGTGCGGCCATGGCCACATCCTGCCGTCTCGCCTGATAGCGTGTGACAGGCTGTTTGAGTTGTTCATGGCGTTCGACGCGCTGAGGTTACGAAGCGTCATCCAGCTATTCGGATTGGCAAGTGCGTGCACCCCTCGCGCTCACTGCGTTCCCGCGCTACGTTCTGACCGCGGCTCACAGTATTCCACCTCGGGATGATTGTCTTCGCCGCAATCGAAGTGCACGAACTTAAAGCAGCACTTGTCAAGAATCCCGGCTTGTACAGCACAGTCAAGCCCCTTGTCATCACCGCACCATGCGTGATTGCTGCGTCCCTGATCTCGCTCGGGTGGTGGGTGTACAAATTGTATTGGGAGTTCGGGTGCGTGCATCCACCCCTGCATACTATCCGTATCTCCGTGCTTACTCTCGATGCAGTTGGGCGGTATTCCGCGTTGTGGGCGCGAACCCCTACATGAAGAGTGAGTTTCATGATATCCCCACGCGGATACCCGTTCCGCCCGGTACACACATACTAATCCCTAACCCCGTTCAGCGATGTATCGCTTCTACCAGATTCTGCTGTGCTTGTTGAAGTTCGACTTTTTCGCGTTCACGTCGGTCACCATGATGGTACGCGATAGTGCTCCGAGATGCCTTGTGTGCGGAGCTAAATGCTGTGCAGTTGCTTATCATCGTACTCAATACCGATAGCGCCGAGTTTGGGTTGACAATTGCCGCCATACCTGTAGTCATCGTCCTCCTCGTGCTCTGCGCCATCGCTGTCCAGCGCGAAATCAGGTGGATCATGGTCGTCTCATTGATATTGATGCTTGCCGCGGAGACATACTTCGGTGCGTGGCACGGACTGTTGGTAACGGAAACATGGTCTAACGAAGCATTCAGTCTTCAAGCTCGTGCGCTATTACTCCCCATCAACATCAGGACAGTACCTCTCCACCCGCGCCACAATCACAACATTCACGATCATCGCCTTCCTCCTGTTATTGGTCTCTTTCGGCATTGGTCTCCGTTGTCTGGCCGACTTTGACAAGGGCTTGAAGGAAGCAAAGACCACGGGTCAGTTACAGCACTTTTGTAAATTCCTTTCCTTCTCCCCGGTAACTCAGAGTGCTCGAATGACGATTCGCTGACGGCCTCCCCCAACAGATGCGCCGTTGTTCAGGAGAGGAAACAGCTCCACACTCGGCGGCAGCCGCGAGTCGAAGCACCTCGCGAACGAGCCGCTCGAGGAGCGTATGTCCATCGAGTGATCGCATTCGTGCTTCGCATCTTCCTCTCTGCGTAACGACCTACGTGTTTGTCGGGATATCAAGGAGAATAGGTTTACCATATGCGGCTATCTTTCGTCTTTCCATCTTGCGGACCCTACGACCCCCTTACGATCTAGCATAACTTATTCGCTCTGTTTCTTGTCGATTTGCTCCCCTGTTCATCTTCGCTTCTATACTGACGCTGTCTCGATCTGTGTCTCCGGACCACATCATTCATTTGTACTTCGCTAATCGAACATTTTTATGCGACAAATCGCACTCCACATTAGTCAACAAGAAAGATCCATGGATACAAGATGTCTAACAATCCGAAATGGTCGTCCATGCTACAAAGATTACGAGAAGGGTATGTAGTACGAGTATGGTGATAATGTTCTAGGGTATCCTACGATGATCCAAGTACTTCGCGACCACCAAGTTGGGTTCCATGAGGTCTCGCACCTTCCGCACGAGCCCCACGTACGCCTGCTGAGTGGAGTGACCATGCATGGCCACGATAGCATGGTCGACATCCTCATAGACTCTTTGCTCCATATGTGGCTGCAGAGTCCGCGATCGTGCGGCCAAGTCATCGGCCTCGCCATTTTCCGACGCGAGATGAACGCCGGATATTGCGCAGCGCGCGGCCTCGCGGCTTTCTGCAGCTTGACGGCGATTCTCCTCAATCTGAACGTCCCTCAATGATTGTACCCGCGATGCAGAACGCATAGGGCGCGCGTACCTGCTGCCTTAACAGTGCGACACTCTGGCGGCGAGGTGCAAGTGTTGCTTCTATGGAAGCCTCCACAGACGCAGCTATGAGCGTGTCACACTCGGCACGTGCTGCATCAAGTCTCTTGTTGCCGCGCTTGAGCCCGTCAAGCCTCCGCAACGCAGCGCGATCTACAGCTTGCTGTGGTCCCGTTCTACGCGCTTGGTACAGCTCACCCTGTTTCTCCTCAAAGAGTGCAAGTAGCTCGGACTCAAGATGATCTTCAGGCAATTGTGATCTGCCCTGCACGAGATCTTGGACCTCACGATGAACTTCGCGAATTCGGCGCACGGATCTTTTAAGACTTGGCGGAATATACACTGGCTCACCCTCGAGCTTACTATGTGGATGTGAGCCGAGAATGAGTCAGAGGATGAAGATGGACTGACGAGTGTTCATGCGCTGCCCGTGTTTCAGGAAGTTGCCTTTGGAGTTCAGCCACGACCGGGCGTATCTGAGGTTCGACAGCCTCAAGCCACTTCTCTACGCCATCGAGATAGCTTTCTAAAGCCATGAAATCCTTCTGCCAGTAGGAATCCAGGTCCAGTACAATTCGTCCAAGTTCCGGTAGTTGCGATAACTTCCTGTTCCGCGACAATAGCTTCTTCGAGAGCATGACTTGTTTCTGTTCGGCGTCGCGTCGGGCTGCGCTGATTTTGTCACGGAGCGTCGCACTCGGGTGTTCGTAGAGTTGAGAGTGCTGCATGCGTCGAAGATCATCCATACGCATCTGAGCCGCCGAGAGATCTTCATGAAGGTAAAGGCCGTCAACCATTTGCCTGCACACGTAAGTTGGCGTGAGAGATAAAGGTCAAGGATAGCGAAAGGTTACCTACTTTGTAAAGCTACGGCTTGCGCCCTCTATATCCATCAGATTTATCACACCCTGAGTATGTTTGACCTGTGTGCTTCGGGGAGATGTCTTGTCAGGCACTCGAAGCGTAGTTTTGGGGGTCAAGTGGGCCGAATTATCGTCAGCGACTTCCATGTCAGAGTGCTCATCGAGACCATGGAATGACGGTGCAGGCGAGAACGTCGGTGAGTAGACAGAGCCGGCGTTCAGACTCACAGACTCGGCCTTCTCTTGAGTGAGCCGTTCAGCGGATGACTCCAACAGTCCGCGAGGAACAGAAGTCGAGTCCGATTCCAGATTACCAGGCGCCTTGGAGCTGTTGACGGAAGAGTGGCGGAAGACCGGCGAAGATATGCTGGATTCAAGAGCAGGAGAGTTGACGGCGCTCAAGCTGAGCGATGAGAGGAGAACAGACGGCCTAGCGTTATCCCATCTAGCGCCGTCAGATGGGTGAACAAATCGACATCTTCCCTTCGGTTGAGCGCAACCTCCGGGTATTCTAGGCGTTCCGTCGTTGTTATAGTCCTGATGACCCGGATAAGCATCTCAGTCACTATAGTTCACGAAGGCATTGGGGCTACCTTACAGCGTGCGTCCCGTGTATATGACTTTTGCATATCACCAGAGCTTTAGACCTTGGAAGGATCGGGTCGCAATCACTCCGAGAGGAAGTCGGTGTCGTTCACGCTTGCTTGTAGAGACGCCGACTAGACCAAGTGGGAAGGTTTGAAGGCACGTCGAGGAAGATAAATGGCACGCTCCCAAAGCGTGAAAAGGTTCTCGATGATGGAGGTACGTCTGAGAAGCAAGCCGTAGCCACTTCGGGAGGTGTGAGAAAGCAAAGCGGCAAACGCCGAGATCGAAACGTGGATTTTGAAGACTGACAGCCATCCATCACATCTTTGCTCGTCGTCGCTCGATGGCAACTCGATGAGCTGGGGCGCGTCATTTTCCGCCATCGCCACTATACATATCGACCGTCCTCGAGTCTTGACCGCTCTACGGATGTGGTATTCGTGCATGCGATCATATTTCGGGATATTGCCTGTTCGTGCGGCAGGACTAGCGTCCATCGATATCGGCTCCAGAGTACACGAGACTTCCGCTGACATTCTGACCGTATTTCATCTTTCACAACGTGATCGCGAGTGGCACCCGGACGATCTTGGAACCTTTGCGCGACTTCGCTAACGCGTCAAACTCCTTGTCTTTCGTCATCTCGAGCTGTTCAACGGCAAGATACCAATGAGCTCATTTTTATTGCATAGAAATCGCATCCGAAGAGTTCTGGAGTGCGTCCGCGGTATCGCGGATGTTGATGATTGTGGGGTGGATAGGCTAGACAGTATCTCTCCGTCATAGCAGTTCCTTCGGTAGATGGCATAAGTCCTGCTTTCGAGACGGATGATGTCAAGCAAAAAATATCATCGCTCTTGAGAAATGGCATGGGAGACATCATCGTGACGGCCAATGGTGGGAGGAAGAAAAGTCGGGGAACGGTCTGCAGTCGAAGATCAATTATGTCATGTGAGCGCGATGTTCAACGCGAAGTTGTTTCGCACGAGCGGCGAGGCGCGCGACCACGGCTTGAACGCGTGCCATCATCTATGGAACTGGACGATACGCCGTCTTCGTCGCAGCTGGCCGCACAGACCAGTCCAGATGGTCCCTCCTCGCCGCCTGTATTTTTTGGACCCGTGACTTCACCAGAGAAACGGTATGCGGCTGGACTTCCAACCCGCACTCCGCCACCGCCATCGCCTGTCAGGCGCTCGTTGCGACTGTCTCTCGCGCCTCCGCTCTTATTCCCTTCCACTCCGATGCGTGCTGTGAGCGAAGAAGAAGTCTCAGAGGTCGAGAATTTCTTGGAGATTGAAGCCTTGAAGGCGAGCGAGGCGGAGGAAGGATCTTCAGGTGAGGATAGGAATGCCATGCTGGACGGTATGTAAAGTCGCCCATATATCTGCATCCAAGCTCTAAGATTATTTGAAGACGAACCGGAACCATCTTCTGCCCTGGCGGAGAAGATCTCTCGAGCACACGACAACCCTTCGCCGCCTCCCAAGTTCTCACTCTTGCCGCCGGAACATCCATCATCAGCCGAGCAGGAACCGCGGGCGTCGAGCTCCAAGCTAATAGACATCTCGTTCGAGGTCGCTTCGCCAGCTCCTCAGAGGTCCCATGGAAGCGACTTGTTGGCGCTGGTCTCGCCCTTCAAGGTCACCACGCCGCCACCCCCTTCAAGTCCGAATGCAGTCAACTCGGACACAGATCTCATCTCATTCGACGACTCGCTTGAAGTGCCTGGAGCACCCGCGCCAGATGTACAAGAGGTCAGCGCCTTTTTTACAATGCAGAGGAGGGGGAAATGTACTAATACGGCCCCGTGCCAGGCGATTCCAACTGTCGTCACTGTGGAGGACGATGAACCTATGGAAAGCCCCGTCGAACCGGTTGCAGCAACCCATACAGCACCCTCTACCCCACCTCCACCGACAACCACCCAGTACCTCGACATAACTACACCAACGCCGCGTCGGCGATCGCCTCGTCTCTCAAAGGCGCCCGCGACGTTGAATGAACCTCCACGCCCGAGTTCGCCGTCACCATCCGTCGCCGTGCCACTCGCGATAGCACCAGTCCCTGTAGCCACTACGCCGCCTCCCCAAGCCTCTTCGAGCACTCAGATTCCTTCGCCACGGCGTTCTGCCTCTCCGCGCCGCCACCAAGCCTTGCAACAGACAGAGCGTCTTGCCTCGCTCTCGCCCACCACTACGGGTCTTTTATCGAACTTGATGGAGAACGTGACTCCCAATCCATTCAATACGCCGTCTGTTGTTCGGCGACCTGCGTCCAACGCACCCATGGAACACTCACCCTCGCCTCCGCGCCGCCCTGTACAACTGCAACGACCACCCAGTGCATCTCCTGAGAAATCGGCGAGACCAACTATGCCGCCCTCACCCGCGAAACGCGTGCCTATATTCAAGCCTCCATCGTCAGGCTCAGGCTCTTTCTCACACATACCTGCCGCATCTGCCTCCCACAGTCCACCACGTCGCGTTCCAATTGCCTCTTCACCATCGAAACCGTTGGGTTCTTTTACGAAGTCCATAGGCACGCCACAGCGCGTACCACGCCCGCGTGCCGGCTCAGCAGAACCAACTGGCTCTATATCCCCGCGCAAGCCTCCCATGCTCACATTTCGGCCTCCGTCGCGAGCCGCAAGTGACAGCGCAGTGTCTGAAGGCGGGAAGACCACGGGTATCAAAGAATTACCGTTCCCCTTGCGGGCAGCTACGATACCTGAGGAAAACGAGGCGCCTCCAGGTGTCGAAGACGCGCTTCTGGCGCCATCTGAGGACAGCATGCACGGTGCTACGTCCCTGGAAACGGAAGCGCCGCCGCTATTGTCGGAAGGAGGCATGAAACCCGCCTCGAACGTTATCAAATCCCCACCGCCAGCCGGGCCGACTGCAGGGAAGACGAAGAGTAATCTACGGCAACCCAGTACTCTTGCAAGCAGCCGGATCCCACGCAAGCCTTACGCCCGACCTGCTTCGGCGGATAAGGATAAGGCGAAAGCGAAGGAGTCCGGGCCCGCTGTGGCCACTACTGCTGCATCCAGAGCTCGGAGTAAAGAACCTGCCGCAGGACCGTCAACGACAGTACGCTCCAATGTACGCGCTGCCAGGAATCCGGTTGTCTCCAAGCCCATCGCGTCGAAGGAACCCGAAGTCATAGAGGTTTCCTCTGACGATGCCCCATCGTCAGGTCCGGAGAAGGTTGCACCCGCCAAGGTGCCCGTGAAGGGCAGGCTTGTGAAGCCAATCTCAAGGGAGAAGGGTGTGGAGAAGGACAAAGCAAAGGCAAAGGAGACGAGACCAACAACGATACGCCGTGCTGCAGCTCCAGCGCAAGCACGTCTGGTCAGGTCAACAGGTGTCAACAGGACCGATAGCGAGAGCTCCTCATCCGATGCTGCTGCCTCAGGACAGGCTGCCAGAACCATGAGTCCGCTCAAACGGAAGCGCTCCGACGATGGTTCTCCCTCCGGCGCTCAAGCCTATGTACTCCTGGGCTCGCGTACGGCTTCTGGAGGTGGTCCACAGACGATGCGCAAAGTTGTCAAACAGACTGCCCCCGCACCAGCGCCGTCGCCGTCTCCCAATCCTACCCCAGTACCAACCGCGGCACCATCGAGTCCAGAGAAGAAGGCTCGCGGCGGACCTGCGCGCAAGGTTGCCCCCGCGACGCGTCGCGCGGCTGCAAGCAAGTCTGGTCCTGCTCGTTCTGCATTGCCGAGACTCGTGAAATCGCCCACTCCAGATCCACCGGCTCCGGTGAATCTTATGGACGCTCTGACCAGTCAGAGGCAAGATTCCCCGCCTCCGGCTACTGACGGAGACGTGCAGCATCCTATCATTGTCGTGGATACACCCTCCTCCCCAGCTCATCACGCGACTCCGATACAAGGTGTCATTCAAGATACCATTCAAGAGGTCGTTACTCCAGTACCAGAACCAGCTCCTACACCAATACCCGCATCCACACCCGTCCCTCCACCATCGCCTTCGCCAGCGCCCGAACTTGCTGGAGGACGCCGCACCCGCTCAGGACGCACAACGAACGACGTCTTCGGTCCGATTGTCCGACGTGGTGTGGCTGATGGCGGACCCTTTGCGAGCATGTCCGCTACAGCTCTACGCGCGCTGACTACCGTGAATACAACCCGGAATCAGAACTACGGTGTCGCAGTACTGGCCACTGAAGTTGTGCGCAAGCAAGGCCCTCGTCCAGAGAGTCCTCAGACGAAGGTTCGAAGTCTGGAGGAGAAGCGAAAGGAGGCTGCGCAACGTGGTCGGAGCGAAAGGGCGGCGAGAAGGGCAAGAAGGCAGAGCGGAGAGGATAGCACAGATGACGAAGGCGGCGCTGACGGCGCAGAGGAGCAGTCATGGGCCGCTGAGAGGCATCGACTTGGTGCTGGAGATGATGAGGAGTATGTTACCCCCGAGAAGGCTCGGCCGGCGAAGAGGCTAAAGTTCGACGGCACGGATTCAAATGAAGCGGCGCAAGTGAACGTGAAGCGCGAGAGACGAGTTCGATGGGACAAGGGATTGTTCAGCACATTTTACTTTGACGACACACCCGGCCCACTGGTACTCCCGTCCCGTGCCGCGTCGGCTGCTACATTCCCCAAGCCGAAGGGCGGCCTCGCGGGCAGTGCGCGTGCCCTACGACTGGACGGACTAGGCAATGCACTCTCGGAGAGCCCACTCAAAGGCCTGGAGCCTGAGAACGTCGTCGTGAAGAAATTTGTCTACGATGATGACGAGGGTGCAGAGCCGATAGTGCAGGTCGAGCCTGTGGAGACGAAGGGGAAGGGAAAGAGGCGGTCGTCCAGATCTTGATTTTATTGGGTTGAGCTATCCTAATGTTTACGCCTCTTGCTTTCATGTTATCGTTACTTGCTGTCCAATCTAGCTGGGCTTGTATGTTTATGCCAATGGTTCGATTTGTCCAGACCATCACGCTCCGTTGCACAGATCGCCTTAGCGGCCTGACACTCATGTTAGAGGGTGCAAGAGCAGCTGACTTGAGCGCTCGGCGCTCAGCACTCGAAACTGTCGTCGGCTATGTGATTCAAGAGTCAAGATATGACGAGTCGGATGGGAAATGTCCCGAGCGTCGAATCAGTGTCAGGGATGCGTACGATGGCTAGGGACGCGTTCATGACCCTCTGACCTACCCCTCCAGACATTACACGTATGATTCCTTTCGCAGGCTGTTGAAAGACCTTTTCTGTGGGAGCAGAGACGGCCACCCGATGCCTGACTGCGTTAGCCGGGCACGCATGTAACTTAGGACTCGGGTGGCCGCCGGCCGTTGCGGTCTACTGGAACCGGCGAGTCACTTGATCGTGTTCGTCACCCAAGTCACGCTCGTGATGAGGCGCGTCAGTCGACGCGTCGGTGAGCGCGTTCACCTTCAACCTGCACCACCATGAAGTTCTACATTGACGACCTACCGGTCCGTCATATAAGACCGCCATACATCATGCGCTGAAACGTGTGCCAGGTCGTCTTCCCTTATGATCGAATATACCCCGGTTCGCTTACAAATGATGCTCGCCATTCTTGGCATGCTGACTGCTCCGGATGTCAGAGCAATACGCGTACATGTGTGACCTGAAGCGGACTCTAGACGCTACGGTATCTCGGACGGTTCCTTACTTCAGGGCAATGACTGAATAGGTGGATAAGGGTCACTGTGTGCTGGAGATGCCATCGGGAACGGGCAAAACGGTCTCCTTACTGTCGCTCATTGTGTCGTACCAGCAGGTGAACATCCTTTTCGGCCTCAGCTTCATCATCATCTGACATATACCCTTTAGTTCTTTCCTACCAAGCGGAAGCTTATATACTGCTCGCGTACGGTTCCCGAAATCGAGAAGGCCCTTGCGGAGCTGAAACGGCTCATGGACTATCGGATATCGCTCGCCGAAACGCCTGAAGAGCGCGAGAAGGAGGAAAACTTTACCGGATTAGGATTGACCAGTCGGAAGAACTTGTGCATTCACCCTGAAGTCCGTTATCCATATCATATTGGACAAGTGGGCTGACGTAGGCTCAAGGTTTCGAAAGAGAAGAAGGGCAAGGTGGTTGACGCAAGGTGTAGGGATCTTACCTGTTCTTCCACCATGAACAAGGCTCGGAACGAGCCTGGATCTGTCGAAACATGTAGTTTCCACGACGTAAGCTCAGCTGCGCTGATCCAGGCCTGTTTACTGATTACCGCCCAGAACCTAGAGGGCTTAGAGCAACAGATTCCTTCTGGGGTTTGGACGCTCGCAGAGGTACTACAGTACGGTCGGGATCATGGAACTTGCCCATACTTTACCGTGCGACGCATGGTACGTCCTATCTCCTTGTGATGAGCGCCTCGCTCAAGTTGCCGCTGCAGCTACCATTTGTTGATGTAGTCATCTACTCCTTCCACTACCTGCTTGATCCGAAGGTGGCCGAACAAGTATCGAAAGATATGTCAAAGGACTCCATTGTGGTGTTTGATGAGGCGCACAATATCGGTAAGCTGCTCCTGAGCCTCCCCCGGTGACTGCGCTTACGCTGTGAACTGATAGACAACGTTTGCATTGAGTCTCTAAGTATAGACCTCACGAGACCGATGCTGGATTCAGCTGCCCGCAGCGTAACGAAGCTAGCAGACACAATCGAAGAGTAAGCTAGGCTGACACCAATCGGACCGTGGCTAAGTCTTGACGTTACTGCCTCTAGGATAAAAAAGACGGACGCCTCTAAACTCCAAGATGAATATCAGAAGTTGGTCGAAGGTCTTCAGGATGCCGCCAACGCCGAGGATACATTCGCGAGCAATCCAGGTGTGCATCCACTGATGTCGAGACGGCGCCCGAAGGTAGCTAACGTGAGCGCGCTTCTAGTTCTTCCCGAGGATCTCCTGCAGGAGGCGATACCGGGCAATATTCGTAAAGCCGAACATTTTATCGCCTTTCTCAAACGATTTGTCGAGTACCTGAAGGTCGGTGCCCCGTGACAGGGTTTTCATTATCTGCGTCCTGACGCCGCGGTAGACGCGGATGCGAGTTCTCCATGTTGTCGCAGAGACCCCTCCCTCGTTTCTTCAACATCTCAAGGACATTACGTACATTGAGCGCCGGCCACTGAGGTCTGTCCTGCATGCACCCCATTGTGCTGATCGCATGTCCAAAGCTCAACGGATCTCGCTTCAGGTTTTGTGCCGAACGTTTGCAATCATTGGTCAAGACTCTGGAGCTGAGCCGGATCGACGAGTTCTCGTCATTACAGAAGGTCGCCAACTTCGCCACTCTTGTGTCGACGTACGAAAAAGGTAAGTTCATTGTTTGATGGTCGACAAGCTGCGTATAACTGCGGTGTCAAGGTTTTCTTCTCATCCTGGAGCCTTTCGAGACGGAGAATGCCACAGTTCCGAACCCTATCTTCCACTTTGTGTAAGTTGCATTGCCCTTTTCGCTCCTTCATCTACGTTTGACTCACAGCGTTCCTGGCAGTTGCCTCGACCCCTCTATCGCGATCAAGCCCGTATTCGAGCGATTCAGCAGTGTCGTGATTACATCTGGAACGATCTCCCCTCTTGACATGTACCCTAAGATGCTACAATTCACCCCTCGAGTGCAAGAGACCTACGCCATGACGTTGACCCGCAACGCATTCTTGCCCCTTGTACGTATTTATGTGCTGTGCCATCACAGAAGTTAATCATACACAGGTCATCACAAGGGGTAGCGACCAAGTAGCTATAAGCTCGCGGTTCGAGGTTCGCAACGATCCCGCCGTCGTGCGGAACTTCGGGACAATCCTTGTGGAGTACAGCAAGATTGTACCTGACGGGATTGTCGCCTTCTTCCCCAGCTACCTGTATATGGAATCAATCGTGGCTGCTTGGAACGATATGGTACAGATGCCCAGATCATCACTCAAAGGCCGCGGGCTGACGCCATTTCCAGGGCATCTTGAATGAAGTGTGGAAAAATAAACTCATCTTCGTCGAGACCCCTGACGCCAATGAAACAAGCATCGCGCTCGAGAACTACCGCCGCGTACGTCTTCGTTATATGCAATGCCATGTGTATCCTCAGCACAGCATCCAGGCTTGTGACAACGGGCGCGGCGCTGTCTTGTTGTCTGTCGCTCGAGGTAAAGTCTCCGAAGGCATCGATTTTGACCACAATTATGGTCGAGCCGTCATCATGTTCGGGTGCGTCTCCAAGATCCAAGACTTAAAGGCGAGTTCCGCGTGGTAGTGACGGTACTGACCATGTGTGTCCCAGCGTTCCATATCAGTATACGGAGAGCAGAATTCTCAAGGCGCGGTTGGAGTACCTGCGCGACGTCCATCGAATTCGCGAGTCGGAGTTCCTTAGCTTCGATGCCATCCGCAACGCTGCGCAGTGCGTTGGGCGCGCGCTGAGAGGTAAGACGGACTGGGGTTTGATGGTTTTCGCAGATAAGGTACGATGCTGTCGGTACCCGCCCTTTACATGCCAATCACGATATCACAGCGCTTCGCCAGGGCGGATAAACGGGCGAAACTTCCTCGATGGATCAACCAGTATATCACAGAGACAGCAGCAAATCTATCTACAGACATGGCACTCACGCTCTCCAAACTATTCATGCGCACAATCTCGCAAACTCAGGACGTGAACCAGACTGGAGTATCTCTATGGACTCTCGAAGACATTGAGAAGGCTCAGGCCATTCAACGCGACGCCGAGGCAGCGGCGGAGCGGGAAGCAGCCGCAGCGCGAGCTCGGGAGGTCGAGGATGACGGATTGAGGGCTCCTAATGGTATGGACGACGACGACGAAGACGAGTATGGCGATGGCGGCATCACCGACGGGATGTTGCTGGATGTCTCCACATAAACCGTTCCGATCATCAGTGTCGTCCACAAAGCTGACATCTGTCTTCTATCTGAATACGCTCGTGAGCCATCGGCCTGCCACCTCTATGATCGGACACTCTTTACATAACCAATTGTGACCCTTTCGGGTTGTCTGCGGGATCCCAATCAGGATGTCATCCTGCCGATGATATTTTCTGTACGTACGTGTAAAACCTCTGGCAATGACAAGGTGCCCTGGTTCCGCATGAAGTCGGATGAGAGGTACTGTTTTTGCATGCGGGATTGCGACAGTCGACATTCGAGTCGCTAGCCAGAATTTGGTGTCCGCAGGCTTTGCTGGTGTAGAACCTGAGTTGGCGATGACACATCGGAGCGGCGATGCAAGCTGAGCTAACGCTGAGCCAGGGCCAAGGGACACACGGCAATGAGAACAACGAACCAGGACGACTTCCGGGTGAACGGTCGGCGGAGAACTACGAGCAGACAGGAAGACGGGAAACGAGGTATGGTTGGGTTAGGAGGGTTCACCGAGATCGGGTCGCCAGCTTAAAGGTGTGGACCGCCGAGCCCATTTTATTGGAGTTTCCACGGGCGTGCATATGGCATTCCCGAAGCGCGGCAGGCGGCATAAGTTGGTCGCAATAGAAGGTACAATAGTATAGGTATCAGCGCCTATCGTAGGTACCCACAGAAATAGCGCGCAGTACCTGAAGAAAGCCCGTCGGTGGTGCAGCTGGACCCAGTCCTAACTTGGAGGCTCGTGTACAATTTGATGGTGTGAGCAACATAGGTCCGGAAACGAATCGGGTGGCATGAGACTCAAAATCGGCATCACGGTCGATCTTCTATAGAGCTGCACACAATACCGCCGACTCCGCGGTCTAGTTGCCTCCAAACGTGGGCAAAGAGTGGGCATATAGGACAATGTGGAGCACCTACTTGGGAGATACACTGCGATGTGAGGGCCGTAGCGTGCCCTTGGTTTGTTGCTACGATGCGATGCTGATCTCTCCAGAAGAGCTGCACGGTGTAAACGATGATCTTCGACAGCATGGTCAACGTCAACGGTGCACGTTAGACGCGAAAAATGCGTGGAAGACGTCGTCAAGTCTTGATGATTTGCCCGTGGGATCTTGCCTTCGGCCGGAGCCGGTGTGCGGGGCGCTCGCCATCATTCTTGCCATCTGCTCCAACAACCTCTGCGACGTGCCGTCGCGAAGCGCGCAACCTCCAATACTCCGTAACCTAGCGCTTTGGGATGCATTTTCCCATCCCTGTACCTACACCCGCAGCCCGCTTGATGTTGTCGCTTGGATTTCAGCAGCTTGGCCCGCCGATCCATGCGTCGAGATCATGCCTTCATGGGAAGACCAACACACAGCTCATCGACGTCTGTATTAGGTTCGACTCCCGGATCCCGCCTTTGTATTGCTATTCACTCTCATCACGCTCAGTCAATATTGTCAGCGCCCATAGTGGTCGTATTCATATATCTTCTCCCGAGGGTCTAGAGCCAGGCCAATGCTCCTTCATCGAGCCTATTCACGAGCCGAAGCGCTGAATAGCAGCTATCCCCTCTTCGCCTCTGGTCAGATCACTACTCACCGTTTTTGAGTTGAGTGTCATTCATCAAGTTCGCATCCTTCCCATGTTATCTCTTTGGCTTCTGTCAATGACGCGATGACGACCCCGACGCAGACAGAGCCTTCGGAGCAAAAGTACTGGTCGGGAGGACCGAGACCGCGCTACATGTCTTGCTCCTGTTGTTGTGCGTAGGCACGTATGTCGCACTGCCTTACGGCCCACTCCTTCATATCCCGTTCCATCTAGCGTACAAGTGCAGTGGCCGAATGGCGATCAATTTGATCATGAAAGATGATGCAGACACACTGTTTGGTTCGTGACTTGGACGTTCACTCGGCCAGTATACACTTGTCATCTTTGATAACCATGAAGCGTGACAGAGGTCTGACAAAGACCTGTATAGACAACGAGCAGTAAGATGTGGAGTGTCAGGGCGAGCTTCGCAGCGATCTCAGCATAGCTGTACTGCGCAATCTGCCCGAAAAGCTGACTATGGGAACTACAGACCGCAGTATCCCGCACTCATTATACACCGGGATACCATGACGGATGATATCTCCATTTACTATGTCGATAAGTAACTTCCAAGGGCGGTACAGAGCCTAGGCTACCTTCATTGACGCCACGAAATTGCACGCTCGTCCGTCGAATGTACATACGACCCGGCGGGGCCCGTCCGGCCAGGGAAAGCGCTAAACGGCAAGGCCCTTTCTTGTACAGACATAGTATCTGGCCCTGCCGACGTCATGATCTTTGGGGTCGCGTTCGTTTGGACGGGAGAAGCTGAACATTCTATGGGTAAAGGTGTTCGCCTCATGACCTGCCACGGACAACGCCGGTAGACCCTCTCTCGATAATTGCCGCTCCGTAGCGTTGTAGGCCGGAGAGCCTCTTGGCATTGGGTGACTGGCGGGATCTTTGATATCACGACAATCAATCCTACGTCGTCCCTGTCCTGTTCCCTGATGCTTCAGCTGACTACTCACTCCACTGGAACCCTGGGATTCATGATCCTGCAAGATAATCCTTCTCAAATGCGAAGACATACGCAGACGCCTTACGTGGCTTCTGATTATCATGGTCGCTATGTTGTCTCCGCTGTATCTCACGGTTCACAAGCGCATCTGGACACGGAGTAGACGAGGGCTACCTTAAACCATCCCTTCAGAGGTTCTTATGATGGTAGGTGTAGCCCGTGCTGTATTGCCGTGCTGTCACAGACGTCGATGTCAGCGCTAGGCTAGGTCTATTTATTCAGACAGAGTATCTCAGCACCTATTCGGTCGAACATCAGACACTTCTATCTCGAGCATGCAAGCAAGAGACCCTGTGCAAACATGCCGACGCACTTCACATAGATGTTGACCTTCGAAGCTAGGGTCAGCCTATAAGATGACTTCGAAGTCTCGGAACTATCACTGAACGAGCGCGCGGCCGCAAACAAAGTGCTGTACTCTTTTGACTATGAATATCTCGTACGGCATCAAGAAGAACGTGAGAGACTGCGTGGAATTGTCCACGATCCTTTTGAGTGACGTTCACATCTGCATCTGAGATCCTGAAGCTGTCAAAGTAGCAGGACGCTATACGATTGAACGCGGACCACCGCCAAATCGGGACGGCCGTTTTACACTGAGCGTGCTTACAGCTTGAAGACGGACGTCCATTGCACGGATGCATTACAAACATCTTTCTCGGCGCGCACAACCAGATGGTCACCGACGGCGATCTTTGGGATGTACACGGTGATTGGTGTCCCTCATGACTGCCCAGAAGGCCAACCTTATGGCTTAAGGGCGTTTGAGCCCGCCTCGAGTTGTGACAAGGGGTTGAGGCGCATGGACTCATGGATGACACCTAACGGCAGGCCTTCTCGAATTTATTGGCAGGCGTCGTTTCAGCAAGTCCACAAGTCGAGGGGCCATCAACACTTGCCGCCCGGCAACGGACAGATGCATCTATCGTTGGGTGCAGAAGATGCGGCATGGTTTTGCGTCCTCAGCAAACGTGTGCGCACCGTCGTATCTACTGAGATGTTGAATAGGTGGCATTGGAAATTCCACTTCTTCGATTTCCTGCTTAGAGAATGCTAGAAGTACAGGATTAGAGCCCACGCCGAATGACTCTTCGCCCGCCGCGAGCCTAGATGCCGCGAAAGAGAGCCTGTGACGTGCACGTACTGCACGCCGAGGACTTGTGAAGTCCAGAAGATACACAAGAACGTGGCGCAACGAGTTTGCAAAAGTAGTTGGTGCGGGAGACTTTGATGGACATGCATGATAGAAGGAGTAAAGCCCGTCCACGTCTGATTGTACTCGCGCATACCTTCTCCGCCGTTCATGTCATCATCTCTCGTACAGCGAGGCACCATGAAGAAATATTAGTCCATCACAAAGATAATCGAGGCGCTGCAAATCAGGGCCCTTTCTCAATTTCGCGACGACCCAATATCAGCAGTCGTATATCACAAAAGCGATCGTCCGAGCTACCGCAGACGCTTACAATCTTGTTGGCCCGCAGATATAGTGGTCCCATTCATTCACACGCGTATGTGGCGCTGGGCCTTCTCTTCGGACGATAGGATAGTCGGTCGTAGAGAGTAATCTCGGCGCCGCCGCAATCGGGCGAGAAGTCCATTGACTCGTGGTTCAATCAAGGGCACGGGTAAAAGGACACGCAGCCGAGTAAGTAGATTTCAGTCGTTGTTACTCATGTCACGGACGATAGGGCGCTCCGTTGAGCGTCGGTGGGAGCCTGATAGATATTCTGGGACTGCTTCTTCAGGTCGCCACCTGAGCATTTAAGGTGGCAGTATAATACGTAAAAGAGCGCCGTCGATTTGAATGCCGAGCTTCACAGCCAGCTGCGTCGAGTTGCTGAGGAAGAGACGCAAAGCCTCCCTGAAGTTGCCAGCACCACGGTTGCATCCCTGACGGATAGGCTTCTGTTGATGAGAAGCCGGGGGTGCCACGGCCATTATTGCACGTCAGTCGCTGAAGGCTGTACAGGGTTTCACTGCGAGAAGGGTCCTGAGGAGATTGATGAGGTCTGTTCTTGATGTTGTGCAGGAGAGCATAGGTGCAGGAATGCGAGCAGCTGAACCTGGATCGCGACCATAAGCCGCGAATCGATACGATATTGTACGAAGACCGCGAAGAAGCGTAATAGACGGCACGGGCGTATGGATTGCTGCTGCTGCGGCAGCATACCATAATATCCGAAGGCAACTGAGTACAACCGCACGTACACCTGGTGAAGGCGTCCGGCAAATGCAGTCGGCGGTGGCGACTCAGATGAATCGGCGCACGCGCCGCGTCAGACCGGAACAAAATGTAAGCTCGCGGCGCCAGCAAAGCTTCGGACCCGCGCCCACCACCTTCGCTTTCGACCACTTTCTACAACTCCTGTAGTCGCTGTCACGCTGTCCTCGTTGTCTGTCATGAACGCTCTTCGCTCCGCTACCGCTTCACTATCCTCGCGTACATTAACGCATTCGGCACGACCGACTGCCTCGAGAGCGCTTAGGAGACCCGCTGCACCGGCGATGCGCTGGTATTCAGAGTCGGCCACAGAAAAGCCCTCAGACGCCAGCAAGCTTTCGGGAGAGGCCTCCGAGGCTTCCAAGTCCGAGGGGGACACGTCGTCAGAGTTGGAGGCAGAGTTGAAGGCAAAGGCAGCTGAGGTTGTAGACATCACGGTGTGTTTTCACGGAAGTTGTATGTTGTTGGATGTGTAAAGACTTATATGTACACGACAGAGCCGTCTACGCTACTTGCAGGCCGACTTCTTGAATTTACAGCGTAACGCTGCGCGGGAGAAGGAGCAAACCCGCGACTTTGCCATCACGCGCTTCGCCAGCGATCTCCTTGAGACTGTCGATGTTCTGGCGCTTGCTCTCAAGTCCGTCCCGGCCGAGCTCGTAAACCCGCCAGAAGCCAACGCGTCTTCGTCGCCGAGCACTTCGGCCAATGCCGACAAGACACCCACCGACCACCTACGCGACCTCTACAACGGTGTCGAGCTCACACACCGGCAGCTACTCCAGACGCTGTTCAAGTACCACGTAAAACCATTCGATCCCACCGGTGACAAGTTCGATCCGAATATGCACGAAGCTCTCTATCAAGCACCCGTTCCCGGCACGGAGGCAGGCACCGTCCTCGACTGTCAGAAGATTGGGTTCACCATCAAGGACCGCCTGCTTCGTGCAGCGCAAGTTGGTGTCGCACAGGAGACCTCATGACTGGACGGATAAACTCATAGTCGGGCCTGGCCCGAGCAGTGGCGGTTCATAGACATACCCTCGCGGGTCCGCCAGTCGTTGGAAATATCCAGAAGTTGACGACCTCATCCTCATTACGCATACTTACATATCCTAATCTACGCCATCATCCACTCCCAACTGCTTTGTTAATTGACGCGCTATCCTTCGGGACATCCATTTGCTGTGAATCACTGGATCCAACCAGTGAAAAATGACGGAGTGAATCATCCTTATCCCTGAAGTTGATAGCGCCCGTGGTGTCCTGTTCATTGAATGAATGGAAATAGGACAGGTCAAGATGCGGTGAACTACGTCAAAGTTACCCCTTTAGCAAGCTAGGATCCAGCATTCGGCATTGACATGCCATTTGAGAAACTTGACTCAAGGGAGATCGTAAGTTGTACGTTGCGCTCCATTGACCGGGACGGGACGTCATGTACGATCCAGTACCGGATAGTAAGTACCACAACTGCGCCTGAGGCTCGGGCCACTGGGTTTGCAACCTGGAAAGGACGGGACACGCGGCACGCGCCCGTGACTTTCCACGCTTACATTCGCGCGTAGCGCCACTCTGTCTTGTCCACCACCACCTGCTGAGCCTCAACTACATGGCCAAGAGCAAGAGCACCCGCGATACTTCTGTATGACTTTCCTCGTTGTATAGGCTTGCCATCTTGCTTATACCCAGATACAGTCCATGGATACCGATTCCCAGGCTGGCGATGGCGCGTCTGCGGACTCGTCGACGCGTGCGCGACCACAACGCGCACGACAGCCCCCTAAACGTTATCAACACACACCCGAACCTGAAATCGTCGACGTCGCTGGTGAAGACTCGCAGCCTTCTGAGATCGCCGGTGACGCTCTTCAGCCTGCACCTGCGCGACCGAAGAAGAACCAAGCCTCCGCTTCCACTACCAAGAGATCCCGCAAGAAAGCCGTAGTTGATTCGGACGATGAAGTCAACGATCCGCCAAGGGTATCTCCACCACCAGAGTCTCGTTCTCGTACCGCAGAGTCCGACCCCGCCGAGGACGACCTCAGTGTAGGCCGTCCGAGTCCTCTGCATTCACCGGCCGCTGGTTCTTCCAAGAGGAAGTTGACATTTGCACGCAAGCGCAAGACTGTGGACTCGGATGAGGAGAGAGACGCGTACCTAGCTCGTGGGACTCGCGCACGGTCCGAGTCCGATGTAGAGGACAACTTCATAGTGGACTCTCCTCCGCCACTGAAGAGGAAGAAGTCTCTACCACCGGTGAAGGTCCGGGGCGGGAAGGGCAAAGATAAGGAAATTGTTCTTGGAAAGGACGAGCGGATGGCTCGTTCTGTTTCTCGCGACGAGGGCACGCCTATGGACGTCGAGACAACCCCTTCTGCATCACCTGCACCCATTACCACTGGAGCCGCTCCGCCAATGCCACAATTCAAGAAGAAGCTTCCCTCCATGCGAAAGACTAGCTCCGTCGCGGGCTCAAGTGCTGGGAACGGCACACCTGCACGATCGCGTCCCAAAGCCGCAGATCCACCCGTGGCAGAGGAAGCTGACACCTCTCTGGACTTCAAGAAGCCAAAGAAGGTGGCCGCCAAGCAGGAGCTTAATCTGATGGACAAAAGTACCTATGCCTCCTTGTTTAAGAGTGTACGTTACATCTTCCTTTCCCTCCGTCAGCTCACTCATACCGACTATCGCTCGGAAGGGCTCGGCACCTCGGGGAGGCGTTGACGTCAAGAGCAAGGAGGAGAAACGCGCGGCGATGAATAAGTTACGTGACGAGGATTGCGCGCGACGTGAAGCCCAATGGGTGAGCCCAGAGCCATTGATCGTATCCCCGGCGTTATTGAATCACTACACCTATAGAGTAATACATTCGACCTGCGCGCCCAATATGAGAAGGTGACGGGGTTTGCGAAGAAGATGGAGGCGCGGAAAGGGCCTTCCATATATCCCAACATCCTGGCATCGTCCCTACGCATGGAGTTCGATAGAAGGCGCAAGCAGGGTTGAGGACAGTCGTGAGCTATCGTACCTCTCAGGATATTGCGAAGGTCGCATACCAGATCGGGATCCGGTCAAGGGAGCCTCGCACGAGAATTGGTGGCAAGGCGCGTACCCATGCATCAGCAGCTCCGTACTCCATGGGTACCATGTTTTCTAGAACGATCAACGTTGTAATCGCATTGCTTGCTATTCGTAGCGCTCGTCCCATGGCTCGAACACCCAATATCGCGCATCCCATTCATTTGGCAGTGCTGCGGCCGCCTGAGTTTGTCCCTCATCCTGGAGGCTCCGTGAACCTCACAGCCCTCGGGTTGGAGATCGAGTTACTAGGGACTATGTATGAATTTCGATACTGTTGGACGTGGGCAGATCATCCCGCTCTTGGCTGGACCGAGTTCCGGAAGCCGATTTTTTGTGCCCTTTGTTGACTCCGACGACCACGGAGGAACCAGCATAGATCTTTTCGCCATCAACACACGGGTACAGCGTCCTCGAGTCTTATGGAGCACTCTAACGTCCCATAGATCCGAAGGCCTCGGTATTTTGTCGTGCCCTCGTAGCCGGGTACGCCGCATTTTGCCTCGCAACATCTACGTAGGCCCGTATACAACGGCTATGCCTAGGTGTTCCGTTTCATTTTCCACGTGCGGAGGGACATAAAGGTCGACTCGATGTTGGACGCCGTACTGCACCAACTATACACACCCTTCGGGCTTCGGACGGAGTCTACTGATCTGCTCATTTCCTCGCCAAGTTGCCGTTATACCAGAGTTCCACATCGTTCTTCCACCTTGCAGCATGGCCGTTGAGCTTGAACCTATATACCTGAGGTTCGACAAATACCAATTGGCGCCTCGCCGACTCCCCCCTTCGCCCAGCCTGATCCACAGGCGTCCGGCGTTGCGGGTGAATACGGCACAGCGTGCGCCGCCTCTCAAAGTAGGTCGTATGCCACGTAATCTCTATCTGGTGTACTTATGCACGGGACAGCGACCGATGTCCACACCGCACCCGATATACGCACCGATCCCGAAGGCTCTACCGTCGACCAACATACACGCCGCCCACAATGATAGCCAGCCCGTTAGCAGACTTCCAGCGGAGCTATTGGCATACATAGTCAACTTGGCGCGCAATCTCGACCTATCGGAGGGAGAACATCCCTCTGGACGTGTCGCATCGTTCTCGCTCGTCTGTCGGCGATTCAGGAAGACCCTGCTGTCTGCGCCACACCTCTGGTCAACGATCGCTGTACAGGCCCATGCAACGTACGGCCTGCAATTTGCGGCGCTATGTATCACACGCGCCGGCAACGCGCCACTAGAGCTCTGGCTCGATAGCTTCTACAGCGCCGCACAAGTTGTGCCCTTCATCGCGCCGCACGAAGACCGTATTCGACACATCCGGTTACGCGTACCGGTCGACGCGCCACCCGCTCTCGTCGCATCGACGTGTGCATTCCAGGTCCCAAACTTGGAGTCACTCGATGTGGCACCGCTCTCTGAGGCGGGTAGGGCAACGCCCCTGACGCTACCGACACTTTTTAGTGCAGGGTTCAGCGACCGGATCGCACGCCTCAGGCTTGCAGATTGTGCGCCGCCCCCGGGCGCGTATTCAGCGCTCACACAGTTGCACCTTTCCGGGCGCATACCGGGCCTAGTAGACCTGCTACGTGGATGTGCATCTTCGCTCAGAACCCTATTGCTGGACAAGATAGATTGCGAAGATGTTCGCGCCGACGAGACGCCCATAGAGCTATCTAGTCTTGATAGCCTTTCCGTGGTCACAGTACCTACTTCGACGGGACAGAACTTCTTCAATCGCCTGGCGCTCTCCTCACAGTGCCAGATCCGTGTCCGCTGTCACATGCCGTCTTCCCCGGACGACGAGAACGCCCCCACGCTGCCCACACTTCCGAGAGCAATGAGGTCTCTTCTTGACTCGCGAACCTCTCACGCAGAGACCCTACAGCTGTATGCGAATGGGGAGCGTGTACAGCTTGTCACCCTCGGAGAAAGCCGAGTGTCCATATTCATAGGCGCGCGCCAATCGGATACGGCCGAAACTACCGTCGAGGACGAGGAAGGGGGGCAGTGGTTGACAAGCGCCGTGCGGGATCTGCTACAGACTTTGCCGCTCGACTCGGTACGATCAGTCTGGATCGTGGCAGAGGATCAACTGCCCGTAGATGTCGTGGCCGTGCTAAGCGCGCTACCAAACGTTCGCGAGTTCACGGCGCTGGACGCCGCGCTGGCGGACGTTTCGCGCGCGTTGAGCACGGCCGCTCCCACCGGACTCATTGCGCCGAAACTTGAGACGTTGCGTCTTCGGGCGTATGACTCTGAGCGAAGCGCTCTTGCTGTGCTGCGCGGTGCGCTAGAAGCGCGCGTCGCTCACGGTATGCGCTTGCGGCGCTTAGTCCTTCAGGCAGATGCTGGTGCAGATACGGAAGTATTACAGGACGTGGTGGATGAACTGCGGGTTGTGAATGACGACGCCATGCAGGCGCCTATGGCACCGCCGGAATGGTCGGGATGAAGATACGTTGAAAGGACTCGATACGCTGTAGTACTTGAATTTGTCGTCGGGGCTACCTTCCCCGGTTGATGACCCGCCACGAGTTAACGCACACGTTATACATGTAGTTTGGCCACTTTTCTCCCAGCTACATAGTATGCCCGCTTCTTATTCTGACCTTCATTGCGTATGTATACATCACATCGTACGAACTGTTCGCATGTTCCAGACGGATCTGATATCATCGGTAGAGATACGATGAACACGACAGTGAGAGTTGTGGCACCTCTCACGGCTCCGGGTAAGCCGATCACAACCCGTTGACACAGATGTAGCGGTAGAAGCTGTATGATAGAGAGCATCGCCGACGACTTCGCGTCAACTACCTCACACGTCCGAGTCGTGTAGGGTGAGACTGAGTTCTTCAGAGTTGGCCCGGGTCATGCCGAATACATGATTCGGCACCATCGCGTACATTGCACGAGACAAGGTGGGATCATCAGAGTAGCTCAAGTCTATTATCACCCTAGTCCCATCAACGCGCGCTGTGGGCCTGTGGCGAACTGAGGCGAAAGCTTCAGAGGTGCCCACTGCTGCGATCATAGCGGCCCGTCGGTTTCTGCCTGAAGCGGGTATGGGGTCCTAGTATACGTATACTTTCAGCGTATGGTCTCGGCTCGATATGATGGAGTACAGGAGCACTGCCAGGAGCTTGAGGGAAGACGTCACGCGAGAGCTACCCGAGAATACTACCACTGCAATGACTGTCGAAAGTGGCACGCTATCTCCTCCCCTGTTTCATTCATAGAAGAAAGAACCCTTTGTAGTATACGCACCTTCCTCTCGCCGAACACGATTGCGAAGATACTACTATACGTAGTTAGATGAAAGGAAGCCACCGTCAGCCACTGTCCAACACATCACTAGTGTAGATGTGCACATGTAGACATCGCGGATGGATTGCATCGTAGAATGAACATCAATAGAGTAGTCGTATAGACTGTACATGTATCTGTATGAAGCGACATCACCCGGTACGCGTGTGCCCAACTCAATCTGAGCTCTGGAAGATGCTATGCGCAGTGATCCTTGCCTAACCTGTGCAAACTGCGTGTATCTCGTGGAATCTACTAAACAAAGGAGCAGGCGCTTCGGGCGGAGACAAACGCCAGAGTCATTCCGGCAACCTGATTGGCTGGCTGGCCCAAGACG